ATAGACACATTAGAATTTAAGTATAGAAACATGGACTACACACCGAGATAGCTCATGAGCTTGTCAAGGAAGTCTTCTGGCACATCCAAGCCATTATCCTCCCACGCGTGATTAGCGAGACGGGCATTCTGCTCGTCATCGTCATGGCAGGCTATCCAAAGTTGCGGAGACCAATCAAGATCGGTCAAATCGAATGGCTACGAAAACGATGAACACAAGTGACGCAAAGTGCAAGAAAATGATACTGACCTGGATGGCTTGCAGACAAGCGTTCCTGACGTAGACCTCTTGCAATAGTGTGCCATCAATGAGCACACCGACCTCATCACGGGTCGCATTCGACTGCACAGCCTCCCCGAGGTCAATGAGAACAAATGACGCTTCCTTGCTAAGTCGCGGCTGATGTCTTATGGCATGAAGGACGTGCTCCATGGTTGCTGTTCGGGGAAATGCTGCATCCGAAACTGCAAGAGTATTAGAAGCGCATCAACTCTTACACCGAAGACAAACATTCGCTGCAGTGAAACTTGATGATGTCGAGCACGAGAGTTATTTGTTCGAGTGCTTCATCGCCATCATCTTGGCCGGCGTCTACACCACCCTTCAGTAACACCTGTGCAAGGAGTGGGAATGCATAGGAAAAGGTTGCAGCGTCAAACGGAGTTTGTTCTGATAGCGATCGCAGACGATAGAGAACGCGTAGCACAAGAGCTAGAGAATTGTTAACACATCACTTGTTTTTCAGACGACAGGTAAAACCTACAGCTAAGTTGTTCAGCCTGCAGTTCCTCGGGCACCGATGCTATCCCAAGGCTTCGCAATGTCGCCACACCAACCCACTTGTGGAACGTGTCCAAACGTGCTGAGCAGCACTTGGCGAGGTCCTAGCACGGAAGATATGAGTGCAAAGCGCGCAAAGGAAACCCACACAGACCTACCAAATAGGCTTCAAATGCTTGCGACCCGATCAGCCTCGATCCTTGACCCATAGCTCCCTCCAATAAGAGCGATAAAATGGAGGAAACATACATGCGCAACTCGGGGACATTAATAGACGCTAAACTCTGAATGTATGACAACCCTCGTCGCAGATTGAGCTTGATAGTGGTGACTCGCTGTCGCACAATTGCTTCCTTGTCCAGCTGTGCTTGTACGAGGGCTTGAGCTTGCTTCGACAGCGTAACTGTCGCGCCACCCTTCTTGTTCGCAAGCGATTTACGAAGCTCGGCTTCCCAGCGGGCAATATCAGCGTCTTTCCCCTTCTTAGGACCTTCCTCTCCCTTCTGAGAGGAAAGAACTGCGCAACAAGAACACAATGAATATAACGTAATTCCTATAATTCATTTACTTACCATCTACGTACGTCACGCCTTCTGGCGTTTCCCAGATACCGAACTCAGCTTCGGACAGTGCATTGATTTTCGAAGGGTCGATATCGGCTCGTAACTGCTCCATGATCTTCGGTAATACATTTTGGGGACATACAAACGCCAATGTGCTAATCGCTCGATAGCTCGCGTCCGCGAAGCCAAACTTGGAATCCATAATTATCAGCGCGATCAGAAAACGTGGACATACACAAATACCTTTGAATCAATGGTGGATGCTGTCAAAATGCTCGACATCGCTTGGTCAACCCGACGAGAAATTAAATTGTGCGGGTCCACGCCAGCCTTCTGGCACAACTCAATCCATAGCATGCGGGATGGAGGACCTAATACGTTTTTAAAGTGTTCAGCGGCAGTCGATAGGGTAGTAAAGGAGGAAGCTCACAAACGGCAGAGTGATGTGCCAGAACAATGAGGTCTACTAGTTGATCGTCTCTCTTCCCCGCACCGGCTTCTTCCTTATGGCCGCAGCACAGTAGAAGTGCTGCACACCTTCGCTGATTGTCTGGAGCAGGTTGTTCCGTCTCTTCTGTTGCTGATGCATTCTTGACGACGGCGGACTTCTCTTTGATCAATGAAGCTGTCAGTGCTTCGCGCAGGATCGAAATGACAAGCTGTGGGAGTGATTGAACAGCTGCTTCGATAGTCTGAATCGCTACCCTGCGAACTTCAGATGACTGTGAGTGAATGGAAAGATGAACAAAAACGGAGCCGAGTTGCAACCTGAGAATGATGTCAAAATGAAAGAAGTAATGTAAGACGATTATACTGGCCGTAACTGCTCGCTTTTGAGCAGCTCGTTCTTCAGGCGGAAAAGAGATAGGTTCGCGGCACGTAAAAGCCACAGCTCGTCTTCTACGTCAGTCAATTTTTGGTATATTTTATCCGAAATGACGAATGAAGGCTTGGCTTGTGTGCCGGTCAGAACTTCGATGGATGCGTTGCGAGTTATGATATCACCTTGAAGAAATGAGTACGAAACGTAGCATCGACCGAAGAGAATGGACATACCAAACTTCCCCGTGTTTGTCAGGGGACCCATGAACAGAGCAAGGGCAACATATCCCTCCAATGGACCAACTGCTGCAGTCAGAGGATTTGCGGTCACAACCTTTAGGTTAGTTTCAAGAGCACTTATGACGCCCGTTGAAAAAGCCAAAGCAGCATCGGTATCGACCCTGTCAATGTTCCAAAGCGCTGACCCAGCGATAGATACAAAGGCTCTCCTGACGACAGGCTTCGTGTTGGTCATCTCCTTCGCAATCACAGCTGTCGCATCTGTAGGTACTTCCATATTTCCCTTGAGGATAAAAGTGAGATGTACCGCCATGATCGATACCAGCACGCCAATAGCCGCGTCATTCGTTTCCTTCACGAGTAGCTGAGGCACATTCTGAACGACAGTAGCCGAAACCTCAGCGCTTGGCGGCATCGTGGCGAGCATTGCATAAAGCGTAAGTCGATGTTCTGGGCCTGTGGTTTTACCAGTCTTGGGCGGTGTCAAAACATCCGTGAGCGCTGCACCAACGCTGGTAGAATCGATGCCCTTGGAGATCAGGACCTTGAAAAGCCCTGTGGCGTTCGTGCGCACGGCAGGGTTGCTAGACTTGGCGGAGTTGAGGGAGGCAGTAAGGAGTTTTTTGAATGTAGCGGAGTCGAGGTTATGAGAGTACGCAAGTAAAAAATCTGCGATTACTGCGAGCAGTTAGTCGGATATTGACGAACCTAATGTACATACATACCACTCAGTGAATATTCTGGTGATCGCAAAAGTGCCTTTTCCATAGCTGGTAACACAGTCGCTGTTAGATCGCTAGAGGTTACACAAGTCCCTATGAAGTCGTGAAGCGCGCTCTGCCACGACGTATATTGAGATTTGATATCAGGTAACAGATATGGGCACCTTACAGAGGAGTGCGACGGAACAGGATTTTTGGACATCACAACGCAAGTCGTATAAAGATCGAGGATGCCATTCTGGTATCGCATTCAGCAGGTACCACACTGGAAGAACATGCTTATATTACCTTGATCGCGGAAGGAATTTGGGTGAGCGATTTGTCCTTCACATTTTTCAGACGAAGTGTCACATCCACAGCAGAACTCAGTAACGAAATCTGTATAAGGGGAGTTTGGCTAGATTTTGCTTGCGCTACGAGTGTTGCCATGAGAGTGGGAAGCTCTTCTGGTACAGACCTAAGGGCCCTGCGTGTACGGACAAATGCACTTTTCTGCATAGTTGGTTTTGTCCGCGTAGAGCGGTTAAGCTGCATGTCAAGAAGTGTCGCGAAGATTTCGACGAGCACTGTCCACAAAGGGGAGGAAGTAAAGCCAGGAGAGGACCGCAGACACGTTGCATAAAGCCCGCATGCCCAACTTAAGAGAACGAAGATATCTGCAGGAGCATATGTGCTATATGCTAATATCAGCCAACATCTAGAGGTGAGAGATGAGAACCAGACCTTGGTGAACCACGCTTAGCTATGTGTGATACTTCGTTCGCAAGCCATCCTAGAACTTGCTCTGTGACTCCCAACTTTTGGCCAGCATCAGCTGTCTCATCCTTCTCAATCAATGTCATTCCCACTTCCTCGACGGCATCGCGGGAAGCGCCATCAACGTATCGGGGATATGTTTGCGTCAGGAGTTGAAAAACATCCATGATTTGCCTTAGGCTCAATCCTTGAAAACAATTTGAAATTACAATGTTGCTCGACTACTGTGAATTGCAGCACGTGCCTCCGTTGTTCGCAAGCCATAAAAGTTCTTCCTGTAAGAACTGCAGGCGAATTCTGGTACTGCTGGTTAACAGTCTTCCCTGTGCGATTTGCATGGCCTTTTGCCAGTCCTCTTGTACGAGATCTCTGGCCCATAATTGTCTGCTCGTATCCTCACCATCCATCTCGTGCGACGGGTTTGTCGCTGAGACTAGCCACGATTCGATATCGGTTTTGCCTAAGGACTCCGATCGACCTAGTCTCTTGAGCTTTGCAAGTGGCGCTTTATGAGGCAGGATGAATGGGCAGGTCGGTATGTAACGATGCTAACAGTATTCTCGTACTTGTCTCTGCGAAATCAAGAAGTCGACTTGAAGAAACTTGGAAGTGAAGATAGAATATCCAGAAACATTACATTATGTAATTAATGATATATTTCGCACACTAACCCAATTTGATCTTTGATCGAAGCACAAGGAAGCCTTTGGAGGCGAAAGCTTATAACAAGAGAAATCAAGACATGGCATAATCACTCTCTTGGTCTCTCACCACATCCATCGTCGCTCCTTTACCTTCGCATTCAGGCGGGCTTTTATCACGCGTCGATCCTCCAAGTACTACTAATTGCGACTTGTCTACAACTGCTAGACCTACCTAATCCAACACTGTATAGTCAAACCGTAGTATGTACTACTTCTACGACATCAAGAGCATGCTGACAGTCGGCTCGCTTGGAATAAACAGATAATTTTGACTGTTTCTATACTCACTCATTATCAACTTGTGTCCAAAAATAGTCATTTTACGTGCGGTGGGTTCATACTGAATAATACCTTCCGAGTTGAACTTGTGACCCACAGATCACTGACTGTAGATTCATTGAAGCACCATAGCCATGCCTTTCACCGACGACGGAAGTCCCACCGATACTTCTATCTCTCCCACTGAGACTGAGACGGACCTTGGCTTCAGTCCTCCGAGAGACTGGCATGCTGTAGCCGTAGCCGTGACCGTTGGCGTTGTTGGCGTCTTCCTGTTTGCGCTCATCACATGGCTTCTCCTACGCCTGCGTCGCAGACCAGCTGATGAAGTCGATGCAGCTTTCTCCCCCCGCATGCGGCGCATCTTCACATTAGATAATGCTCGACTCTCGACTGAGTCCAAGTTCAGTTTCAGTAAGTTCCTGCTACTCAAGAGAGAAGTACCATTCTTATGTATATTTTTTTTTCCAGTGCGGAAACCGATGCGAGTAGCTCACCAGCAGGACGATGGTTCTTGGGACTTTTCGGACCCAGACCCGACGCAATTATACATACCTTCCATTCCGAAGTGTCAGCTCTCCTCGCCGTGCGCGCCACCACGTTCGAATCGCTCTAGTATATACAAGGGCGAGCTGTCCCCCGCTCACTCGGATCTTGAGGCTCCTCCACCTGCTTACTGCGTAGACGGAACTATGTGGTCCATGTGTACCCCTCCAACAGACCATCCGCCCCAAGCCATTGCCTACTAGTTTTGCTCAGTTATTCTTACCTTCACCTTCACGCTGTTGTTCCCATTTTTGCTACCTTCGGCACTTTAATTTTTCTGCATTTCGAACTGCCTTTCGTCAGGTGCCCTTGTTTGTGACTTTTTAGGATTGTATAACTGATACGCCGTGTACCATACAGAGACCCTGATAGCACAGCTCAACATGGCACACGACCACGATCGTCGATATGTATAACCACACTTGTACTTCATACTACTGCTTGTGGTTAATATATCAAAGATCTGCGTTCTTCTAATAACTATGGCGTCATCAAATACTTATAATCGGAAAGTGAGGGAATGCACACTACATGAGTATGATCGATCGCATGGCCAACCAATCCAACTTCAACACATTGCTGATTCTTTTGCTGAACGAATATCAATGGGCTTTCCATCAAATGTTAATAATATTTGAGTCCAAATTCCATTCATAAAAAAGGTCAGGATTCCCAAGGTGATGTTCGTACAAGTTGTCTCCAGCTAGCCTTCGTGCGGCGCAGTGATGGCCAATCACTGCAGAGACTTAAGGTAAGTAACATGTGCCGCTGTCGTTCTCTCGTTGATCCAAAAGAGGCAGGATCACTCGCCAAAATTCCGCATGATCATGAAATTATCAACAAGGATGGTTATATACTAGTACGTGATTGAATTAAAAAGTTTAGTGATGAGTTATACAAAAGCCGCATGCAGAGAAACTCTGACAAAACAGTAAAACCATATGAAGAATGGCATAAGAGTCAACCAACGAGATCCTCATCAGAGTCAGAAATAGTAAAGGGAGAGCTGCGAGCCCTTTTCTTCATTGCGCCAGGCGATTCAGAGACTAGGTATCAGAGGTGAGACAGAGTAAGTATCCAATCAAAGGCAATGCACGAACCGGTGGTTGATCGGTGACGTTTTGAGGAAGGGCCAGAAATCTGGGGCTCTAGAGTGGTTGCATGAATCTGGTCCTTTGTTTTGGGAATCTTGAATTGAACGGCCACCCTGACATCACAAGACAAATCTGAATCCATTGCCATGCTACAGTTATGGAGACGAGTGCTGTTGGATTTGAGAGCCTGATGCGTGTGTAAGTTACATGCAAGCTTGATGAACCATCGAGTACTTACATGTACAAGGGCATTCAACGTCTTGGCAACCTCCAAATTCAACGCGCTATCCTTTTCAGTTGTTGCTTGGGCACAAGTCATATGTTTGACGTATGTGACAAGCTCTTTTATCGCATCCTGATCCCGTTGCTCTAGCTGAATCTGTTGCAGCTTTGACTTGAAGGCTTCGTCTATGTTAGCAGACGTAATGGGAGTGACACCCTTGGGAATCTCTATGTCGTCCCACCACTGCCACATTATACTCGTCGCAAATTTGTCACTAAGTCGAAAGTGAAAGTTCGGTTTCATCATTTGAACGAGAATATGCTCGAGTTGCTTTCTGAGGCCAGCGATAATGGAGTCCGCCAAGATCACAGTTCTGTATTCCCTTGCTTTTCGTAGTTCGAGCAATACTGCCTTGACCAAGGGTTCGATGTCACGTTTTGCATTCTTCAGTGTCTTGTCTCGCCACCTCCATTTCGTGACACGCATAGCATAGGTACCCCTGCTCTGGCTAAAGCATAAGTTCCCTTTCGAAATGTTCTTCATTGACACAAGAAGTTGTTCAAATACTCGTTTCTCATCTCTTGGAAGTTTGTCGAAAGCGATATTGACCTGCACCATGTCTTTGGGACGGTCCTGTTGAGTCTCCTCCTGGCTGATTGTCGACATCGTGTTGTGAAGGTGGAGTAACAGAGTGTTTCGGCGCTCCCACAAGAAATGACATAGCTTTCATCACGATCATCAGCGAGTAGCTTGTGATAGATACACACCCACCATACCTGTATATCTGCATCTGGTGCATAGATCCTTACTACATGGTTTACGACATTGTGGATCATTACCTCTGATTTGTCGTCCATCTCGTGGCTCTTGACATGAAGAGCAGGGTAATACTCGAGAAGGGGCTCGAACCACCTGCAAATCTGTAGTCAGTTAGCGTGGTACTGAACCCAGTGTTTGAGGATAAATACATACTTCAATTACCCCTTCCTTCACGACACTGAGAGACGACCATGCATAGTCTAGCAGCCAAGCAGACAACAGGGGAATGGGTGCATTGCTTGCATCATCCTGAGGTGACAACCACACAGCAATACGAGCTGTTATCTTGTCATATCGTCGCATGACATCGTTTGCCTCTATGGCGTCGTTGCTCTCTTCCAACCATTTTTTTCGCAAAATTGTTGTGATCTTGTGACGGTAGTGTTTCAAGGCGCCTAGGTACGCATTGGTCTTCTCACCTATGTCAGTGTGAATACATGTACTAAATACGTCCTCGGCACAAGTATCGATCTTATCGAATACATCATCAAAAACCGCAAGGTTTGATATGTCTTGCGAGTTAGTGATCTGCATTTTCCATAGGCCAATTTGTCTCTGAGCTTCGGCACCCTCGGGACCATCATCATCAGCCTGTTCTAGGGTGGCATTTACAGTCTTGTAATCTGGGAAATCGTCGTCGGACGCTAATTTCTTCATGGTATCAATCTGCGACACAATAAATCGAAGGTATAGCTTGGTAAATGGACAGTTGCGTTAGCACTGGGCAGTAAAGATAGTTGCAATGAACCTAAAGAAACCTACCCCCATTACTGTTTCAATAGATTTCTCCAGCCAAACAACAGAAAACTCCCGCCGTCCACGGAAGTGACGACCGAGGGGAAGAAGTACGAGAGCCAGGACTAAGATGAGCTTTTCGTAACTCAGAACCTTCACCAGGCGTGAATTGTGGCCTATATGTCTGCGTTCTTGAGCAAGTTTCGCTTTAGCACTCTCGTAAGATGAGTCATTTGGTGATGATAAGTGCGCCTGGAGAATTTCTTCGAGAATGGCGCTCAAACCCGATTCTTCGGACATCTGGTTGTGCAGTGTGCACGGAACAACTACAACTTAGGGATCCGTGTAAGTCTTTTCACGGAAGCTGTACCTCCGGGATTGGACTGTTTGGCAAAGGCTTCTGATCCAAACAACCTTTTCGAGATCGCAAATTTTGGACCGAAAGCCAACCGGAGCAGTCAGTGTTTTATGACCGCCATCTGTCCTCATAAACGGTAGCGCGACATTTTTTTCTGACAGTCCTTTGCGACATTCTGAAAGCCATGGATTCGGACTCAGACTCAGGCGAGGGAACCAGTGCAGTTCCCCGCGCGAACCGATTCAAGGTGCTTCAAATATTGTCGAGTTCATTCGCTTGATTGACCGCGCATCATTTAGCATCAATCATACAAGAAAAGCCTGAAGGAGGTCCATCTGCCATCTGCTCTTGACCTCACCAAGTTCGATCATGATATTTCGGTAAGTTTGAGGTTGGTCTCATCGATCCACGTGGATTGCTGAAGCAGGTCCAGGACAACGAATCCCATTTTTATCTAGCTCTTCAACAATGGCGGCAGCTCAATCTCTCCCCAGCGTTTATTCAGTTCGCGAACAAGGTTGACTCGCTTTCAATATCTATGCCCATACTCTTGCATAACTGGAAGGATATCGTTGACTTGTGGAAAAGTGCCTTGGATGCATCAGACAATGAAGCTTTGATAGCTCTGCTTGAGTACGCCTCTCAGCTTAACACCTGATGTAATGTTCTCTAACCGTATAATTATTTAGCCTCCTGAATAAGTTGGCTCACGATCTACGAACCACACTTGCTCCGTCATATGCGGATTTACTAGAGGTCCTCTTGCGACTTCTGCCACAACCCATATCAGCACCCTCCCTTACAGCTCTCCTGGCGACACTCTCAGGACTATTCAGGTATCTTCTCGTACCGTCAATCAATCTCGATCTTTTGGACCAGACGTGGTCTTCTTTTCGCGCGGTGCTTCCAACGTGCAATTCTGATGTCCAGCGCGCCGCAGCCGAGGTTTGGGGTTCCGTACTCCGGCGGCTGAAGAGCGTTGCGAGGGAGAGAGCTGTAATTTTGATGGCAAAGAATTTGGAAGGCGTCGAGGATGCCAGCGCTTGGATGATGATCTTTGCATGCAAAGTGCGTATTGCTGCTTAACTTTAGTTGCTAATTTTAATACGCCTGCAGTCTGTTTCCCAAACCTTGCACACCAGTGCAGGATCATCGATAGCTTCTCTCATTGACTGCCACCTGACAAGTGATCGCCCTGAATTGTCGTATACACTCCTTCGGCGTGTGCTGACCGCCTTAATTCACCACTGCAATGGCCCGGAAGACTTTTCGGTTGTTGCGAGCCTCATCGTTGATCGCTTCTGTGCCGTATCGCAGACTGGTGGCGCGAATCACCAAGATCTTCAACGTGTCATGCAAATTACGTCTGTCATATGTGCAGTTCATCAAGGATCGCGACTGTCTAGTATGTCGTCATTGTTTCTCAGTCTTGCGTACCCGTTAAACTTTGTACCTGTAGCAAACCATCTAACACAACTTGCCTCAAGACTGGCGTCGCTGCCGCTTGATGTACCTCTGCATTCCGAAATTTTGAATTTTACGTCTTCACTTCTCACTGCTGGTGACATGTCAATGTCCACAGGGCCAGGACGTGCATTTGTCGCTCGGGCTCTTGGTGTTCCTTCCTTCGGCTTGATGCTCTGCGGTGTCCTTGCGGAGCTAGGATGGGGTGGTTGGAAGCTTGTTGGACTACCCGCCCTTCTCAAAGCAACCCCTACTCTCCTTCAGGCAGAGCACACTCTCACGTTGCGTCTTCTCGCATCTCTGCAACATTCAGGAAAGTTGGGCGAGGTCGATATCGTCTGGAAGCGAAGCGTCGATCGGTGGATACAAACCCACTTATCTAGCTGGGAAATTAGTGATGAGTCGGTGGATCACTTGTACGACATCATAAGTCTCTCCATATTCGTCGACTCACTGGCGCCCTTATTGGTGCCCATCATTGAACGCGCACTAAACACGCCGACACCCGAGGCGAATTGGCAAGCATCACATGCCAATGCGGCCTGGGTGATCGGAACATGCATGCAAGCTTTGTCTCGATGCAAATCAGCTTCCTGGGAAACGCAAGTGGATTTGTCGGCCTGGACGGCAGAGATCGTGGAGCATTGGTCGTGGTCTGATAAAGTATTGATAGGTCTAGTCGCACTTCTCGAAGCATGGTAATTCCGTGACCTCATTCTGGTTTGTTCTTGCTGACACAAAATAGCCCTTCTTCATCTCAATCTCTTCCAATCGCCCAATTATATTCCCGTCTGCAATCACGGCTACTTTCCCCTTCTCGAACATTGCGTTCAAATGTCTTGGCATTATTGACATCGAAGATGGTTAAATCTTCTCCCGCAGAACACGAAGCGCTGAAGCGCTGTCTGCAGGGTGACGAAGTGTCCCTTGACATGCATGGCGTGCGCGAGCGCGTTCTTCGAATAGGCAGATTATACCAGGTCGTGAGAGATGATGGTTCACTTTCCGCTGATATCTGTATTCGCTGGCTTGTTTGTACGTATACCGTCCCATTTATGCAGGCATTTCGCTGATGTCGTATTAGCTCAACTGAAGGTCAACTTACGACCGATATGGTCCCCAGCGTCACAAGCTCTCTCTTCCTTAGCCCAGAAGTTTGGCGATGTCGTCTGGAATATCATATTCTCGGAGCTACAACGACCCCAGGGAGCCAATCAAATTCCTGACTGGCTGACTGCTACCAAGGATGGTCAGAATGTCATGGATCCCTGGGAAGAAGAGCGATCTTGGAGGGACCCCACCGCACATCGGGTTCGGGGTGCTGCTGTAAGCTGGCTAGATACATTTCACCACCGCAAAATCATCGTTTCGGTAGGTCTTCTAGTTAGCACTTCAACTAGCGTCCTATTAACGATGTGACATAGGAACAAAAATCGTCCGATCGGTTTGATCCCGTCACGTTCGAAGCTCAGATCCTCCTCACTCTCGGACAATGTACATCTTTGGCGGAAAAACATAACCGCGAGTTGGTGACATACTTCATTTCAATCGCAAGTCCGGATGCTCTATCACGATTGCCGAAATATAAGCTTCAGGCGTGGTTGACGCTGTTCAGCAAGTTTAGCAATCCCAAGGCTCTGCACTCCACAGATACACTGCGAGAACTGTACCTCTCCCTCCTATCCCATCCCGATCGGGAACTGCAAAAGGTATCCTTATCCTGTCTGCTCGCGTACAAGTCGCCCCACCTCCAGCATCACCAAGCGAAGTTAGGATTACTCCTCGACGAAACAAAATGGAGAGACGAGTTGACATCTTTGCATATGTCATCGATAGAGATCAAAGACCGGCCTCAAGTAGTGGATATCATCGTCCGTCTGTTATATGGCCTTATGTTGGAAAAGAAGGGTCGCTCTAGAGGCAGTGATCGTCGAGCTGCCGTGCTGACAGCACTCGCAGGATGCACAGACGAGGAGCTCTATCTTCTAGTGGATCTGATGTTGAAACCCATGCAAGCGGACAGCCATGCTCACCAGGACAACTTCTTCTCGCTGCGCCCTATTTCCTCAGACATCCCGTTAAAGCAGCAGTCTGGTTACCTGACTTTGTTGGGTGACGTGCTGAAGAACCTTGGATCGAGATTAACCACATATTGGCCGGCTTTACTCGGGACCACACTCGATATAGTTGCTAACGCTCAGAATCATTTGTCGAATGTGACGGCAGTCGATGCGGATGGGCAGGTGGAAGATGAAGCAAACGAGGAGGAGAGCGAATCCGGAGAGGTATCCAATTCCAGAGTTTTGCGTTATTTGAGGCAGCAAGGCCTCAAGCGGCTTGCCGAATTTTTCCGCTGCCCAGTCGAATTTGACTTCACGACCTATCTCTCCGCATCATTTCCCGCTATTGTGACTCCACGTCTGGAGTTATTGGATCAAGAAAATACTCAAGCCCCTTCCGCGCTCCTGGAATTGTTCTATGTTTGGACCAATCAGCCAGAATATTCGGTCCACCTCGTACAACACGACTCCCGTGTACTGCCGAAGGTTCTCGACTGCCTCGTGGCGGTTAACGTCAAACCAGCAGTGATCAACAGAGTCTTCGACATCGTAGAGCGCCTGCTGTCGTATTCCGCGGATGACAGTAAATTTTTGGGTCTGCTTGTTCAGCCACATATATCGCAGTTGCTCAAGAACCTCACAACTTTGGTCGAACGCACGAAGGCTGATACAGCACTTTCAAGTCCAATCACACAACGTCAAATCAGCATACTTTCGGAGGTCGCTCGCTACGCTGAAGATTCTACGCAGGCTTTGACTCTTCTCGGCCTTCTCTCCCCTTTGCTACGCAAATCCAGCAGAATCATCTCTGAGAAAATCAAAGTCAAACTTCTTAGCACCCTCGGCCATATATTCCCTCTCCTAACTGAGCTGTCAGATTCCTCCTCCGTCGAATTCTCGAAGGCATATGAACTTCTTTCGCAGCTCTTTATGTCACTTCGCTTTACCGCCTCTCGACTCGCCCTCACTTCAGCATTCAATAAGCTCTCAGCGATTAATCCAAGTATTCAAGAGCTTGCAAGCCTGCTTGAATCACTTAATGCTTGCTCATCGAAGCGGATTGATGAACCTGACTTTAATCGTCGGTTGACTGCGTTCATGATGCTCAATGAGCAGAAGTACGCTACGTTATCATCTCGTGAATGGCTTCCTGTCCTTTCGAATGCGCTTTATTTTGTGCAGGACGCCGACGAGCTGGCCATTCGCAATAACGCCGCTTTCACAATCAGACGCTTCATCGACCTTACATGCGACCCATCAAATTCAGAATTCGAAGCACTTCTCATGCGAACTACCCTTCCGGCATTGAAGAACGCCTTGAAATCCAAGCACGAGCTTGTCCGTGCAGAGTCGCTTGGTGTTATTTCGTACGCAGTATCAAAATGTGACAGAATCCCCTCCCTGCAGGAGATGCGTCCGCTCCTTGCTGGTGGTGACGAGGAAGCTAGTTTCTTCAGCAATATTCATCACATACAGATTCATCGTCGCACGAGAGCTTTGAGACGCCTTGCGGAGTACTGTGACGAGGGGGCCATGCGCAACAGAACCTTAGTTGAGGTCTTCCTTCCGCTCGTTGAGCATTACATTGTCCCAACAGCATCGCTCGATCATCTCCTTGTCTCAGAAGCGATCAATTCTATTGGGCGCATTGCGAAACAGCTTGGGTGGAGTGCATACTCGGCCCTCGTGTACAAGTATATCCGGGCGTCAAAAGACAAGAGTGAAGGCGTCCGGGTTTACGTTCGTGCTTTGGTTGCGATTCTTGAAAACTTCCACTTTTCCGTCGAAGAAGCTGTGCAGCAAGTTGACGCGTCCGCAGATGACATTGCGAATAGCGACCACGAGGAGTCGGTAGAGGAATCGCTGCCAATTCCACCAGCTGATAAACAGGACACCAAAAAAATCGCTGACGCTGTCCATACCCGTCTTCTACCTTCGCTTTTGGCTTACCTGTCTAATCGCGACGAGACAGAGGATTCCCTTCGCATTCCGATATCCATGGGTATTGCTAAGGTCGCCTTGCATTTACCCTCTGCCTCCAGAGATCTACAAGTAGGCAGGCTCCTAACGGTCCTCAGTCAGATATTGCGTAGCAAGTCACAAGATACTCGTGACCTTGTGCGAGATACGATTTGCAGGATAGCTGTCGCACTTGGTTCCCCGTATCTACCCATTCTGTTTCGGGAGCTCCGTGCAGCACTCCTGCGTGGACCGCAACTACATGTTCTAGCATTTGTATTCCATGCAGTGCTTACCCATGTCACATCTGCGCAGGGCAGCAATGATCCTGCTGTTCAAGATCTGGATAACTGTGTCGCTGATATTGCCCATGTCTCTGCTGAAGTGGTTTTCGGAGAATCAGGAAAGGATGTCCAACACGAAGACTTCCGGACGAAAATGCGTGAAGTACGCAGTAGCTCTTCCAAGGGATTCGATTGTTTCGGGTTGGCTGCTCGATATGTTTCTCCCAAACGCATTAGTGCGCTCCTCCTACCGCTGCGCTCTATCATCGCAGAAACGGGTTCCTTGAAGATCCTGCAGCAGGTTGACGAAGTTCTCAGACGTGTTGCCAGTGGACTCAATAGCAATGCAAGGCTCACACCTGCTGAATTGTTGATTCTGTGCCACACCCTGATCAGTCAAAATGCCAAATTCTTGCAGGAAGCTCCCAAGCCCAAAGCTAGCAAGACTATCAAAAAAGCTGATGCTATCGTCCAGCGACAACGCCAAATCGTCGTGAACACTGATCATTATACAAATAATTCTTTCCGGTGAGCCTCGTATCATGCATCATGCATTCACCGTATCTTTTTTACTTATTGGACTCCGCAGTTTTGTCGTCTTCGGTTTGGAGCTCTTTAATACTGCATTCCGACGCTCTCGATTTGACTTTCAGGACAAGCAGATCATCAATCGTTTAGACCCGCTTGTAAAGCTCATCGGAAATGCTCTTTATTCATCCTCAGAACCGGTCCTTATTGCTTCTTTCAAGGCATCGGCTAGCATTCTTCAATGTCCACTCAAGTCAGTTTCATCGTCTGCACCAGTCATCGCCCGTCAAATACTGGCCATCGTCCGTTCTACTGGTAGTGGAGAGTCCGAAATTGCTCAGGCCGGTCTCAAGGCTCTGGCGAGTATACTACGAGAGTGCGAGGGCGCTCAGGTCAAAGAGAAAGATCTACTCTTCTTGATTGAATTGGTTTCACCCTACCTCGAGGACTTCGACAGGCAGAGCACCGTTTTTGCGTTACTGAGAGCTATTGTGGCACGACGGTTGATTGTACCTGAGCTTTACGACGTTATGGCTGACGTATCCGCTATCTTGGTCACGTCACAAGCGACACAGACTCGCGAGTCCGCTCGATCCCTTCTTCTTCAGTTTCTCCTCGACTATCCTCAAGGCTCTGGAAGACTGCAGACCACCCTCGGTTTCTTTGCCCGAAATCTTTCGTATGAACATGCGTCAGGACGTTCAAGTGTTCTCGAACTCTTAGGTGCGCTTGTGAACAAGTTCGACTCTGCATTGCTGGCAAAACACGCGGAGATGATCTTCGTTGCCCTTGTACTCTGTCTTGCCAACGACGAGGATAAGTCTTGCAGAGAAGCTTCCGCATCAGTCCTTCAAAGCTTGATCAAGAGGTTGGGAGAGGACGAGAGAAAAGTACTTGTTGGTCATCTGCACGCGTGGGCCAGTCAACAAGGGCAAGCAAAACTTAGGGCGGTTGCGGTGCAGGTATACGGGCTCATCATCGACGCTTTACAGCGAGAAGCTTCTCCGCATGCCGCTGCCCTGTTCGCCGATGTTCAAGAGATCTTGGACGACAGCATTCAGTCGCTGACCCTGTTGGATGACGATGGCGATGGAAAAGACATGGATGTTGACGTGGAATGGCAACCGCCGTACCAGGCAATGCTTGCTGTCTCGAAGCTCTTGCAGACCTTGCCTGAGCATACGCTTGATGCGATAAAAACCACCCAGGATAAACTCGTCCCATACCTCCTCTTTCCACACGCTTGGGTACGCTCAGCAGCTTGTCGGCTGTTGGGCGTGTTCTTCGCATTTTACGGCCCTACCCCCACTCTCGAGAATTCGCACCTTACCCTCCAGTTGATGAAAGATATTGCAGAGAAGCTATGCACACAGTTGAAGAGCTCCAATCTCGACGCACCTCTTGGTCTACAGATTGTGAAGAACCTTTTCTTCGTAGGAAAATTATTCTGCACTGTCCCCTCTTCCTCGCCATCCGGGAGTAATACCAACCACACAGCTGAGACAGACTCGGATGGTGGTGAGAGCGATGACTCCGCTGAACAATCAAAACCTACGCAAATGAGCCGAGAAAAAAGCTCTCAGGATCCCCTACCTTGGCTCTTCTCCAAGCTGTCGTATCAAGCTCGCTCAGCCCACATCGCGCGGCGGAACCGCGGCAATGCCCCTGTGAGTTCGGTTAATGCCATCAAATCTAACTTCCTCTAACTTTCCTGTTTCAGAATCAAACAACCTGGTCGTTGGCTCCCTTGTCCATTCTGCGCTTCTTTGCTGCCATGGCGTCTCACATGGAGGCCACTCAACTTGAGCGGTTCTTGACGCACATACTTACACCTGTTTATCGGATAACGGAGGACGATACAATCCGGGATGCCGGAATGGGTATGCATATTACTTCTCAAGTTGGTCATATATTCATAGCATTGCAGAGGTGCTGAAAGTTACGGCCACCGAACTTCTTGACTTGCTTCAAAACAAAGTTGGCACGACGGTTTTTGCCAATACGTACAACCGCATCAGGCAGGGAGCATCTAGCATCCAGCAAGAAAGACGAGTAGCGCGGGCCACGAAGGTGGGTTGGGTTCTGTTCATCTTGCACTGGTACTCATCACTTCGAGCAGGCGACCACCAACCCAGAAGCTGCTGCCAAACGGAAATTGGCTCGAAATGTAGGCAAGAAGGAAAGCCGGAAGAGAAAGAATCGTACCTTTGCGTAAGTGATACGGAGAGCTGTTTATTCACAGACTAAGTCGGACGCCAATTTACAGTGACAGCAGAGGGAGGCTGAAGAGACAAAAAGAGGGAGAATAGCATCACTCATCCGAATCGTCAATAATTTATTTTACATTTCTTACATTGTTGCTTATAACACTCAATTACGTTGCTTGTTCTTTCTTTCTACCTGTTCTTGGCAACCAGAAGCCGCAGTTCACTTGATTGATGTCGGTGATGTGGAATAAGATCGGCCTGGATGTTGTTCAGACATAGGTCCTATCATTTCAGGAACAAATCAGAAGCGTGATTTTACCCATTATAATAGATGTATCAATATTTAATTAATTTAATTCAACCAGCGTTCTTGAATCTTGTTCCTGTCGTCATCAGGTGTTGCACATCCGCGAAGGGAGGTGGTTCAAGTTGTTACCGCTGCGGACTGATGGGGCACGTCCCACATCAGGGCATTCACGATTTCAGCATATAAGGACACCGGGGGTCCAGTATATTAGAAAGTACTGTCCTACATAGAGTTCACTCTCAATGGACAAAAATCGGAATCAAAAAAAAAAAAAAGTTGTTACCGCTAACAATGGATGATCGCGAGGCGCATGCACAGTATACTTAGGATCTAGCAATGGACCCCTCGCACTGTGGCAATAAACATAGTTGTCTGAATAGTAAGTCCTTGGTGTCGGTAAGTAGGTCAGCTGTAGCAAACTACAGGGCATTTCCAAATATTCATACCCAGATTATGCATAAAAATCGGTCTCTGATATGAGCATATGTCATATGGGTAGTAGGATGCATTGACTTCGCCGCGATCGATCCTTGATTCCTTTTGAACGCATGCCGACCAGTGCGCCCCCTAGCGTCGCCAAGGAAAGATACAAGTTATTGAAGGAGACACTGCATAAGAATGGCACGCCTCGCTGGTTCCGAGCTTCTTAAAACAAAACGTCGGTGACCTATGCACATCGTTAGTGGAAGCGCTTACTATTTCGCCCGTCAAGGATCTTCCATTACTAGTAGCTCCCTCGTGCTTGTGCAGTACATTTCGTTTAGGGTTAATTCGGGGACTGGGGTGCCAGGGCTGGTACCAGGGAAGGTCGGGAGTAGATCATTGAGTGCGGAACAGTAGGGACTCCGGGTATGTAGTGCGTCCAAGTAGCAGCTTGTCCATATATAGTTGATGTTGCGTGCAAGATTGTGGCTCTGCCACAGATAAATGTGCCGAATTTTGCTTCGGTGACGGAGCTTGCGCTGCCTGTGAGTGGAAGCAGTGCGTAATAGTGAAGATGTGTGGGATACAGCGAGCTTTAGTAATAGATGGTTTTATTCCAACATTAAACATGATACATACGATGTGATGCGCGGGAACAATGACTGCTGACGTGCTACGGAGATGGGATCAGATGGAGTAGGAGAAGTTGATATTCTGCGATTGAGACAATCACGATACATGATATACGGGGGTACTGGGATTCGAGGTTTATGATATCCATCGGCGGAGAGATTTTCAATCGCTGGATCCATCCCAAATTGTCAAAAGACAGTCTGCTGGCATTCCAGATAGTATACGTTGAATGCAAGGCTATTGGTGGATAGGTTCTTTCTAAAACCATAAAAAACGGCACTCCGCACATAAAAGAAAGCCATCTTCCTACTGACCCTTCATATTTATTTCATCTCATATCACATCATCATGCGTTTCTCCTCTGCAATTGTCCTCGCCATCGTCGCTGGATTGGCGGCATCAAGCTCTGCCACGCCCGTTGAGGGCTCTGCCACAGATAAATGTGCCGAATTTTGCTTCGGTGACGGAGCTTGCGCTGCTTGTGAGTGGAAGCAGTGCGTAAGTATTGGTGATTTTTGGATTTGATGACATGACTCACCTGTAAGACAGGTTTGGTTTATATGCTCAGTGAGTCGTGTTTCTGCTTTCACATCAGTGCAGTATAGCCGTTGGCACTGACACGCGAGTTACTAGTAATATCTTGAGTTCATCAATGGGCCGTCAGGAAAACATCGATAGAGTGGGGGTGATTTTCGTTTGATTGGGAAATGTCACTTAAGGACGACAATGATATTGCCATACAGATCAGTCCATGGCGCAGTGTCAGTGACTGTTGCTGAATCGCCGTAACGGATATGGACCTGTAGATCGTACATTTATACATATCTGCACCTAGTAATAAAAACACACCTAGGTCACCCTTGTCCGAGTCTACTTTGACTTTTGACTTTTCAAAAACGTTCGTCAAGATCTCGGCTCCGGTAAGCACGATGTGGACGGAAAAGCTGCTTCACATGATTGTCGTCTATAATCATCATGCGCCTGTAGAACTTCTATACGTTTATAATTTTGAGTATGTGTGTGCATGAGACACTATGTCGGTCATCATGTCAAGCGGTAAATTGTTAATCGTGGGTGCGACGGATTCTTGCATTACCAATAGTTAATGTACAGCTGTAACCATTAATCGATTAACCAGGATTAACCATGTCGTGAGGATTTTCAACTCATATGGTAGTAGTTCCTGTTGAGATTTGAGGCATGTATCCAATTTCTGGGTATGGCACCGGCCCAGGCCCGTGCAGTAAGCGTACTGGTGGATCTACGTGTAATAGCGCGGCACTTACCGAATCTCTGTTTTTCCACGCTGCCAGCCTGCAGTTCATAATTAATGAGATTAATATTGGCCTGGGCCCTGTACAGTGTCATAGGTCATAAGAGAATTTGTATCATTTCAGGAAGTGGAAACCGGCCAAATCAGAAGCAGTGTTTAACCAGTGTGACCGATAGTTCTTGTTCATTTGCAAGCCTGTCGTGTTGCACATTCGCGTAGGGAGGTTGCCACCGCTAACAATGGATGATCGTGAGGCGCATGCGTATACTTGGGATCTGGCGGTGGACCCCCTCGCACTCTAGCACTAAAAATGGCTGTCTGAATTGAGTAAGTCTTTGGTGTCGGTAGGTTGGCTGTAGCAAGCTACAAGACAGTCTCGGATATGAGCATACAGTAGTCTGGCAGTACAAAATGAGTGTGGCACGAGCCCGACGGCACGTGGGAGTGGTCTAGACTCCACAGAACCACCAATTAATTTACGTACGACCATCTACGGACATGACCCATGCCTTGCCCTCTGACCACTATCGCGATCACTTGACAACATACTAACATGGTGAGAGCAGAACGAAAATATGTCGACCTCATACGGCAAAGCACCCCAGGCCTCTTCGCTAACTGGGATCCAGAGAACCCAATCAAGGTCAGCGATATCGCGTTGATGTAATAGAAGGGGTACGCTGACTGAATGACGCAGGTCGGATCGTACGGTCGTTTCGACCTTGATACATCACGATTCACTGTCCTCGGCAACATATATGATCCAGAATTTCAAGTCCTTCTCGATGCTGTCCATGGAAATTTCAAGATGTCAGACTATCCGCCAGAGTTGGATCCAGTAGAGCAGGATATGATTGTCACCTCCACGGGTGCTAGGAAGCATCTCTTTGATCCAGGACCAAATGCGTGAGTGCAACTGAGAGGGTCTTGTCGTGTTATTGTTCTGACCCTCTGCTAGCAAGAAAGAGAACTTCAAAAAAGCTTCATTCAAGATGAATTTCAAGTTCCTCTCAGGCAAGCGAAGTGCTGTTCTCATCATGCACAAGCCACGTCTGTATCACATTCCACGTAATAAAGTCCTCGACGTGCTATACAGAATACCAGAATTCAATGGTCTGTTCATCGTTCCATCGGTCTACAAGTGCCGCGCATGGTCCATCTATCTATCAAGTAAACGTACGTCCTTTCTGTTCCAGTCCGTGAATCGTGCTCATGTCCATAATCAAGTCGAAGAGATTGTCTCTATAGCACTTCTTCCGTCGAAGGTTGGCTTCGACCTTGAATGGTGGTGCAGCTCGGACTCGGACTTCCTGCGCCAGGGCACCGACAAGGATGGCTTCGCTTCACCCCTCTTCTCAGGAAAACAAAAACTACCGTTGATTCGACGTTATATGCGTGGTATGCCTGTACCAGACCCTGAACCAGGCGATAAATTGTGTGTTGCCCCTGTAGCATTTGACAGGTTGATCACGCTTACTGATTCGCAACATAGCTGGATAGATGGATGTCCAGGTTGGGAGCCCGTTGATGAGGATGGTTATGATGATCCTATATGGGAAGAGGTAATTTTCGATTTCTCCCTAGTTTCGGAAATCCTCACTTGGTGTTATTCCCGCAGGATTATGAGCCGAATGTCGCGAGAGTGTGGCGACGCATCATGTGTAAATCTTCCACGCAGTGGTGAATAATTTTACCACCTTATCTTCTTTGTGTATTGTAGCAAGGACAGGGTCACGGATTATGTAGACAGACGAACATTCTTACGTTTCTCAGGTTGTGGCTGTGTAAACTGCAACCGATCGATCGGAGAAGTTGAACGTTGCATCAATGTTGCAAGTACTGCGGTATCATAAACTAGCATAGCGCCACATCTCATGTTGGTCCAATTCAAATCACAGTCGTACCGCCCTCCAATCATCATAGCCCGATGCCCGAGGGATTCAAAGACTCGTACGCTTGTGCTAACCGTGACTATCCTAAGCAAGAGTTTGAAAAGGAAATTCGTTTACACTGAGAACATAGAGGGGTGCTCGAAGGCAGTCCAGGTGAGTAATCCGTTGGCTCTCTCCGTTCTATTTCATATCTGTCTTTCCGCAGACTGATGTCATGTGAATTGTGACCTTGGTGGCGGCCTAACCGCGGAGGGAGCTGTTACGCTACCCGACCCCGGACCGGCGAAGCAGAGAGAATTGGAATATCAGTTTATCAAACAAAGGCTGTTTCGGCGGTTACTCACTGAGTACTGAGCCTGTGCACAATGTTTGGACCACATGGTTTCACTGATGGAACTTGTTCGATGATGCAAATGTAGCAAGAAGTTCTTGAGGATGATATCAACCCGAACGAATTGCACAATTCTTCCATCTTTTGCGGTGTTCAAACGTTCCGCCCGTGGGATGTGCGGCCGAAAAAAATCTAGTCTGTTACAATTGATGGCACTGCATTGACTTCCTTTGTACTCGACCTCATGCGACCATCCTTCGGTTAATAAATAATCAAGATGGGAATGGGTATCATCGTTATGATGCTAATTTTGGTTCACTACAAGCGCTGGATGGCGGGTATTTAGCACGAACGCCATCGTCATATGTCTACCACGTTTACCGCTCCCCTGCATCCGTCCTCAAACAATATGACAATAGTCTCAGATGATCCCAGCTGGTGGCCCTTTATCAATTCGAGTCGCATAGCCAGCTATTTCGCAGGTTCGTGGAGCGCTATTCAGACGACATCTCGATCTAACATTGGTTGCGGTTTTACAGTTGCGGCCTCTGCTGGAGTGATGTACGATTGGGGTGAGTAAGGTAGCATTAATAAACAACCGGCATTCAACTTACGGTATTCGCAGTACTGACACTCGGACAAGAGGTGGGTTGATGACGTTACCGGAGCCGTCAGCGCGCTAACAATGGTTTTATAGGTCGAACTGATCTGGGTGAGCAGAGTACCACCACCGAAGAACGGTGTAACAATACAACTGATCTGTCGCAGAGACAACGCTGGTCTCTCATGACCATCCTGTACCTCGGTGTGCGTAGTTTTCATTTCAAGTGTGATTGATAAGTTGTGCTGACTTGAAAACGTCTAGTTGCGCTACCTTGGAATATTATACGCTGTGTAGGTTTAGATGGCTAAGCAATGGGCGCTCTGCTAATCAGTATATCACATAGCTTTAATATTCTTCGTACTGTATTTCCTCGCATGTATTGTTTCATTGTTCTAACCGGCGGCATACAGTAAATGTTTTAACAATCCCGGTGACTGATACAGTGAGTATCTTACACTGATTCCTGTCCGTTCCTGTCTCATCAACCGCACTCCCATGTAGGGGTGAGTGAGATACCTGATGTTGGTTCAGTATAATGACTGCCATAGATGTGAGTTTGATTGGAGTATGATCCTCCGAGGTTGATCGCTAACGTCTGGATTTGCCAGGCCGTATTATGTATCTTACAATGAATTGGGCAGGCGTCGTCGCTTTTGCCATAATCTGTGGTAAGCTATACAGCTGTGATACCTCAATTATACTGAAACATTGTGCAAGCCATCATGACCGCTCGGTTGCATGCCATGTATCAGCAATCTATACGTTTATTTATTTTTCTCATTGTCATCTTCTTGGCAGTCAACATCACGAATGGAATAATCTTTGCAATAGTGATGAAGGGTAGTTTGGAGGGTAAGTCATTAGTATGGAAAAACTTGTGTCAGGCTCATCGGGGAATATAAGAGGAGCTCATTCTCTCCGGCACCTATCAGTGCACCGGCAATGGAGATATCGATATCTCACTCCTGTCTTCCATGAATTGGATGCTTGCCACTATATGGGAGGTCTTCGCATTGTGTCTTATAGTTTGGATTGTTATCAAGCACTTTCGTGGACTCCAACGACCGTGGGCGGCATGGATTACTATCAGTGACTCTGTCACGGTGCTGATGAAAACTCACATACTTTACTTTGCGAGGTGAGCTTATGATATGAATGTGCATACCATTTTCCACTGAAGCTTTGCATGTTCTAGCTTTCTTGCTATTTCTTGCTTCAGATTCGTTTATCTGTCTCCAACAATCTCAGCGGTATGCCCATCTATCATTGACCTTCTGCCGATTTATCATTTATATAGGATCAATATTCCATGGGGACACAAATTTACGAGGGTGTCCTTCAAATTCCGATGCTTGTCCAGAGCTTTGTGCTGGGACCACGCCTCATCCTTAGCGTTCGAGAACATCAGGCTAAGCTCGCGGCTGAGTCTGATGCGGGGATCAGCATGACTTCAATAGTCTTTCAAGACCGGATGCATGTGTCAACTGGCAGTGGTGTGTAGTACGGGAGGTTGTGATAAAAACTTGATGGGTACTCTGTAAGGAGCAGCAGGATTCTACGTTTCTTAGAAAGATTACGACGTGTAAGCGTCAAGTACTTTCAATTGTCCAGTATGAGAGTATAGATGATACTATGAGTGAAACCATGGCTTCCGCACGCACCTTTCATGGTGTTGTGGGTATTCAGAAGGGTATCCTTTCTTTCCTCGAGCCAAAAGAAGAGGTTTGGGAAGATTAATGGGTTTGTGCCGCTTTCGCTTGATCCAGAGGACACTGTAGCAGATCTTACATATTCCTCATGACCCTTCAGCTTTCCTCCAACGCGCTTTCCTATCCTCACAGAACATTTTGGTAGATGATGTTAGGCGATTACGGTAAGCATGAATGCAAGCGACCAGCCTACGCGACGACATTCGATGGATGTCAAGGACTGAGTACTGATGCTCGAGAAAGCTGTACTCGACCTACGCGCAGTTTCATTCGCACATGGGCAGCTATACACGGCATTGTAGAGAGTGCATTGTCGACAGTCGCAGGCATTAGAGCGCTTTTTATACAAGAAGAGGAAAAACAACAGTAAATGTAGTTTACAGACATATCCTATTAATCACAGTAGTAAGTGAACGGAGCGCTTGTATACGAAGTACAAGACAGCAAGCAGATATTTCAAACATGCGCATCTTCACCGTGTTCTCGAGAACTTGGTTCCTCGTGCGCCGAGTCGGATGCATGCATCTCACGGAGCGCGAAAAACCGCGCTACCCTGCTTTGTACAGAAAGGAGCACGCCCCAGGCCTTGAGATACTCCTTTACCTCCTGAGGGTTGGCTCTTGTTCACTGTGTGGCGCTGATTAGTTTCCAGGAACAGCTTATATCAACCAACTTACCCAGCCGAGATTCGTGCCAGCTTCATGACAGTTTCAATGTCCATTCCTATGAGCATCGTTAGCACTGCGTCAGGTCATCCAGTATCAGACATGACATTACCATCGAGTTCGTACCAAGATATCTTCACAGTCTCCCGAAGGAAGGTCAACGCCTCAGTGTCCCTCACGGTAGGGACGGATGCGTGCTTGCTGCTAGAGATAGTTTCCGCCAGGTAATCTCGGCCGAAGAGTTGTAGCCAACGTCGGCGACGAGCTGGCAGATCGAGATCAGGGAATCTGATGGCTGCAACAGGGAAAAGTGAGTCATACAGTCGGGTCAGATGGCTGGGGTATGCACTGGCCGTGAATGGCCTGAGTAGTGCCTGCTGCTTGTCCGACAATACTGCGGGCCAGAGACAGATACATCCGGGCGAAGAGTTTAAAAGATTAACATCCTCGGCTTTGTCAGGATGAATCCTCATCTTATGTACGCCAATTCTCAGTTAGCATAATTTAGTTTTCAGGTCGGAAGACATGTGCATACCAATTTAAATAATGCATTACTTTTCCAGTTGCAAAGCAAGACTGTGTTGACTAGTGCTCGTAGCCGGTTTGAAGGTCGATCCGTTGTGAACAGCGCGCACCAGGGAACAAGCATTCTCTTAGACCATGAGCATGAAGTGGAGCAGATAGATATCCAACGGAACTAATGCCGGTGAGGAAAGCGCGCGTTCGAATAGCAGCTGCTGAATGCGGAGACATCCCTCTTAATGAGAGGAAGCAAATATATGGTAATCCCGTTCTGAAAAATGGTTCGTCGATCGTCCTGTTTCCCTCCACCTGAGGGAAGCCAGCGCCCGCGAAAAGAATATTGTCAGTGATGCAGACGCGGCATTACACTCCAAACCTTCTTGATTTAGCTCACACAGGTATGGAGCGCGAACCAGTCCACAAATAGGTTTGAGTTGCTTACACATCTGCGAGAGGGTCAGTCCGACGCGTACATGTGGGGAGACATGAAGGCAGCTACCTTGGAAACACTCTCCATGTCACTCATAAGTGTCGGGTCGAGAAGATTTACAAGCATATCGTGAGGCAGGCGAACGTATCAGAAATCGGAAAACATTGGTCGACGTCCAAAGCCTAGGTCCTTGGAAAATCTATCGCACAAAATACGTTGGGTCGAAACTCGGACCATCTATATGTTGTTCATATGTATTCTGTCCATATAAGTGCAGCTTGTGAGTTGTATCCCGTGCAATCGGTATCCCGAGGAGTCGACAGTCACGCTTGTTCGCAGCGCAGAATTTGAGGAACGCTGACTACCAGGAATGAATTTCAAATTGCGACGAAATTGTGAGGTTCTTGAGCAATGAATCGTTTTGCGACGCGCCGGGATGGGGCCATCCGCGTGAATATTCGATTTTTGTGTTTTGACAACTAGTACACATCCGGGTCCGTCGTTCAGCAGTGCATTACAACATGGTAAACCCCAGCTTCAGGAACCGCTGAAGAAGCGAGTCATGTGGAGTTTCAGAATAAAATCAGGACGTTACGAGTCAAATGAGGCGGAGAGAAACAGTCTATCCATGATAAGTAAGTACACAGATCGGAGTCACGAAGAACGAGGCTGATGTAATAATATAGTTTGATTTCAAATCCAATAAGCCCGTTTAGCTCAGTGGTAGAGCGCGCCACTCGTAATGGTGAGGTCGGTTGTTCAATCCAGCCAGTGGGCAGGTGTTTTATTCCTTTGTCTTTTGGTATGGTCCGTTGTAACATCCTCCAGCTCTTGACCTTGTAAGTTGTAACTAGGACACAGTCTGTCGGACTTGTCGACAAGTTGTACATCCTCTGTAGCTTTTTTTTCGTGAACGCGTTTAAACGTTTCATTGATATCATAATCATAGTAGCCACTCCGTTAAAGTCACTGAGGTAGGCCGCATCATTGGTCCATCATGCGGCTGAAGTTTTGATCGTACAAGTGCTCTGTGGTTTGCTAGGCCTGGAAGATGTGTTACACACCGCTGGGAAGATAAACATCTGATCGACCCCAAAACCACAGTGACTGCATATCGCCGCCTCACTCATGCCAATAGTAGCGGTGCTTGGAAATTCGCTTCGAACATATAGCCAGAGCTGACAGGGACACATGGAATCCGGCGCAGTAGCATACAGCACAATTCTGGCTGATGAATGATAGGAGAGTCAATTTCATACCCAATTCTTATTTCATAAAGTTATCTCTGCCCTAGAACCCGCTACTCCAACATGATACAATCATATTACTACGTAAATTGCAGTGGTATACAGAAGCAATACCATAGTGATGGGTATAGTCTACGAGCATGCAGAATGGTTCTGTAGCATGCTCATACAATCATCAATGCAATAGTGTGTCATCCGGGTAATGTGCATGATGGTGGGTACCATGGAAACAATGCAGGTGTGATAGCAAAAGAATGCAAGCGAAAGCAGACGTGACTTACAGTAACAGCCACGAGGAGATAAGAGCGAGAGCAGATGAATTGTAGCATTTAAGTGATAGGACCACCGGCTGCGAAATCTGTCACGGACGATGGACTGGACCAGTAAGCTCAGCAACAAGCTGCTTGAATTCGTATAGAAAACTCGTCAGGGTTGAAACTGGAGTGCTGAGTATGGTACATAACATGGAGAGGAGGCATCGGAAACAACTGTACCGCTCAGGAGTTAGAGCTGGCGTGCTTGGTATAGTACACAATACGAGCGCATAGTATGATGAAAGACGCATCAAAAAACAGGAGCTTGGCCCAAACATCGTCTACTTCTTTTCTGTCAAGTCCTTCGCTGCAGGCTTTTGGTAAACTTCTACTTCCAGGTTCACAACGAGAAGAGGTACGTACACAAGCGATTTTCAAGGATGAACTCAAGAATCTTCTTTCCTAGTTCCTCTCCGTGGTAGCCTTGACGACAAATATCTTTCGCTCCTTTTTCCACTGCAACTGCCGTCGGAGATTTCAGGTAGTAGTCCACGGCAGACTCGACGAGATTCGAGCCATTCAACTCGTTCAGGAGAAATGCAGAGTACTCGAGGACGATGATGGTGGCTGCTTCCTGTCATTAGGACTACAACCGGTCGTGTGGTGAGAAACTAACCGATGCCAGTCTGAATTCTGTTCGCAGCAGAATTGAACAGTAAACCCTTCACAGCCTGTTGCACACTCGTATAGTGCTGGGAATCAATGCGGAGGGAAGCCAACCTACCAAGGGCTGAAGGACGCGGATGATATCAGTTCGGTAGGTTTGGGCCTAGCCACAGGTTGAAAGTATGGGTATCAGAATCAACTCCACGGAAGAAAGTACTTGCCCCCTGCGGGAAAGGGATATCAAAATTATGAGGTGGAAAATTGGCATTTGATTAATAACAGACGCACATTCTATTTAGTCGACGTAACGGTTGTGAATAATCAAACACCAGATTGTAGACAATGACTGCTGTGCTCAGGTAACTTACAAACTGTCAGGGGTTGAAACCAGATGAGCATCACTATATATTGGCGAATACCATTCATGGACGTACGAGCTAGATAAGATCGTCTGTCAGTGGAGTAATATGATGTCAGACAGGATATGGTTAACACACATTCTGCGAACACGTGAAGAAGGCAAGAGATTATCTGGCTAAAATCATTGACGATTGAAATAGACTTACATCCTACAGATCGACAGAGTCAATCAAAATGATTAGAGATTGAACGCGTCGCACTATGAAGGTCAAATGATTCACATTCTGCACAGGACACGAAAATATGCAAGATGAATGAACATGGAAAATAAGTCATCAAGGAGGGATACTCAACGAACTAAGCATTATATGAGCAATGGTGATTCGACTCATCTGGTGGAATAGAACGCGCTTACATTAGGCTACGAAACCGAGTGAACATCATTACACTATTCAGCATCATCTCAATACAAGATATGATCAAGACACACATCAGGAAATCATGAGTTTACTTATTCCCTACTTATTTCAAACTTTTCCCACTTATTTTAAACTTTTCTCACTTATTTCAAATGGATCTACTTATTTTTCTTAAATCATTACCTTGTCCCAAATGAACTATCAGAATCTGTTAGCCATCATTATAAATGTGTGCTATAAAATTATTGAACTCTCAATTTGCAATATAGCACCTCAAGAGAACATTTAAAAAAGAAAATCATCAGCATTAATGTGTTACTTAAACTTCATACTAGTCACTAATTGTTGTTCTTATGCAATGAAACATGTCTCTCAGGCCCAACAAACATATTGGAATACTCAATTTTGAAACAGTTGTCAAATTTCAGAAAAAAAGTAGGTACATTTTAAATAAGTGGGAAAAGTTCAAAAAAGTAAGGATTAAGTAAACTCATGATTTCCTGATGGCCACCACCTGCCAAAAATAACAGTAAGATGTAAGACCTGTCCACACGAGTTGCAGACAGAAAACCAATCAAGGCACTTACCTCCTGTCAACAGGTGAGGAGCAGCGATTGTCAGCATGGGTTGAGGATGAGACTATCAAAAGTACATACGTTCTGTCAACAAGCGGGCAGCAGGGAGGCATGAGGATGATGAGGATGGGTCAAAGACTGGAAACCATCAAGGCACTTACCCACTGTCAACAGGGGAGCAGCAGCGAGGGATGGGGATCATGAGGATGGGTCAAAGACTGGAAACCATCAAGGCACTTACATCCTGTCAACAGGCGAGCAGCAGCGAGGGATGGGGATCATGAGCATGGGTCGAGGACTAGAAACCATCAAGGCACTTACCCACTGTCAACAGGGGAGCAGCAGCAAGGGATGGGGATCATGAGCGTGGATCGAGGACTAGAAAACATCAAGGCACTTACCCCCTGTCAACAGGGGAGCGGCAGCGAGGGATGGGGATCATGAGTGTGGGTCGAGGACTAGAAAACATCAAGGCACTTACATACTGTCAACAGGGGAGCGGCAGCGAAGGATGGGGATCATGAGCATGGGTCGAGGACTAGAAAACATCAAGGCACTTACCCCCTGTCAACAGGGGAGCGGCAGCGAGGGATGGGGATCGTGAGCATGGGTCGAGGACTAAAAACCATCAAGGCACTTACCCCCTGTCAACAGGCGAGCAGCAGCGAGGGATGTGGATCATGAGCATGGGTCGAGGACTAGAAACCATCAAGGCACTTACCCCCTGTCAACAGGCGAGCAGCAGCGAGGGATGGGAATCATGAGCGTGGGTCGAGGACTAGAAAACATCAAGGCACTTACGTCCTGTCAACAGGCGAGCAGCAGCGAGAGATAGGGATCATGAGCATGGGTCGAGGACTAGAAACCATCAAGGCACTTACATACTGTCAACAGGCGAGCAGCAGCAAGGCATCAGCGTTGTCCCTGCGTAGCTTCGTAAGCCATGATCTTACCAGCTGTTTTCAATAAACAACTAAAATGAAGGGATACATATCAGAATGTCTACAGTTTCACCGCCTCGATATTTACCATCCATGAGCACCATTACCAGGGAATCGCCAGATTGAATCAATCTTCGTCTTACTTCGATATGTGGAAACCACTTAGCAATGCTATACTGATAGCCTTCATCATCGATTCGCTGATCCGCACAATCAACGAGTGTTCTAGATGATGTTGAAACAAAAATACGTGACTTGCAAATATGAGACTCACACAATGGCGCACTTGATGCAAAGCTCCAGGTTCGATTTTTGTGTCGACACCAAGCACAACCGTAATTCTTCGTTGTCCAGTGCCAGAGTGGTGCTTTCCAGCAGAGTGTCGCAGTTTGTATTCTGTTGGTTCACATCTAGGACGGTTGCTAATGTCAACTTTGACATGGGACAAATCAATCTGAACCACTCACTTTGCAAGCGTACATGGGACTTGGGACGCGCACGGTTTTCGGGGCTGTACAAACGATCCAAGACGCCTGTCCTACTGAACAGTTCCTCGACGCGCTCGGCAATCCTCTTTGAGCGCTCTTCACGCGATACCCCTAGTAGTTGCTTCTTGATGTCACCATATGCGACTGGACGCAGAGCTTCGAACTTCGTGAACACCGCGACCACAGGAACTGAAGATCGATCATTCAGTCCCAGCATGGCAACTGACGATGAAGTTGTAAGCTCACCATGCCCGGTGTCGCACTCTTGGAAGAACTTCTCTTCTGACCGCTGAAATGTTCGACAATGTTCGTCCATTGGAATACAATACCTGATGGCAATCAAAAAGCGCGGAACGTCGGAAGGGCGCTACTTACCAGATAGCGTGAATTCGGTCCTCTAATTTCGTTGCATGTGCGCGATCTGAGATAAACTTCTTCATGTCCTCAAATTCTTCTTCAGACCCCGCCTCGAAACCACACGAGTCATGAAAGACGAAAGTGGAATTACTTGTGAACACCATCTCGTTCGTGATGTCGTGATTTCCACGCTGAGCGTCCGTCAGCGGATGTATGACCACAGGGCAAATGATGCACCCACCTTGATTGATGATTTCACGATGGCAGCATCGATCTACCCGCGATAGATCAGCGATTGACGCGTGTATGGCATAGATCATCACCCGCACCTTGTTTCCTTTGGTATCGTAGATTTCTGGTTGATCTGTGGTGTTGCAGACCTTTTGAAGGATGGTCGTTTTGCCTGCGTTTGCTCTCCCCATGATCAGAACTCGAAAGCGCCCCATCATTCTTCTGAGATCCTGGGCTTCGATGGTTGCCATTGGGAGATCTTGATATGCGTTCTGAAGTAGAGGTGATTTGGTTTATCGTGAAAGCTGTACTGTGGTACAGAACGAGGTCGTGGCGAGATATGGCAGCGAACGAAGACAAAGCAAGGGTTCCTATGGCTTGTGGTACAACAGCTACACACGGCGTCTATCTCTTATCTATCTCCCTGCATCAGATCACTGATTATACCCTCGCATAGACACGAAGTTGCAACTGTTCAATCGTTCGTACGATAAGTTGAAAGCACGAGGATTACACAACAAATGACACCAGATAATGAGAACATTGATAGGGATATGAACTATGATGAATGATCAGAATACGACGGACATGACAGAATTTCGCTCTTCCCTACACCCATCTCGTTGAGAGCATTGATATCGGAAATCTTAGTAGGTGAGCTCGATCTTCTAAATGGTTGATCCCTGAAACGTCTGAGAGCAAACGAGAGCATGTCGGTATGCTCTGGAATGGGTGACATCCCGTGCTGCTCGACAGGGTCTGCACGTATACAGTTTTCCCGGCAGATGGTGGTTCTGGGTATGAACTGAGGGGAAATTAGGTGCCGGGTGTGTTGGCTGGACTCGTATGTCGACCACGCTCGTTGGTACTGAGGGAAAGGCAGACTTAGCGGGCCGCAGGAGCTTGTGTGTTCATAGATAGCGGAGCAGCTTTGATACACGTTCGCGGATGAGTCCGACTGACCATCATACTTTATAAATTGGCGCATATATTGTCAGGTATCAAAGACGTACCGGTCAACATACCTATTACCCACCGTTTGAATCAGCCCTCCTTCGACTCTTCCCCCATTGCCGGTCCCTGCTGAGATGAGTGATGTCGTTTAGGCCGGCTCCTTATCGGCTTATAGCGAGCTCCCTGGCGTCTTTTAATGGTATTTGAGATCGCATTGAGATCATGTAGCTTCAACCGTCACGATGTAAGTGATGAAGTACATGACCCTGCGCCTTGAACATACAAAACAACATGCTTTGGCAAGAACACGATCAGTATAAGGACTCGTGGTGCAAGCCAAGACTCACTAGTTTGAAAGATGTGTGACTGTATGCCTTGGATCCAGCCATTTCGAAAAACGTCGACAACATTGTGAGACGTAGCGTTGAATGCCAGCACATAGCCGTGAAGCTCGGTGATCGTACTGCGCATCCTTTTCTAGAGCTGGACGTGAAAGGTAGAGCTCGACAGCGGGGAATGTGTATATCCTGAAGCGAAGGTGTAAACTGCAGTGGGAATCTGGGTGGTGTGACTGCTTCTGTGCTGAGCCCGGTGTGTTCGTCATCTAGACCGGCTGTTTGCGTCCACAAGACAAACGTGAGGGAGTGATGACGATCATTAAAAAATCCTCCGTAAGGACACGCTCATCCACATGGAGGGATGCAAGAACACCGCTGTCATTAGGGTGTGGTAGCGGTGGATCTGGGGACGGAGATCGTTGCGGAATCACATGTTGGGGAAGTGAGATGGGAGGGCGGACCATCTATCGCTGTGCCGGGAATGTCTCCAGAGGCGTCGTAATCTGCAAAATGGTTCTCCTGTACGGATAAATTGAAATCATAAGCACAAGAACAGCAAAATGAACCTCTATACCAGGATCATGATCCGGGGTACTTAGTGCAGTTGGCTCTTGCACAATCTCTCGCAGTCGCAGTGATATTTTTTGGTGTTACTGAATCTGTAAAAGTGTGGAGTCATGGTGTGTCGACGAAGGTATGTCTTGCCGACACAATACGCCGACAGAACGCAGGTTACAGATAACTGAGGTAAGTTCTATGCAACACGTGCTCTACCTGCGTTTCGTGTGTTGGAGACTTGGAGTAATCGGATAGAGGCAATGGCAAAATTCAAACATTGGGTCACATGACAGGTATTCATATCGAAAAATACCGTGACAGGTTCGGATCAGCACCACTACTACGTCAATGAGTCAATCTCAGATCTTATCATCAGTTTCCCAACCAATTATTAGACCCGTTCATCCAGAAATCACCGACGTACCTCGACCGGTAGCAAATGAGCACAGCCACAGCCACCCCGTCGAAGTTGCTGAGGCAAGCCGCATCATTGGCACCATGTGGGTGATGTTTTGATCGTACAAATGCTATGTGGTTTGCTAGGCCTGGAAGATGGGTTACACACCGCTGGGAAGATAAACATCTGGTCGACCCCAAAACCACACCTGACAGGCTGCATATCATGCCAATAGCGGTGCTTGTGTTCTAGCTGGAAATTGGCTTCGAACATATAGCCAGAGCTGATATGGACATGGCAGTAGCATACAAGGCTGATGATAATTGGATGATAGAGAGTCAATTTCGTACCCAATTCTGACGCGACCTGGAGATTATGTCAGCCTGCAAAACGGTTACCTTTGTGATGTGCGTGACGTCGGAGCATGAACTAGAGGTATGCAACTTCACAATACTGTCTTTCCATCTAGCATCCCTACCGTCAACGTGATTGCATCATCTATTATTCATGCACAATATTCTTCGCTTACGACCAAGTGTAAGTCTCTCTGAAACGCGTGAATGCAGTCGAACGCCTACTAATCAGACACAATGCAGACTCGATGTGGCGCGAGATCCGTGTCAACGCGTTGGTTGTTTGTTGCTGACCTCTCGCACAGCTCGTTGGTTCTCATGTCCATGGGGAAATGCTGAGCCCTGGTAGGATCTTCTGCCGAATTTAAAAAAGCGAGGCGGGTTGTACCATGACGGAACTTAAAAGAGTCCGTATGCGTGTCATCAAGTCTGGTCGGAAGGTACATTCTACGGTTCGTGCCACATTCGCATCATGACTATGATGGTCTTTGAGGATTACAAATAGGAATTTCCGCAGGACAAGAGTACGTTGAATTTCTGCAACCTACTAGTAGAAGGAACAATAAGTAACTGTGGTATGGGCCATCGGTCACAACTTATAGTCCCACCAAAGTCCCACACAATTATCTCTTGTTGTGGGTGTAATGTCACAATTGATGAGGCAAGTATTAAAGACAGGACTCGTTCTAACTAGTTTAGCATCTTGCACTCCCATCATGGAACCTGCTATCCGTTTTACAATTAGCGACCTTCCCATTGAGATTGCCCTCATCGTCTTGACATATGCGGCCAAGCCGACATTTTCCCAAGAAGAGAAATATGATGATAAAAATCCCTATTCCACTGCCGTCTCCCTATGTCTCGTCTCTCGACTTGTGAGACGCGCCATCCTTCCCGAATTACTACAGACGATCTTGCTTCGCCGACCCTGCGGCATGAATATGTTTGCAAATGCTCTGTGTATGCAGAAAGCGTACGCTGAGAAAGAAAGCGATCTCGTGTTTGACTATATCTCCACTATAAAGAGGGTGTGGATCGATGGCTCGTGTAACTATCCCGTTGATGTACAGTCACAGACGATGTAGACTAACGACTTCTATATAGCGTGTCATGGAAATTCTCAGTTCCATCAGAACATCGACGTGCTGGTTCCAGTGATACTTGCTACACCGGCACTTGCAATTAACTCCCACCTATTATTGTGTGTCATGCAGAGCGTGCAAAATGCATGAGATTTCTATACAGGTTCCAATGTCAGCTCCACGCTCTACCACAGCGAGTGGAGAGAATCCATTTTCATTACATGGATCACCCATATCACTTGCCTCGCCGATTTGCACGGGTCTTCAAACAGTTTTTGCAACAACATGGGCTTACTATCTCCGGAACACCCGCTACGTATTTGGATACGCGCCATTCCGTGGGCTTGGATGAAAGACCTTGAAACCTTTTCAATAGTTTACCCGCATCTGACTGCCCACTACGTGAACGACTCATATATCGATCGCACAAGGGAAGTAGATGTGCATGTGGAGCGATTCACAGTGCCAGCTGCTCCGTACAAGCAGAACCCCCCTAACTCTAACTCGTGGATAGCAGCGATGCTTTCTGTGATGGATAAGAAGAAGGTATTGGATGGTCTTTCCTTCAAGGTTACGCGTGATCAGACGCACTTGACACAGGTTTTGTGCTCGTGGGAGAAAGCTTGGGCCTCTGGGTTAATCGACGGATGAGGGGTTTCCGTCTTACTGTACTCTTACTATAGATTTCTCATACCAAATGCACATGTGGATGCAGACTGTACTATGATCCATGAGACATCAGCGCTAACGTTAACGATCACATGCCTTTTCGAGTGAAACTGCACAAGGAAGCGAGAATTTTTTAAACTTTGGTTGTGTTCACGATGCACGCTAAGAATGCAACTCGGATAGCGCAGTCTAGCCTGAGCTAAGTGAGCTTGGTTGCTTCGCAGGCCAGCGGGTAGTACGCTTGCGGGACATTTTGATAACCAGTTGTGAGGGGGTTGTTTTCCACGGACAAGACAAGTGCATGAACTGGCAAAGAGCAATTTATTTAATGACAACGACGAGTTTTGTAGCCTGAATGTTGCGTTTGCGAAACGCTGTAGATAGCCTTAGACAATTGTAGGTACCAGGTAGCTCAAGGTAGCTTTGCGTATATGTATTTACGTCTACTATTTCGGTAGATTTCCGAGTCCGACTAAAATCTTCGAATACCAGCTTCTGACAGTGAAGTCAACAGCGAAACAACTTGCATGACCACATATCAATACAGTTCTCGGATCACAAAGACAATCAAGACGTATGTACACCGTAACAGTAGCGGTGTACTCGACTAAACCTTTATAGCATCTTGGGCGGCATGGCTAACCTCGAGCATCTCTGATATCACAGGAAGACGCTCGGCACTGTATGTCTCGAGAAGAGATTTGTTAGCGATCCCTTTCTCAACAAGTGCAAGTTTCCATCCTAGATTGAACTGGTGTAGGGCGCGGTCAGTTGTAACACACATGCTACATCTGCCTGGCTCACTGCATCTTGTACACCTGAATCGAGTCCCTGTTCATAGACAAATGTGCGAATATTAGCAACAATAAATCAACCATACCTAACCACCCGCTGGGCTGTGGATACTTGAATATGTTAGCAGCAGTTTGTGAGAAGACAGTCAAAGATAGACATACTGAGCAGCATCTAAGGTGACATGCATGAGCACCCCCACAGACATGTTAAACAGAATCACATACCGCCCGCAACGAACACTCGACCTTCGCCAAACTTATTCACCATCCGCATATTGGCCCTGGAATGAACCGGTGAGTGTGAATCAACAAAGATAGATAGAAACACAAAGCGCACCGGAAGTCGCTCATCCAAACCACCTTGTTGGATGTGATCTCTGTTGGTATTAGCGATGCAATGGTCTCGAAGACAAGCTCTTCGCTCTGAGCAATCTTCGTTAGGTCGAGTTCGCGGCCGAAGAGGAAAAATTGCTAGCCGTCATTGCCAATTTCGTCTGTTGAGCGCAATGAAACCCTTCAATATCATCAACATACGTCTCCAAGCCTTCATTGAACATACCCTCGTTCAAGAAAGTTTCCAAATCGGTTCCAATGCTTCAAGACTGGATTAGAACAGCTTTTGATCGAATTTGTAGAAAAAGGGCGTACCACTCTATCGAGGCCAACACCCGTCAAGCGGATATCTCCAGTCACAACCCGGGTACCGTCTCTAGTCTCGCCCAGAAATGTGAGCCCAAGTTACTTGCACACGATACCTGCAAAGCCACCTTCAGTTTCGTTCATCGCGGTGCATTAAACTGCGCCTCAATTTTAGCTCCATCAGCACCGATGATCCACTTAGTATCAAAAGTCTCTGATATGCCGTTCTTTACTAGAATAGTAGTGACACCCTCATCGGACTGTTCGAATAGCACAGTTCGGTGCCCATCTCAACCAAACAAGAGAACTTCTCCAGATGGCGTCGCAGAATCACATCATGATCTAGGAGCTGTTGGCCCATCAATTTTGGGACTTGCTAAAAATCGAATCAGCATGAAGGTTTGATCAGGCGACGGTGTTACGCACGAATGGTATTGCTGGAGTAGGTTCCAGAATCCACATGCAGGACTATCGATAAGTCTTGCAGAGGTTCCAACTTCCAACGTCCCAGGCTTGTACTTATATAAGTCATGAACGAACGAGAAGGGCTGGTTTTCCCACGACCATGTCTTTTAGAAAGATCGACATCGACGCATATGACGAGGATGTCGTACTGGAGGGTGAGCTTTGCGAGCCAGATCCACGCGATCCTGCTCAGGTCTTGAGGGATGCAAAACAGAAGCAGGCAGCAGTCCGGAGCTCATTAGCCAGGTACATTCCCATCTCGCTACTTTACAACATGATCTAACCTAAGTACTACTCATTCGCGCAGGGGAGACATACCAGGGACCCTGGAAATTGCGCTGGACAACATACCTTACGGGCCAAATGTCGAGGAAGCTAAAGTGACTCTGTTGCCCACATCTCACCAATACGCTGACATTTGCGCAAGAACCTGACGTTGCAGATCGTTGTTTCGATACTGAATAGCACGAAATCGTCGGAGATACTCAGCGTCGTGAAGGCGCTCTCCCAGGATGCTCAGGACACATTGATGAAGTATATTTACAAGGGTATGGGGATGCCGGGCTGGGGTGATGTGAGCGGTAGCGTGCTCTTGGGGTGGCATGAAAAGGTGCGCCTGGAGCTTGCTTCATTTATAAACTTTCTGACCATAATGGTAGCTGACGGAAGTCGCTGGCACTGGCTGTATTGTACGAGTAATGACTGACCGAAAAAGTGTATGAATCAGCATAGCGCCAGTATTTGAAGTTAAAGCGCAAATAGCCACCGGTATACATGGTCCCGAGCATCGACCATGATGCAAAGCGTTTCACGTGAATCGGATTTGAACGAGTGGCGATCAAAACTCAAATTGATCCATGCACTTCCCGCCATTCGTACTCGCCGCAGGACTCGCAACTTCTCTACTGCTCGACTTCTCGACTTCTCGTTTCGTTGCATCCCCTTTGAAAAGGTCATATTTCCTATTATCATCGATTCATTGTTGAGAAACCCACAGGTTCGATAACTTCGCAACCTTGATTGTATTCTTTGCTCGATGGACTCGAATCACTTTCGATGGCAGAATGTCATGGAAATTTTGGGCCGCGGAGCGCATAGGCCCAACCGCCCTCGAATATCGGACTTTCATGCATATTCCTGAAGGTGCATAATCATATTCCCATACCGGCGCGGACTGGCACGAATATCATGTCATCTCCCTTCTTCAATTACAGGTAATTGATCTCTCTTGATACATGTGGCTAGGGTGACTGTTAATCTCTGGACATCAGACACCCTAGGACGCGCGTGTAATTTCAACCTATGCGCGAGAGATCTCAACAATCACTTGATTCGTTCTACATACGGGCACGACAACATCTGATGTGAGGAGCGTTTGGAGTTTGACATATGGGGCAGTCATGAGGAAGAACTTCGCTTGAGTGAAACCAAGAACGATGGGAAGGTTCATCGAAGGTTGACAACCAGTGAGGAAGGAGCCTGATTTTCAGATTTTAATTAGTACCCTTGTGGTCATGATTCGAACTTCCAGTGGAGTCGTCGCGAGTGCGGACAACGCGGCAGATATATTAGATGATGGACCTACATTTCGTGAGTCGCACCTTGTTGGTATACTTGTCTATGGTGCTTACCTTATTTGCACACATCATAGTTGTATGTGAATCGTGAGGTAAGATGTTTGAAACGGAGCTACGACTTCCATATCTCCCACCTATATAGTTGGATGAACTTGGCACATCAACGGGTTCTACTAAGACTTGCCTGATACCAACCACCATCTTATTCAGTCGAACTTGAACTCACCGCTATCTGTCGAGATGAACTTCAAAACGCTCGCCCTACTCCTCACTGCTACTGCAATCTCTCAGGTCGTAGTTGCGGGTCCGCTTGCCTACGCTATTTGTCAGACAGGTGAGGTCCAATCACATCATCAAGGTGCACCACTGACTCAACTTCTTGACAGTATGCGATCGCCTGGCTGCCGCTGGCTACACCAGTGCCGGGGGGTGTATGGTGGCTTGTGCCATGGTTGCGCTTGCACCCACTCCCTGAGTGGGTGCAATCGTGAATGCGGCGACGAGAACCCACAGGCCCTCCTGTGTGATGAGAACGGCATCCTTGTTGTAGTATGACAACACGATGCAGTTTAGCGGTGTACAGCACCGGTAATGCAACTATGGTCTCTTATGTACCTTGTTCCCGTTTGTCTTTCCTTTTCTTACAGCCGGCTGTACGCATTTTCGGAGAGTCTATGTTTCTATTTCGCGCTAGCTACAGACTCACTGTGTCTAGACTATGATTCTTTTTTCTTTTCGTGGCGATGATCAGTATGTTGTGATTTTGCAGGACATTTTGATAATTCTGAGCCTTGGAGTTGTTCTCCATGCACTCGACTCGTGCATGAACTGACGAAGAGTGACTCGTTGAACTACAACAAGTCTTGTAGCCTGAAATTCTGTTGCGTTCGCGAAATGCGTAGATACCAAGTAGCTTTGCGTATACCGGCGCCGACTGGCACGGATCGTCATCTCCTTTCTATAATTATCGTAACGGTGCTCACGCGCCAAGCCCCCGACTCCTCTCTCGCACGGTCACATTGATGATTGCACACTGTCACTCTCTAATCTCACTGTTACACTACGCTCCAAATCTCTCTTTACTATTTCTTTAATACCAGAAGCTGGAGTCCCTCACACACCTTCTGCCCTGTCAGTCACAGTCTCGTCTTTCGCCATGCAACCGACGTTATCCTGCGGCCCTCCAGTGTTGTCCACTCGGATGTGGCCGTTGATCACCGCGACTTTGCTCAACGTCCAAGCCGGATAAAACATCGCCAGACCACCAGGCGTCATCACTGTCATGTCCACCGTTGTGGGAGAGGACACCACGACCTTGAACAAGTTGTCTCCTGCCGCCTCCGAGATTGTAATGACCATCTCTCCTTTTCGAAATCTAGCGAAACTTTTCACCTCCTTCGCGAAAGCATAGTTGGGCCGCGCGCACGCTTCAAACCTTTCATACCGCAAATCCCCGACCAGGCTGGCGTAGAGAATCTCTGCAGAACCCAGTGGAGTAATGAGATTGAGATCGTTCGGTGTTGCTCCTTGACCGGTGAGCATCTGTCTCGCACAAGAGCCTGTAATCAATGTCGACGTGACATGTAATAGATGTCTGAATGTGTTGGTGGTCACACGTCACATTTTCGCGCACCCTGATGTAATCGCTCGTGAGTCAACGACATAGAAGTCATTGGCGTAATTGACATCAGCAGGGGTCGTTCACGCCATGGCCTATGATATGATGGTCCACACTGTATGCGTGGAGGGCATCGCCCTCGCCGAAGTGTTGGCTACTGATGCGACAGCATGCTGTCACCATGGACGTCAGGTAAGGATAATATTTGTTGCAGCAATGTCAAGTGTACGGTCTGACGGTCTCTGTCTCTGTGGATTTGATACGTAGCGTGCATCCATGGTAGAAATCGGGGGGCTTGTAGGTCGAGTACAGGGCAGAGGCATGAGTCCCGATCATCTGTAACCTTGTGGATGTGACAGCAGGAAGGGCGTGGGCAGCATCATAAATTTGAATACAGACTGTTACTTGGATGGGGATCTGCGTCGCGTTGTCTAAAGGGCAAGGGAACTAAACTGTAGACATATGTTTGAGTCAATCTGCAGTTGGATCGGCAAATCACGAGCTCACTGCAACGTCACCCAACCACGATGTGGGAACTCTGTGCACTTCAACCGGTGCTACCAATCAGTTGCAGACCAGCAGCAGCCTGCTGTGAGCGTTCTGGTCTTTTCCGGTGAGGAGCACTGTGTCGAAGCGTGATTGTTCGTGGCAGTGGCCGAGGGAATAACGACCGGCTGCGGCTTCAGGTTGCGAACCTTGAGTGACTTCGCCCCATGAGCAACAGTCACGAATGCAAACCTGGGGGTGAATAAATATCAAAGATGCAAACCATCGATCAGAATTTTACAGGGTCTAAAGGAGGACATGGATACAGTTTGTCGGCGCATTTCACGATGGTGGCAGGTGCAGCGTGTTCGACCGTTTGAAAAGTTATACGATGCTCTGCAACAGGCTGAGAGGATCGTTGCATGTTGGCGTGAACACTCGGAAAGTCCCGGCGGAGTTGCAGACAAAAGTATAGGGAAATTAGACGTATCCAACCGACAAAGACCCTCCTCCACTAACGTGGGAGTCGGGGAAGTATACATGTTTCTCGATCTATGACCCGTGGCTATGGACGACTGTCAAACTCTCCACCCTAGGACGCCTTAACATCGCTTAACTTCCAACACGACTGTCACCAGCACGTTCTAGGATGGGGCGATAGACGGATGCCTGGCACGTGGGAGATGAGAATTTCAAGAGATTGATATTAGTGGGACAGTCGTAAGCTACATGTATAGCGAGAACTTCGCATTGGAAATCTGGAACCGAGAAGGATGGAAGGTTGACGACTTCGAGGAAGGAACCTGATTTGTAGATTTTAATTAGTGCCCTTGGGGAACTTCCTGTGGAGTCGTCGACTAGGCGCGAGCGTGGAGCATCTCGCGGGTCAAAATCAGAAATAATTTATATTCAATGGTGCTTACCTTATCATCACCTTTTGACACTGAACAATTTGGACCTTCAAAACAGATTTCGGTAGCTAGGAAACTGGACACCTTGCACGGTGTTATAATCAACGTGCCGCGGCTTAGCAATAATGGCGCTCAAGGTGATTTCCTGAAATCTCGGTAAGCTCGGTAAAGGTCGGTAAAGGTCGGGTAAAATGTCCTGCTGGTAGTTAACATAAGGCTCTGAAGTTAGCTTACTCAACTATACGACGTACTTCGGCATGACGTCGGAGCCTAAAATAAGATCTTATCTCTACCTTCACTATGCCCCGTCACTCCCTACGCAATGAGCTCCTTGACGAATTGGACGAGGTGCAACTAGCCTTGAAAAAGGCAAGGCTTCAGCATGCAATCCGAAGTTATGCTCTCTCCTATTCTGATTCTGATGACTTGGATTCGGACGATTCTGACCTCGACACAATTATCACACCTCCGTCACCTCCTACCCCATTTTTCTCTGACAGTTCTGACTTCGACTCCTCCAGCGATGAATCTGACCACTTTGCTGCACGTTATGACCGTCTGAATGACACTATCACTTCCCTTTATGATGAGGTCATCAGGGCACGTGTCCTCCATCAACCAAATGCACCTCCCATGCGAGCCCCCCAAATACAACTCCTTCATGATTTCGGGGACTCTCGACCTCACCTGTTCCGCAAGAAGCTCCGCGTCAATCCAGACATATTTGACGACATCTTAGATCAAATTTCAGGTCACGCCATTTTCACCAATCGCTCAAATAACCCGCAGCTCCCCGTCGCAGTCCAACTTGCAATATTTCTTAACCGTGCTGGGCACTACGGTAACGCTATATCTCCGGAAGACGTGGCTCAGTGGGCTGGTGTTAGCATCGGCTCGGTAATCAATTGTAGCAATCGCGTCATGGTCGCCATTCTTGATCTCCACGATACGTTCATTGTCTTCCCTGCTCTTGACTCCGATGATGCAGAGCAGGCTCGCCGATTCGTCGAGGCGAGGTCATGTCCCGAGTGGAGAAATGGGATCTTCGCCGTTGATGGCTCTGCAATTAATCTGTACGAAAAGCCCGGTCTTTATGGTGAAGCGTTTTATGATAGGAAATCAAATTATTCTCTCAATTGTCAGGTACGTTTTTTCCTCTTATTCTAATGATACGAAATCTAACGAAACCTTTAGGGAGTTATCATGCCTCATAACTTGCTTATCGTCGATTACTCCCTCGGTCATCCTGGAAGCACACACGACGCATATGCATTCAAATCGACACGTGTTTATCAAGAACACGACACCCTTCTTCAAGCTGACCACTGGATCTGGGCCGATAGTGCTTATGCACTGGAGAGGTGGTGTGTTCCTCCCTTCAAGAAGCCACGGAATGGCCGCTTGACGAGGAATCAAAAGAGCTTTAATGTCAGTCTCTCTCGCGTATGTGCTCATTTTTCTGCTCGTTAGAATATTTACTAACTTTCAATTGGTTTAGATTCGCGTTCGCATCGAGCATGCATTCGCTGCTTTGAAAGGACGCTTCCAATCCCTCAAAGAACTTCGTCACCCGATGCAGAATCAAAAGGACCTTCAAATCACTCTCCACTGGGTCAGGTGTTGCCTGATACTCCACAATATGATCATCCGCTTTGAGGCACAGCGCAACCGCTCAACAATCAGATGGGCTGTCGGGGAGGGGCTAAATACTATGCGCCGTGAGTTTGAAGAAGCGGATGGTGACGAAGTGATAGGCGATAGATCATATGAGGGTACCCCGGGTCAAGCATGTAGGGCAAGGCTCATGGATCAATTGTTCGACAGCCCTCATTCAGAAGCTCAACGTCGCGAAGGGTGAGCACATAACACGGATGATTCATCACAAGAACAATTGTAGTACGTAGATATAGTGAGTAATTCATGGAAGACAGTGGCAGCCGTACAAAGATGCGCGAGAACAAGACAAATGCGAGCGTGAGATATGAAAAAAAAACAAATGAGCAAGTCGGAAGTGCGAACAGAAACAAAATCCAGTGAACGAATATACAAACATACAGATTGAAGCCCCAGGAGAGATCAATCACTCTTGGCAGCATTGATCTTGGCCCACTCGATCCGCAGGCGCATCACGTCCCTCTCCATTTCAAGAGCCTTGGCGTCTGCTTCACGCAGGCGAATCTCCGTCTCCTTGGCCTCCTTCATGCGTTGATGGACAATAGCAGCATCTGCGCGCTCATTGGCACGCTCCTCACGAAGGAAATCGTGCTCTTTCTGCTGGCGGTTAGAATTCATCTTCACCATCAGTCGCTCATTCTTGAGCTGATACAACGAGACCTTCTCAGAGTGTATGCTCTCCAAGTCATCGTTCAACATCTCGACTTGTTCTTGAATTTCCGACCGGACACGTTTCGACACTGAGTCCTTGCCTTTTGGATTGGCCGAAACAGATGTTTGTGAAGTTGGCAATTTTTGAACTGATGAGCCTTGCCTACCAGCGCGTCCACGTCCCAATGAGCTGCGGGAGGTCTTCGAGGATGTGACAGAAGGGGTGCTATTAGTAGCACCCTCGCGCACCATGAGCTGACCAGCATGAGATTTGAAGGAGCCACGACCATCGTGGATGGAGGTGCGGGGCTTCTGTGGAGCTGCAAATGAGGGAGGGGGGGACGGAGTTGGAGAAGATGGAGGCTGCTGGCGTTTCTTGGCGCCCCATTTCAATTTTGGTGGGCTGTCCAAAATGATGACATTGTCATCGTCATGATGACCGACTGACTCATCCATATGCAGGTCTTCCATGTCACCAGCAAGGGGGTTGTTGTTGTCGTCGTCCATTCCAGGAAAGTCTGAAAGTGTCTGAGGGCCTGGGGAGTATGTGTTGCGGCTTTGTGACTGAGCACCTTGGGGAGAGAGGTCATAATTCCAGCGTTGTGGAGAGCCAGAAGTGCTGCTTGCTTGAACACTCTGTTGAGGGGGGGGAAAGTTGAATTGGGGAGTGGAGAGAGAGCCAGCGACACCACCAGTATAGGTGCCTTGGGGAGGGAGGCCAAAATTCCAGTGCTGCGGAGAGCCAGAAGCGTTCCCTGGTTGGGCATTTTGTGGGAGGGGGAAGCTGAATTGGGGAACAGGAACACTGCCAGGGTGGGCGCTTTGGGGAGGGACATTGTAATTCCACTGCGGGTGGGAACCAGCGACGCCGCCTGGTTGACCACTTTGGTGACGGAGGCCAAATTGATGGGGGGCAAACTGTGAAGGTTGTGAAGGTGGCGGATAGGGAGGGGGAGGGTAGTTAGATTGTGGGACGCCTGTTCCACTACCAGTGGCAGCGCTGGTAGAAGGGATGTTACATTGTGGGGGGGGATGAACAGAGCTGCCCGCAGGACGGGTGAGGGCAAAAAGATCACCTGCGTGGTCGGTGCCTGGCTTTGATGAAGTCGTTTTGGCAGCAAATGATGGGTTGGAGCCCCATATTTTACGGAGATCGTCGTACCAGGGGAATTCTTTCTGGACTTTGGCTGTGAATTTTATTAGTAGAATTAAATAAACATAAGTAACGGACTCACCATGTAGATTTTCCGCAGTACATGCATCGAGGGGCACAATCCCTGCACCAGTTGATTCAAATTCATTGCGGTAGTCACGGAATTTATTCCGGAGACTTCAAATAACTTGATTAGCATCTACGATCTGATAACCAAAGGATCACTTACGCTGTTATACGGTTGGACACAGAGTCACGAAACCTGGTCCGATTGGCAGCATATTGGCCAGAATATACTCTATCGCCGCTGAAAATCACTTCTGCTATCACTGCATAGATTGCGTTCTTGTCTTTGCCCGATGGAGGACCCTCGATATTAGGATCACTAGGTTTCTTCCCCTCGCTAGAGAATAGGATGCGACAATCTGCCACATTGTTGACGAGGTAATCGACCAGCTTGTTGGTACGTTGGATGTCTGCCTGCCAACTGATGCTTGTCTCGGTGGTATCTCCATCTCCTTTGGAACGCCTGGACTTTCCTCTTCCACGGTTGGGGGGTGGGACTGGAGGAGGATTCATGGCCTTCCACTTGGCCTGGTAGTAGATTGGGGAGAGGTTCTGCGACCCCTGCAGTCGTGCAGAGCGACGTAGTCGTGGTCGTAGGGCAGGCATATACTTTTAAGCTCCGACGTCATGCCGAAGTACGCCGTATAGTTGAGTCAGCTAACTTCAGAGCCTTATGTTAACTGCCAGCAGGACATTTTACCCGACCTTTACCGACCTTTACCGAGCTTACCGAGATTTCAGGAAATCACCTTGAGCGCCATTAATGTATTATTGATTACGGTATACATTTCGTGAGTCACATCACCACGCGTATCACCTCGTTTGTGACCCCACTAACGCAAAGTGGGGTTAACCAAGAGTTAACGTTCACTTTGCTTAGTTTCACGCCGCATGTTACATGCGAGGCGACTTATCATATCTTGGAAGTTGGAACGGAGCTACGATATCTTATCACGAACCCATATAACAGTTGAGTAAACACACTCGAAAAGTCCACCAGGTTTTTCTGTCACTAACCACCAAACCACTACTATTGACCACCCTCTGCGCTTACAATGAACTTCAAATCTCTTGCCTTACTCCTCACTGCCGCTGCAGCCCCTCAGGTCGCAGTCGCGGGTCCACTTGCCTATGCCATTTGTCAGACAGGTAAGGTCTAATCACATCATTAACATGCACCGCTGACTCTACTTCTTGAACAGGATGCAATGGCTTGGTTGTCGCTTGCTATGCCGGCGCCGGCTTCACGTTCGGAGTCGCACTCCCTTTAGCACCTCCTGCGTTGCTAGCATGCAATGTGGGCCTTGGGACTTGTATGGCGGCTTGTGCCGTGGTTGCACTTACACCCACTCTCTGAGTGAGTGCAATCATGAATGTGACGACGAGAATCCACAGACCTTTTCTTGTGTAACGAGGACGGCGTCCTTGTTCTAGCGTGATAGCACGATGCAGGTTCAATGGTGACAGCACCAAAAATTCGACCATGGACTCTTATGTATCTTGTTCTCACAGCTGGTTGCGCGCAATTTCGGAGAGTCCATGTCCCGTCGTTTCCATTTCGCGCTACATAGCTACAGAATCACTGTGTCTATACTACGATTATCTTTCCTCCACGACATCAGTATCTTGTGATTCGTATTCAAACTTGGGCAGAAAATTACGAATGAATGCATTTGTCTGGCAAAGGCTTTGGATCCAGACTAACGTTTATGATAAGCGATTTTCCTCATTTCCAATGGTATGCCAGGAAATGAGTATAACGCAAAGCGGGGTTAACGTTCACTTTGCTTAGAGCCCGTTCAGCAACCGGTGTTTGAACGAAAAATTCGCAAAATCAAACATTATCGGTCGGCACACACTACCGAAATTCAAGCTCAGTCTGAATAGTGAGTGAGCGGCCGATAACATTGATAACATTGATAACATTTACGACGATAATCTGAATAGCTATGGATGTAGATGAGCCTACTCATAACCGCTTTAACCTACAACGACCACTCACAGTCCCGCTCGTTCGACCAATATTGCAACAAAATCGTCCCCCCCGGCCTCACCGTGCTGCACTTCGGCATCGTATCATTCGTTATGTCGCGCTCATCCTCAGTCTCCTGCTGGCCGCAGTGCATGTCTTCATGCAGGACACTGATGAACCTGAGCCCTATCACACCTCAGCCCTCACAGGGCAAGAGTGGGTGATAGAACTAATCCTCGGCCATCCCGATCGCATCCGTTGTGAGCTTGGGGTCAATGTTGAGGTCTTCGAGAAATTGATAGAGGACCTTCGCACCCTTGGTCACCGTGATTCACGTTACGTCTCACTTGAAGAACAGCTATCCATATTTCTCTATACGTGTGTGACAGGATTAACTGTCAGACACGTCGCAGAACGATTCCAGCGTTCAAACGCTACCATCTCTAAGTTCGTATTTTGATCTATATCTCACACTCACGCTGGTACTGACACTCTCATAGGTATTTTCGCAAGATGCTAGACATCTTCGCATCCCACCCTTTTTACACAGAATATGTCCACCTCCCCGCTCCTGATGCACCAGTCTCGAGTGCAATTCGCGACAACCCGAAACGTTGGCCATACTTTCGCGATGCTATTGGCGGGAGTCATATTCACGCATTTCCTCCCTCAGCCAGTCGCCACCTATACTACAACCGCAAAGGTTTCGTATCTCAAAACTGCCTCTTCGCTTGCGACTTCGATCTTCAGTTCACCTTTGCGCTAACCGGATGGGAGGGGTCAGCAACAGATGCTCGGCTTTGGGATGTAGCGCGCCATGATGGCTTGGACGTTCCGCCTGGAAAGTACCTTCTTGCAGACCTTGGTTTCCCCTCGTCCCGACAACTTTTAGTTCCATACCGCGGTGTACAGTACCATCTAGCAGAGTGGGGTCGTGCTAGCGTCAGGTAAGACTTATTCTCTGCAGTGTATCTCAACTAACAATACTCATTTTAGACCGGTTAACAAGGAGGAATTGTTCAACCTTCATCACGCGTCTGCTCGCAACGTTATTGAACGTATTTTCGGCGTCATGAAGCGGCGCTTTCGCATTCTCTTGGTATCACCAGAGTACAAGATAGCCATCCAGGCTCGCATTCCTGCAGCACTGTGTGCTCTGCACAATTACATACGTATTCACGACCCAGACGAAGAGCCGCTCCCTCACAGGGCTATATTTAACGACAACCCTACCCATCAGGGCCAACCTGCTCAAGGTGGTCCTGATGTTACTGATCCAATCGTTGACGATGATGTAAGTGCGAATGTGTTTCGTGATCGCATGGCTGCAGAAATGTGGGAGGACTACCAGAATATCCTACATGAACGCAATTTAGTAGACATCACTCACTCATTAGACATCGACGAGGATCCAGAGGACATCGAGGACATCGACCACTATTATGGGAGCGAGGACGATAATGAAAGTGATGCTTAGAAATACGTTACATTGTAGTGTACATAGGGCTACAAATGAAAACGTGCGGTTCATCTAACATGGTGCGAACAAATGAAAACATACGGCAACGCATATGGCAATGAGTGAGACAAAAGCAAAACATGATGACAATGACAACGTTTAAAACACACCAAATTCCCCCCTGGCAGCCTGGTCAAGAACAGATCGCAAGTAGGGGACCCGTCTTTCAGACTTGGCAGCCAAGTAGATGGCGCATACTGCTGGGCTCCTTGCGAACACGTTCATGAGCGTGACAGACTCATCTTCTGTAATCAGTTCCTCCTCCTGCATGGCGAGCACAGCCTGTAGCCTTTCATCCAACACCCGAGTTTCGTTTTGGTCGGTGTTGGATGCTGATGTGCGAAGGCTGTCCGTCAGGCTGTTGATGGAACCTTGCAGGTTCATGAAGACGGCAGTGCTGGCAGCGTCTTTGGCAGCCCTAGAGCCTTTGCGAGTGCGGCCGGCTTGACTTTTACCGTGTGTCGACAACTTCGGCTTTTTGTCGACATTGGAGGCGTGGGATGAATCTACCAGTGACGTAGTTTGGGCGGTGCTGGGGGACAAAATCATGTCGGAATGCGAGCGTTTGCCCGTACTGGAGGGCGCAATAGAAGAGGGGGGAGGGGGAATGTTCATAGAACTTCCAGCGACTCCAGGAGTGATGGATGGGAGGGCTGACTTGATCTGGTCCCATCCAGCTTGTGGCGCAGCAGCGAGTCTAGATCCGCTGGCCTCAGCATTGGGAGCCTCCGATGCTTGTATGGATGAGGATCCACCGGCTTCAGCATTGATAGGAAGAGCCGCTGATGCTCCCACAGCCAAGGAAGCTGGATTGTAGGCGGATGCCCCCTGAGCGCCACTCCCGTTTGGGAGAATCTCTGACATCTTTTGCCAGTGTCTCCACCCGTTGTTTTTGAAAGGTTTCATCACCTGAAAATAAGGAGTGAGTAGTAGACAAGTAATAAATACAAACATACCTTGTTGGAATTATTAGCGGTAATAAATTGGTTCCACTGGAGTTCCGCCGCTTCCCCCTGAATATTAGCGCCGTTAACATTGTCCCAATGACATCCGGATCGGTTGTTGCGATATCTCTCGATGGCATTGTAGATTTGTTTCAACTGTAAGGGTTATTAATGATAAGTTAGTAATGCGGCTAGGGAGTAGGATACAGAGACATACCGCTTGCCATTTCCTCTTACACTGTGCCATGTCCTTGTCTGGGCCTTGCTTCTGAAGTCCCACAAGTTTCTTTGCTGCCTCATTGAAGGTCTCATCTTTGAAAGTCGTCCCAGCGATCTTTGACACCTGCGATTGAAGATAGACTAGGAATGCATCGACCTCCTCCTCACACCACTGAGCTTTGGGTTTACTTTCACCCTTCTGAGTCATCATAAAAAGTTGGAACTGAGTGCAGAGGATGATGGCAGCTACAGTTGAGACGATCTGCCTTCGCTGATAAGAACTGATTCGTCTTTGGCTTGTGCTGGCAGGCATGATTAGAGTAGAGTTCATTGAAACTCCGCCACAAACGGCTTCCGTGCCGTTCCAACGCAATCTGTACATAAACATAAATTTTGTTCAAACAACGGTTGCTGAACGGGCTCTTAGTCCCACGCCATGCGAGGCGACTTATCATAGCTACGATATCTTATCACAAACCCATATAACAGGCACACTCAAAAAGTCCACCACTGGGCTCTTCTGTTATTAACCACCAAGCCACTACTATCGACCACTCTCTGGGGGAAAAATGAACTTGAAATCCCTGACCTTACTCCTTACTGCCGCTGCAGTCCCTCAGGTCGTAGTCGCAGGTCCGTTTCTCTGTGCCATTTGTCAGGCAGGTAAGGCCCAATCACATCATTGACGTGCACAGCTGACTCAACTTCTTGAACAGGATGCATTGGCGTGGTTGTCACTTGCTATGCCAGCGCCGGGTTCACGCTTGTAGTCGCACCCCCTTTAGCAGCTCCTGCGGTGATATTATGCAATGTGGCCTATGGTAGTTGCGCGTTGGCTTGTGCTGCGCTTGTGTTTGCACCCACTCCCTGAGTGAGTGCAATCATGAATGTGGCAACGAGAATCTACAGGCCTTTTCTCGCGTAACGAGGACGGCGTTCTTGTTCTAGCGTGATAGCACGATGCAGGTTCAATGGTGACAGCACCAAAAACTCGACCATGGACTCTTATGTATCTTGTTCTCATTGGTCTCACAGCTGGTTGCGCGCAATTTCAGAGGGTCTTTGTCCCGTCGTTTCCATTTCGCGCTAGCTACAGACTCACTATGTCCAGGCTCTACGATTATCTTTCATCCACGGCATCAGTGTCTTGTGGTTCGTATTCAGAAAATTACAAATGAACATGTGTTTGTCTGGCAAAGGCTTTGGATCGCTCATGATAAGCGGTTTTAATGAATGTAACATTCACTTTGTCTAGTTTCAACGCCGCATGTTACACGCGAGGCGATATTTTGGAACGGAGCTACGATGTCTTGCCACCCACCCATATAACAATCGAGTAAACGCACTCGGTAAGTCCACCAGTTACGATTACTTACCATCTCATTTGGTTAAGTCACTACTATCCGATATCGACCACTCTCTAATGAGCTTGGAAAATGCCCTCGCTGTCGCAGTGGAATCCAATGTCCCACTCCTCGCTGCCACAGGTGTAATAATTTCCATTGTAGTTGTGGGTGGGCTTGTCTATGTTATTTATAAGACAGGTAAGGTCTACTATCACATCATGAATGTGTACCACTAACTCGAATTCTTGAACAGGATGCTCTTTCTACGCCAGATGCAGGGCATCCAGTTTCAAACTCGGGCCCATCCTTATGTTAGACCCTGACATAGAACTTTACCTTGCGTGTCCTAGAACGGTATCCTTGTTGTAGATGACAGCACGACGCATGTTTAAGGGTGTACAACACCGGAAACACAACCTTATGTATCTTGTTCTCCGAGTTGTTTGTCTTTCCTCTTCTCGCAGTAGTCTATGTCTTGCTGTTCCTGTTTCGCGCTAGCTATGGATACAATGTATAACACCTCAAAGCGAACTTCAATGATTGTGCGATACACAACAACGGCCCCAGCGCACGATACAACGTATCAAAACGTGCAACACAGCCCACAACAGTCGTGTTCTAGAACTTGATGGGAGTAGGGCACGAGAGATTGTACAGCAAGATTCACGTCACCGATAAAATTATCCTGAGATAGAGGATTAATGCGATAAGGGACAGATGGACTATCAGGGTCGCGGATACCGCGCAAAAATCGTATTGGATGGTTGGGGCTCTACAAAGTCAGGCAGCATGGCGACATGCAGAAGAACGCGGAAGCAACTCAGCGGTAGTGATGGATGGGTCTGGCCAGGTTCTCCCGACCGTGGACCGAACCATCAGTTCAGCCTGATAATGTTCCCAAACTGGACAACAAAAGACAATGAAATTGATCGACGCAACTAGACGGAGATGACCTTCCAGTTGAGAACATACTAGTTGACAGGAGGCAGACTCGACGATGGCGCAGTCACAGCCTTTGAGAGAAAAGTTTCGGGCTGTGGTGAGTGAAACTTCTGAGCTACTCGTTAGATTCATTGCACTGTAGACGACGTACGGAGGAGCTCTCGTGGTAATTCGATGTCGTATTGGGATTATCACTTGATCCGTTCCATAATGGGAAGAGTGTTCGGAGTTTGATAGTCGTGAGTAAGAACTCCGAGACACGGGAAGGTTGACAATCCCAGTGAGGAAGGTAAACTTTAATTTCCTGTGGAGTTCTGGACTTCGCGAGCGCGGAGCGCCGACATCATTATCATCGCGGCTCACGTTTTTTAAAGTCAGAAATATTAATATTTGGTGCTTACCTTATCACCACCGATAGGAAACTGAACAAGCTGCTCGACGACTGCTTGCGCGGAGCACCGTTACACATTACAATCGACATACAGCAGCTTGCAGGCAGTGCCATTGAAAGTTAGAAATGAAACACTAGTATTAGTGAATTTTGTGAGTCACACCACCATTTGTATCATCTTACCCCCACAAACGCAAAACAGGTTCACATTGCTTAGTCGCATGTCTATTACACGGGAATAGTTATATTTTGGAACGGAGCTACAATCTCTTGTCAATCCACCCATATAACAGTCGAGTAAACACACTCGCTAAGTCAACCAGCTCTTCTGTTGCTAACCCGCATCTCATTCAGTCAAGCCACTACTATTGACCACTCTCTGCGCTTACAATGAACTTCAAATCTCTTGCCTTACTCCTCACTGCCGCTGCAGTCCCTCAGGTCGCAGTCGCGGGTCCGCTTGCCTACGGCGTTTGTCAGACAGGTAAGGTCCAATCACATCGTTAACGTGCACGGCTAACTCGACTTCTTGACAGGATGCAATGCCTTGGTTGTCGCTTGCTATGCCGGCGCCGGGTTCACGTTCGGAGTCGCACTCCCTTTAGCACCTCCTGCGTTAATAGCATGCAATGTGGGCCTTGGGACTTGTATGGCGGCTTGTGCCGCGGTTGCGCTTGCACCCACTCCTTGAGTGAGTGCAATCGTCAATCTGGCGGCGAGAACCCATAGACCCCCTCTTGCGTGATGAGAATAGCATCCTTGTTGTACCATGCCAATCCGACGCAGGTTTGGCAGTGTACAGCACCAGATATATAACCATGGACTCTTTATGTATCTTGTTCTCGTTTTAAACCGTCTTTTCCTTTTCTCACAGTCGGTCGTACGCATTTGAGAGTCTATGTCCCGTCGTTTCTATTTCGCGCTAGCTACGGACTCACTGTGGCTAGACTATCTTTCTTCCCCTCATGGTTACTGGTACCTTTTTGATTTGTGTTCAAACTTTAGCAGAAAATTACAGATGCTCATGCGGTTGTTTGGCAATGGCTTTGGATCTAGACACGCTCATAATCGACGGCTTTCTTCATTTCCAGTGGCATCAATTCTCACATCAAGCGGCAGTTCCAACAGGTTCCTACTATGGCTCATCGAAACACGCGCTGAACAATTTACAATTGTTTGACCCTCGAAATGGATTTCGGTGGGAAACTGGGCTGCTCGATGGAGTGCCGTCACATCGACATGCTGTGGATTAGCAATGTCATTCAAAGTCAGAAATGAAGCAACGCTGTGCACTACTACTGCTAATACCAGTAGTGGCGTACTATCGGTTACGATATGATAGACCTACATTTCGTGAGTCACATCACCATGTGTATCATCTCGCTTCCCCACTAACGCGAAGCGGGGTCATCTTGCTTAGTTTCACGCCCCATGGGAGGCGACATAATTATATTTTCGAACGGAGCTATGTTCTCATGTCACCCACCCCATATGATACTTGGGTAGACGCTCAGTAAGTCCACCAGGCTCTTCTGTTACCAACCATCTCATTCAGTCACTGCTATCGACCACTCCCTGGGCAAAAATGAACTTGGAATCACTTGCCCTACTCTGCCGCTGCAGTCTCTCGAGCTGTAGTCGCGGGTCCACTCGTATACAGTATTTGCCAGACAGGTAACTGAGTTCCAATCAAATCATTGCGCACCACCGACTCAACTTGAACAGGATGCAATGGCGTAGTTGTTGCTTGCTACGCCGGCGCAGGGTTCACATTCGGAGTCCCACTCCACGCGGTGCCCCCTGCGTTGGCTGCGTGTAATTTGGCGCTGGGCGGATGTATGACGGCTTGTGCCGCGATCGCGCTTGCACCCACTCTCTGAGTGGGTCTTATCGTGAATACGCCCACAGGCCCCCTCTCCTCTTTTGATGAAAACGGCTTCTTTTTTTGTATTACTTTTCATCTCGGGCATCGGTGGCTTGTCAGTCATGTGCTTTGGTTCGTACATAGCTTGTGACTGCATTTCATCGATTTCATCAACCGTCTGTGTTATTAGTATGCAATCATCGCGCTTTCCCCCTCTGTACTTGTAGTTATTTGTTTTGTTTTGTTCTTTGTCACAAGTGTGCTGCTTGGCAGGGGTTATTCACAGCATTTCGTTTTGTTTGTTCCTGGTGATAATTCTTCATGCACGATGCCAGATTCAGTGAGATTATGATATTGTCCGTTTTGAGTTTTAGTGAATTGAAACTATATACCATAATACACGAGGTACCCTGCCATCGAGACATGCTATTATAATACAATATGACGACATAGTAGTAGCAGTAAAAAAAAAGCGTCCCATAACAAAAACAGAACAAAGTCATCGCCCCAATCTGATAGGGAGATTCATCTCACAGTAAAACTCGAGGATTCACCCGTGAACGCCGATATACTTCCCAAAAGCGATTTTGAATCGCCGTAGTATGTTATTCGATACGTCCCCGCTGGCGTTCCATCCTCGATGGTCCTGTACAAGTGATCAACAGATCTGCAGTAGCGCCCGCTAGTTTGGAGAATGCTCACCATCGTATATCAACCGTACTTGTGCCGAGTACCTAAAATGACGTCAGTCGATGAATATGCAGTGTTTGAAAACGTACCTTGCTCGTCCGATTCCACTGGTACGTCGTCGAAGGATGTGAGTCTGTCCTCACTACCACCCACCCACTGTTCGTCTGTCTGTCCACCGTGAGGAATGTCCCCTCTAGTCTTAGATTATTCTGGTGGTATTTACAGTCGGGTCAGAACAAACATAGAAGGAAGCAATTCATTTTCGATAGCTTACCCTTGGGTTAGCCCCGACGAATCGTGCAGCTACAGTGTCTCCCGTGTGATACGTGTTGCTCTCGACATCAACGAGGACATCTCCAAAGTGCTTGAAGATGGGAGGATTGTCAACGACCACCGAGGTCTGTGAGTCACAGGTTACTCATCGAACGATACGTCATGCCGGGTGGGATCGTAGACTCACCTGTAACGAGATCGCCTTACTCGTCTGCTCCGGAGGAGCTGCATTCGACGACGGCATCCCAGCGGCACTATCCCCGAGATACGGAACGAGCTCGCTGTACTTGTGGATATACGCGTCGAGTGTAGCTGGCAACACAACCAACCCGTCAAAATACGATGTCTTGCGAGAAGCTCGAAAAACAAACTCACCAGGTCCAAATATCGTACTAGCACCTTCGTATCTCTGCACGCCATACTCCTCGCGCGTCGTGATGTAGTGTCCATAAGTGTTTGCAGGACCCGCGATCACCACATACGCCCTATCGTCCAGGACACCCTCCGCAATCAGCTTCGCCCTCAGTGCGTTCCTACACAAAGAACACATCTATCAATGACCGACACTCAGAAACCCAAGCCCAGAGTGTACCTACCTCATCCTCCTCCCCGCCATGGTGGTCAACTCCCCTGGCATCACAAGAATCACGAATTGCCCCACCCTCATCATCTGCACATCCACCGTCCCGGGCGACCAGTCATATGGCTTATGATTGTATCCCGAATTCAGTAATATGGGCTTGGGGTGGTGACACGCGATCTGTTCTTCTGATGGGGCTGGGGTGATGAATCTTTTGACGACTTCCCAGAAGGGGTTTTGAGATTGGGAGGAGTTGTCTCCTTGGATGAAGTCGAATGCGCCGGGACCATCACTGAGGACGCGTTATGCGATGGGAAGTGGTCAAGCGACAGGGGCTTACGTGGTTCCGCCCGCGAAAGAGTAACCTAAGGAGAGCGAGTTTAGGAGGGATTGATAACAGAGGAAGAAAAAATACTCACCAAGAGCAGCGGGGCATGTTCTCGCAAGCGTCCCATTTGGCAATGCAAACGAATAATTCGTCCTTCAACCGTATCATCTCACCGCCAATTCAACGAGAGATGCACTTACATATCAAGATACACGTGCGCGCTCTTCACACTTCCGCTCACAGCAGTCATATTGCTGCCTTCCATTACAGTTCGTGTTGCTTCAAATTGTGCCTGCCCGATTATCCTATTGGACTCGAAATCCGATATGTTGAAGCCGGGACCCCTTAATATGCGGAGATGAGATAAGTTATCAGCGTAGGTCTGGTAACGACAAAAGAAATGAGGTAATGGAAAGTGAATTAGCAGCGCAGTGCATGCAACGATAACAGCAAGAGATCGGAGTAATGATGGAAGAGTAGAGACGCTGGTTCGACCGCGACAGTTTAAATGGTTATTGACATTGAACGTGAGGAATGAAAATAGCAAACAAACAAGTGAAGAGAAAGGATATAAGACAAACTTACCGTCCGTGGCAGTCTTCGGTTCGATTACCACATGTCGAATGCTCAAACTCACAAGGTTGGCCATCCCATGGTTTTCCGGGTGATTCACAGTAGGCGCCCAGGCTATTAGAGGCGAGTACGGGCGAAGAGATTATGTATTTTGTAGAGGATATGCATGATGAAGACCGGGACGTGGGTTATCAGTGTTGTTGAGGGAGAACGTTGTATATATATTGTTGAGGTGGGAAATATGATGCAGATGAAGTCAATACATCAAACATTATCACCACAACAAAAGGCTCACGTATTCGGGGTGGTATCACCCACATTGGCTTCAAGCGCCTTGTTTCAACATGAAGGAAGGAAGAGGGGATGGTGACTCACATTGTACAAACCCTGCCACAAAGGAGTTGTTGCCAGGCATCGAGGAAGGCTCGATGTATGCTACTGAAGTATTAGGTTTGCCAAATGTGGGTTGAGGGAGACTCACATTCGTACATCCACGCTGCCATGCCTTTGTTGTCACCGCTCACCAGGGTATTGTTCTACACACCGCCTTGAGATCTTTGAAATCAAGCAACTAGAGACGTTCACGCACCTCATACAAACTCGTCCCATGCACCGGAAAAAAGCTCAGCAACCCCGTCGCATCTCCATCTGCATTCTCAAAGCCCAAAACCGTGACCGTCGTGTCCTGATTTCCCTCATACATCGCTCTTTCCCACTCCGGATTCGCCAAATACGCACTTGGACTCCGATTCCGATTCGCATTGAGCAATGTCGTATTTCCGAGCTTCAGATTACCCGGAACAAGTGAGTTGTGCGCGTCTGCGATGGCTTTCAGGGTACCGGAGACTATGGCGGCTGCGGTTGCGTTTACGTATCCGAGGGAAGTGACTTGTGGGAGGAGGTTCTCGAGATAACCACCGACGCCGCTGTGAGCATGAGTTCCGACGAGGGCAGTGTTGGCGGCCGTGTAGAGGTCCCCGTAGGATGATTGAAGAGAGGAAAGAATGGTTCGTCGGATTCCGGTGTCGCCCATACAAATATCTATTTGTCATGGTGATGTTGGATTGGATGATACGAATTGGATATAAATGACGTACCAGAGTTAATGAAAAGAACACGTTCAGACGGGTTTGAGGCGTCGGCGACTATAAATGCGCGGCTGCGTTGGCGCATGTGTAGACCAGTGTCAGTTTGTGGCAAGTATGCATAACCCTGACGCGCTACTCAGACGGTAAATCTGATTAGGAATGAAGTGTGACGTACCATCATGTTTGTCTCGACGACTGGGCTGTTGGAGGCATCATGAGAGGTACCCGAAGAACAGAAAAAAGGCGACAAACATACCCAGTAACATCTCCGATGCCTGTAGCGTATACTCTCAGTATCGCACTGGCTCTCTAGTAAGACTGTGCTCACCAAGCCCGATCAGATATTCCCCACTGCTATTACTACCCAAGGCCTCGATAGACTGGGGACTAGCGTTAAAGAACGCAGCTAGATACACGACGAATAAACGTATGGCGTCGTGAATCCAGTTGAATGGAAAGGCCGAGTCTGCGAGTGCTGTGGAGAATGATGGGAGATACATCTTTGCTTTGACTCATGCGAGATGTTTATGACTGAATTTTGCAGCTAGTTGAACGGGGTGGTGAACATTTGCTTAGTTGATACGACGAAGGAGATTGACATACTGTATACTTGACACTGGAAAGGGGCTTTGGATGTTTAGTAGATGAAAAGGATTTAGAGGGACAATTGGGAATGACGATAGAAACGTGTGGGAGTGAAGCTGTATGGAAAGCAGGACCACCGCGCTCTATTTGTCAGCATTTCTGGTGCAGGACTCCGGAAACCGCAGAGACAGAGCTAAAATATAATAGAGTAAGTCCTGCTACGTACCTAATATAGATGTTTTTCAACCGTCCTTATTTTCCCCGACTTCGAATCCTGGTCTTCCCCAAGAAGAAGTTGGTCATCAGTGGTATCACGCCGAATGACATCAACTTTTTCGTTGGGCATTGTGTTGAAAGTACGTCGAAGATCTCGCCCGTTGGCTGTGCAGTCATTAGGTTGATGTTGTTTCACCCAATAATTGATGGTATAGGTCATCCCGTGTTGGAAATCGTACATCAGTGAACCAGTGAGTCCTTGATATTGTAGGCATGGCTATTGTAATCAAATATAATCTGGATATCGCACTGTAATACTATGGATACCCAAATATATTTGTTTCGCGATGGAATATATATGAATTATATCAAAATACAGGAGTATGATCAAAGTTTGTGGCGAGACTGCAGGGGAGCGTGATCACAGGAACAAATGGATAGATATCCACTTTTCTCAACCTTGGTGTATGTTCTCGTTTGTCAAGTCCTTGAGATCGTAGATATGGCTATGTAATCCAACTAGTGATGTTCCGGCCCGGCTTGGGCTCAAAGCCCCGGCTTAGGCTCGGCCTGGGGGGGGCTTAGGCTCACCAGATTTCAAGCCTGAGCTGTGAGCCCAAGCCGGCCCAAAGCCGGGGCTTAGGCCCATGCAAGCCGCGGCCCAAACCGATGTCCGAGCTCCACCATGCTGTTCCCAACACCACGAACACCATGCGCAAACGCCCAGCACACGTCAGCAACTGCTGACGTGGCTCAGACGAATACGGACGATGGACGAGAGCAGGTGAAGGGAAGAAGACAAGGAGGAGAACGTTCGGACAGGGATGGAAGGGTGTGTGGAGGAGTGGCGTAAGAAGTGATATAGGCCGGAAGACAGCTGTTGAACTCGGAAGGTTGTCCGACCCAGTCGAGGATGGTGATGTCTGTAGGTGGACATGGACACTGAAGATACCAAATAATGAATACGCGACGACTTCTTGCAATGTGGTGACGCGAGATGACGCCCATTGAAGTCTCCGTCGAGCGTCGCTCATCCCAGGACGAAAGGAGATCAGACGTGCGTATGTAGTTGAAGTTGAGAGGAATCGCTGTCGACGTCCAAACCCTCCGAGTCGAACGTTGCCGATGAGACCGAAGGCGAGGAACGACATGGTGAATAGATCGTCCGAGCGCAAGGGAAAAGAGGCGCAGGGACGAGAGATGTGACGTTGGGGCCGAAATCTTCCAAGTATCAATGTTTCGTTTCAATATAGATTAGAAAAGGACTTACCGTATAAAAGGCAGCATCCAGCCACCCGAGCGTCTCAGTTCTGACCAAGATACTGAGACGTGAGTTAGCTTTTACTTTACACTTCGAGTAGCCGTACTGATGCGACGTAGGAGACTTACCTGTTAGGTACATACATCGTCAATAAAGAGTTCTGACCAAGATACTGAGATGAGACTTACCTGTTAGATCCTGCTGCGCCTTTACGAGTTCTAGAATCGCGTCATAGTAAGAGTCAGTAATGAGAAAATGCCAAACACATACTTGTGGGGCGTGACCACTGACGTGACAAGGTGTCATATACTCTATGTACCAAAGCCGCGGCTTGGGCCGCCGGCTTAGGCTTTTCTAAATTCAAGCCCAGGCCTAAGCCCTGCTCAGGCCGTGACTTAGGCCTGGGCTAGGCCCGGCCTATTTGGGCCCGGCTTGGGCCGGCCCAGGGCTTCAAGCCGGGCCTTGCACATCACTAAATCCAACATCATATTGCTACCAAAATTGTATGACTTTTTAAGGCTTTCCGACGGAAAGCCGCTTTCGCATCCGATAAACAATTCTAGAGCACCGTGCCAGTTCTCCACAACACTACAACATATCGCAATCACTCAAGACAATTAACACTACTCCAGACGTGCTAGTTTTATTGAAGGTACTCATATTCTCTCACCTATGCGTCACATTACACGACTTTTGAAACAAACAAATCTAGACCTGCCGTTGTTTGGCAAATCCTTTGGATCCAAACAACCGCTTTGCATGACGCACTTCACGCGACTTCTCCAGGATGCTCGACAAAAGTGAGTTGATTCTGTTTCCTCGCAACTGTCTGTTATTTTTGCTACTACGCTATGCTCAATATTTGTGTGGTTCTAAATGTACAAATGTTATCATGTCATCCGAGTCCTTTGGTCGAACTGAACATATACGAAGTTTCAGAGCATAATGGTGCTACCTATACATTGCATAATAGCCTGTGAGCATTAGGGACGAGGATGCCAAGTTTAGCGTTGGTGTCGCCAATCGCCAGCGTCCGAGTCTAGTGAAGGACGTACTGTTCAGGATCTAGAGTTACCCTACTAGTGCACGGCGCATGTCAACCAACAATCCATCAAACCTCAACGTTTCATCATGAGACAACGCGGGCAGGCGAGACTTCATGGTTTCGTAACGGGCCCTGTTTTCCGCGGACTCAAACACTATAGCCCCAGACCAAGGGCCCGCCAAACCTTTCTCCAGCGACCAACCGCGTGAAGTTGCTGCAAGGAAGATGGCATTGGTGAGGTAGCATTTCCAGTCCTCTTGGTCGAAGGAAACGTAACGAGAGTACTGCATGTTGTTTATTATATGTTCTAGCAAGTCAAAGACGGCTGGGTGGCCAAACGGGATTCGGTACGTTATAATTCTCCCATCGTCCAGAGTCATCTATAATGAATATGCATCACGACACGAAAATAAAATTTCGTTATGACCTACCTGAATGACCTCATCAGCGAATAGAAAATTTGACAGCAGGGCAGTCAGTCTTGTGATCCGCGCTGTTTGCATGTCAAATTTAGTCATGGATATGTTGTGACTCAATGCGTAGGCAGATATCCAAGAGAACGTAGCGACCTGCTCGAAGTCATTGTGTATTTCCTTCACAACCGCTTTCATCCTCGCAAGTAAATTTTTACCGTCTTGCCCAGATTTCCAAAGGACGAGGTCGACCCCATTAACACCTTTGGTGGTAGAGTACCGAGCGATCGTATTGTCCAGTGCTCTCTTAGCGATAGCAGAGTTCTCTGTCGTGGACGGGAAAAGGTTTTCTTGGAACAAAAACTTAAACATAGTCATTCGAGCATCCTCTTTTACATCTCGTATAAACTCCGGCGATGTGAAAACTAGCAACAATGACGAGGGCGCCTGTATCATGGACAAAGGTGATTCCTGGGGGATTTGTTTGGAGGTGAGAAACTTCGTCCGAGAGCGTGTAGCTTTACGGCTGCTCGGTCGAACACTCCGGCCCAACTTTTGTGTCACATGAGGCATGGGGTCAGAGGGGGGCTGAGGGTCGTTCGAGTCGCTGTGAGATCTCGCGAAGTAGTACTCATTGCGCGAGCTGCTGGACGCCATAGTATAGGCGTCAGGAGGGAGTTGAAGATTGTGTATGGTATGCGGAGCCGTGGACGGAACCAGCGTGAGGGACGGGACCAGCGTGAGGGACGGGACCAGCGTGAGGGTCCTATGTACCTCTCTTGACATGTTGTTAATGTATCTGCATAATACACATATGTGTTTAGTAGGCTGCACGAGGAAATCTAGCATGATAATTGGAAAAGCCAGGATATTCTCTCCTTCTATGTACACGTTAACAATCACAAGGAGGCTGACAGGTGACGGTGATCTTAGAACATATCGAATTAGTAGCCCAATTCACGAGACATGGACAAATCATCATATTCTCTCAGTCTGGTACAGGTCGGTAATTGCTAAGGCAGAGCGGAATGACATCGGTAGAAACCTGATATTACCCAACAGCAGCTTTGTCATTAGATGAGGAAGCTAAGCCGCTCGTCTCGTGAGGTGCAAAAAGTGCAATGGTTTTGATGGGTGGCGTGATATATGATATACTCGACGAGTGATCAATAAGGGCTCGAAGTAATGTATGACCCACTACTATATTGTTTTAGTCTATGCAGGCGTCAGCAATTGCTGAAGCAAAATGTAACTATACCAATTATTGTAGACAATAGCACAACTTCGGTCATAAATACTTGATTTCGCCCATTAACACCTTGATGATTGGATGGGGGGCGGCTGTCACCAGGGTCCCGAATTCACTTACACGGCACTACACAGCATTTGCGCAAAACCTTGGACCGCTGTGAGACGCGTGGCAAATGAATACAACTGCTAGTCGTTGGGTATTCATACGATTTCGCGTGACAATTTGAAGTAAGCTGTACGTTGTATATGTTTGCTTGATGGACACATTCCGGCTGCGATACGAAAGTGGCACTTCTTTGCACAAATTCGCAATTGATATATAGTAGACAAACATGAACAATTTAAAGAAGGTGGCATTAAAATTCGCACAAGGGCATCAGTTTGCACTTCGTAAACACTTCGTGGTACTCTGCAAAACACGAGTTTTTTGGTCTGGCTTGGGACGTTGCACGATACTCGAAGAAAATCAACTTTTTGGAGAAGAGGGCGTCAAAATTAGCACGAGAATATTAATTTAAACTTGTGCACTTGGTAAACACCTTGTAGTTATCCGGAAGATTAAGGCCTTCATGCCTGACTTTGACACGATGAAATTCACTTCTGAGGTGCCGATAGTGTCTCATGCAGTTCGACCCTTTGATTTTACTTCATATCACTTTCGAGTTAGAATTCCAACGATATGTAGGTGTTCTCCCGATCAAACGCTGGTGTAGGAAATTTATGCATTGTCCTTTCCTGTATAAAGTCAAACATCACTATGTGATGATGGATAGCAGAATTATACAGATGTTTGTGATTGTGTACTATGTATCGTCATATATACTCTTATCATCTTTCCTCCAGTTCACTGATGTACGGGAAGGAAACAAGAAGCATGCGTTTGGGAGTCGGGGATCCCTTGTGCGCAACATTCCAATATCACGCACGCTACATAATAAGTCTTATTGTAGATCCAACTACCATTCGTCAACCACATGTCCATCTTCGTCATCGGAAAACTCCCAGACCACTAGACCAGCATGACCAGACTCGTCAAGGTTGGTGTCTTCAATGAGAGATACATCAGGTTCATCCTGCCCTGCAAGTATGTCCAATTGTCGTGAATGAGATTCATCTACAACGAAGAGCGCCTCCGCGTCCACTCAAAATCTTACATCGTCAAGTGCCTTCGAGTCTACCAAATGGTCCCACAGGAACAATCTGAGCACCACCACCACATCTTCATCACCGCCTCACAAAAAGCTTGCAGTTGCGCCACCCAAAGTGCTGTTTAGCTCGCCTGATCGCAGCGACCTAAAGGAAGCACTGCGGAGTGGAGGCAGTGCAACAAACTTTGATGTTGCACAAGGTGAGTTTGGTGTCCTGTTCACAGTGGTGCACTGTTAACCGTTTCTCTACTGTTTTTCTTGCAGTGCTTGGCACATACACTGAGAACGTTCATTTCTATGGGATCCCCACTCGTCCGCTTGCAGATATCCTTAAGAATCTCAATTATCGTTCTTTTAAGGTAGAACCAGCGCAGGCGATAATCGGACAGCTGACAGTCAATTCATCTACGCGCAGCATGCTGGGGGCTGGTGGATTTAAGACTGCTCATCCTGGTTGGCTTTCTCTCACTCCTCTTGTTAAAAGTGGGCTAGGATCGGTTCCTGGTCAAAATGTTGCAGTGAAGCGACCGTTTCATAAGGTGTTTCCATCCGCCTCAAGCCTTATGTACAAAATAGGTCGTTTTTCGTCAATCGACGAAATAGCCAAGCTTGGCAAGGAAGCAAACATTTTATATTGGGCTCATTCTCTCCTACAGCTCACATATGCCTTCATCGATCACTGTATTGCCTCCTCTGAGGAACCTCCGCCATTTGACATCCCTCGTGTGCGCTTCGTTGACGCTGGCTTGGCGATCTCTTACTCTCAACGTGATTCCAAACCTACGAAGGCAGGCTCAAAAACAGGCTCGTCGTGTGTGGGATATCTTGTAGAGGAGCTTATTGAAGGCGGGCCAGACGTTTTTATGAAGTTCATTCACAACATGGACTCTAATCCTCTGCTCGATCATGATGATTATGGCTATGAAGTAGCTTCGTTCTTTTCTTTCACGCAACACGTGCAGTATGTAAAGACGGGTGGCTTGGCCTTCATCTCAGACTATCAAGGTAATTCATTGCTTTGCAGCTCGATACACTACTGACTCGGATATCCTGATAGGAAGCACAGAGCTGCTGACGGACCCGCAGATCCTAACAGACCCGTGCGTCAATATGTCATTCCATGCTCGCTTATATAATTTTTTGATTAGGTCGGTTGGTCAAGGGAAGGATCTTTTTGGCGAGGGGAATATGGAATGCACGGTTAGCATGTTCGAGAAACAGCACAAATGCAATGAGTTTTGTGAGTGGCCAGGGTTTGGATTGGTGCCCTTCGCCACGACAACAGAAGACGAAAGCACAGAGGAGACGGAAGCTGGAGAAGCCGGATGTAGGGAAGATGGTCCAATTGCCTCTTAGAATATTATCTGAACGTTCTTGCACGGTATTTCTTGGACTGTACAACAAAACAAACTTCTTACGGTGTACGGGGTACTCGAGAAGCTCCTGCCTTATATAGTACGATTTTGGCTGACAAATAGAGCGCGGTGGTCCTGCTTTCCATAAAGCTGTGCGAGCCTCGTTCATTGACGTATTGACCCCTACTATCTGGTGTAGGCTACTAGTTGCCTCAGACACGTGTTCAGTTGGCTCTACCACATTTTCACCTAAGTCTCTCATGTATTTGGACTGCTCAGCCTTTCGAGGACCAACTATTATGTACTCAGTAACCAAGAACGTTCTTATTGCAGCGAGATGCATAACCCTCAACCGAACAACACACGATTCGCTGCATCAACAAGCTCATCGTTCTCTACCCCTCCTGATACGAATGGCTCGAAACCCAACGCCCGACGTCCTTGGCTAGTGGTAATATCCTGCGCCGTAGCTTGTCCCGCGAAAGTAGATTCGCCGGAGCCTCCAGGAAAGTCCCTGCCAGCATTGAGCAGTCAGCATTAGAGAATCACTCGAGATGAAATACATACGGAGCAGGAAGACCGTGCACAAAATTAGCTCGTTGGTCACGAATGTATGTTGCGCTGAGCAAGGCAAATTTCAAGTTGAGCTTAGACTACAAGCCACGAGAGAATCACTTTTTCACAGAAAGTGGGACTGCAGGAATATAGAAAACCGACGAATCCCTTTGACCACCATGCAGTTTCTCAACGGAATGTACGATATCACAGTGCCCTGTCCACGCGAACACAGTCAAGAAAGTCAAGAGAGTATAAGAAATCGCATACAATAAACCTGATCACCAGGTTGAATCTCTGGAATGCTCGTCATGGTCTCGCCGAGTCTCAAATGCGGATGCGTTTCTTCATTAAGCTCCTGCCCCTTGCCTGGTATACTTCCCGGAAATGAACTGCTTTCCAAGTCTAGCACCCACTCGCCACCAGCAGGGTCAGGACGGAAGAAAGGACGAAGCATGATGTACGCCGTCGCTAGGGAGAGCATTGGAAGTACACGAAGTGTACCCTCGCCGACGCCAGTCGTAGAGAGTGAGGTCCAGCCTTGCCAACAACGAAGGACAGAACATTGACCCCTTCGAATGTGGTGAGCGTATACTCATATAACGGAAAAGATGAAACACATACGGTGCATTGTATAGATCCTGCTTTGCATCCACGCGCCAGGACACATCAAATGGGTCGTGTGACCTCCAACCCACTCCCCCAGCTAAGATTCGGCTGAAGACCCTACGAAATGTAGGATCCTCCCATCGCTCGACACTTCCCCCATCGATATGAGGGCCAACTGTGAATGAGCTGTCACCAGGAGTACGAATGCGCAAGCGGTCGAAGTAACTGATAGGAGTACTAAAGCCGACGTGCTTGTTTGATGGGTCGTGCCAAAACTGGAGGAGCTCTTGTTGAGTACGAAGAATGGCTGGATGAGTGCGCGCTGCTATTTGAGCTTTACTGTTATAGAGCTCGTATACCTGAATGTCGTTCGCTGGGAAGCCTGCAACACGATGTCAGGTCACGGGAAAAGAGTGAGGGAATGTACGAACCTTTGACGGGATTTGCAGTGATATATTCCTTTACTGACGCTTTCCATAGTAGCGCTTCCTATACGTATCATGCTAGTCAAAAAACCTGACTGATATCACAGTAATACAATGAACAAACCTCCTTTGGAACTGCACCCGTGACTACAACAACACCAGATTTCCTGATACGATCCTTCTGAGTGTTGGACAAGCCGCATTCAATGTCGGTAAACGACACACGAGGGATCACCTGTTTTCCTGTCGGTCATGTAAAGAAGCACTTGAAGAGGTGCGTATACTTCTCCCCCCAAACTAACAATCTCCTTCCTTCGTCCTTCCAAAGCAGCTAGAACTTGCTTCCAAGCCTGCACGATGCTCGCATGTGTCGCGCCCATATCGATTAGCACATCCTTCTTCAGCTGAGCGAACCGAGCTGGAAGTGCAGCGACTTTGGTACCAGGGTCTAGTGACGTGAACACGTCCGCGATCGTGCCTTCCTGTTTAGCTGCGCGTTTCGTTTGTGCAGCTGTTGTCATCATTGTGTGGGAACACGTCTGAGAAAGTAACCGAGTGCTGAGGGCATACCGTGCGTGGATGATGGTGGAAACTATCATGTTGGCAACAAGGATGCTAGATGCAAAGACTGGCACCGTGCAGCAGCTGATTGTTAAGCTTAAGATGCATACTTGTAGATTCTAGGAGCGTTCAAGCTCCGATTTTCGAGTAATTACGCCGGGACCCGAAAGTTGTGATTACTCAGGGGCTATATATATATATATACGTTCGAACAAATCCTCGTGCAAATACTATAACATCCTGGTAACAACGTTACAATATCAATGGTCTTGAGACGAGTCGAATGCAAAACCAGGTGATCAAATCAACATAGCATCAGGTAAGAATTAGGTATGAAATTGACTCACCTCGATCTACAGTTGTGTGTGACTGCACCGAATTCGATCCATCAGAAGTTTTATTTCAACTTGGCCTCCGTGCAGTGATTTCAGACAACAATTTTCGTGGTACAGCGGAGCATTTGATATCATTGACGAGTACTCGGGCCAAGTTGTTCAAAGGCCGGCATTCTGTCAGGGTTTTCAAACGATGAAACTAAACGCGTCTAGGATCGCTCATTCCTGAGAAATGCGTTGTTGGCAGAACTCGGGAGTTTTCCCAACCGCTCTGGCAAAACTTGTTATGCTTGGTCCACGGCAGAACTCGCAAAGGGAGGGCGGCAGAATCAGGCAGAACGCAAGACTCGCGGACATGCACCAGGAATCACACGGTTTGAATTCAAATTGAACATGAAAACCGACATCCCTGAAGATGGTGCATGCCGCAGGACGGAGGACGCTCCTTTGTCACTGACCAGAGACAAATTTGAGCACCTGGAACAAGTTGAGAACAGTTCGAATGACTGCTATCATGAATATGAATTTTCGCTCGCTCGCTCTTCTTCTCCACTTGATGTGTCGCACACTTGCTGTTATGCAGGTGATGAATCCAGCGGAATTGACCTCAAATAGTAATTCTGCTCCCTACACTATATAAAAGCCATCCTACGCAGCCCAGAAAACGCCGTCAACATTCGACTATGAAATTCATTTCACTCCCCTCTATTGTCATATCCGCCGCAGCAATGGTTGGCCTAGCTATCGCGTCTGATTCGGATATAACACCCATGAACCAACCCTGCACCCCTCCTGGTGAGCGCTTTTGAGGCCTACTACGCCCAGACTGCGCACTGACGGTTATCCACAGAATCAGTGCAGTGCTCAACAGGTCTGAAAGGTTATAATAACGGGAACGATTATGGTTTTTTGTGTGGAATGAATTCTTCAATTATAATATACCAGTCGTGTGACTGCAAAAATTGCTGTAAAGTGGTCTATGATGGGCCGACACGGCGGACCATCCAGTGTGGAAAATGAGTGAGTCGCCTTGTTTTCCCTGCTGCCGTTCGAGCCCGAGTGTTAATATTGTTCACTTAGCGTGTTGTACTGCGCAAGAGGGCATGAAGAAGCGCTGTGACGCAGCAATGTGAATACTATTAGTATGGCATAGAATGAAGTTGCAGTCTCACGTTCCAAGATATGTATTACAAACATGTACAAAAACTTAACGCACCTTCTGCATGCTCACAAACGTACACGTGGAAATGGACACTGCCGCGACCTTGCAATTCAGCGACTTCATGTATGACGCCCGTGCCCACTAACCCCCAAAAAATTAAAGTAAAAAGAAAATACAACACAAAACGCACCACTATATGATTCAGATTCCAGAACTGTCCTTACTGGTCGCCATGAAAATTGAAGCGAAAGTGACCGAGGGCATCTCTGAAATGGCCGGTCTGGGACAAAGTGTGGGACATCGGCAGGCCCATCAGCACCTCCAAGCGGAGTATAAATGTTTCTGTATCCGTCACGCTTGCTCACTGTCTGCAACAGCGCCGAGGACGGACTTCCGTCACTGTTTCTCATGCTTCCTTAATGTCTGTAATAGCACCAAGGACTTACTTCCATGAACATTGTGAGTCTTTTTGCTGCCATACAACAATATAGTGAGCTCATTGCTATGTCATATATTGATTCAGTCCTTGGGTGAGCAAGGAGAGTGGCGGGCAGAGTTGAGGCGGAGCATGAACATGCGGCATTAATATTCCAGTGAGATGTTAGGCGGCGGCGGTGGGCGCGTTGGCGGGATTGATTGACGTGGTCGTTTGGAACATTGAACGGGGTTTAAATTGCGCTCGGAAGTGCCGATGTCCCATACTTTCTCCCGTACTTTGTCCCAGACTGGCCAAATCCCTGACACTCTGAAGTGACCATTGACTGGCAACCCAAAAAAAACGAGATTTGGTCACAATAAACACAAATCGCTGAGCAAGGTCCACGTCGGCAACACCGACCCCTAGTACACAGATCTGGTATCTGGAGCGCTCGAACGATTGGTGGTGGTGCTCAGTGGAGCGTGAGGTAGATGGTTCCGCGGGATCAAACGTTCCGTGCTTATATAAGTTTTAGATGCAACGTGAAATTATTTTCTCTAGAGTCCAAGTCCTCGCAGACAACTGGATCTGGTATGATCTTCATTGATTTTTAATGGTCAAATTTCACTCAAGGGTCAGGCTTATGGCCGCAACGAAATATATCTATTTTTGTTCTCGGACTAGGCAGCCAAGTCGGACTCATGCGAGCCTCGAGGGCACTGGTCGGATGGAGACTCATCACGATGGTCATTATGGAGCTAATTCACACATTAATTGATGTGTATCCAGACTGATCGAGGGGAGCCATTCAAACCCCATCGTCGTAATGAATACCCAATCGTTCTGGGTGGCAAATAGGACCTAGTACCCCGGAATATCTTTCCGTGGGTTCCGCTTAAGACTCTTAGCTGTGGATGGCAAAGGTATAGCCATCGTGGCTGGTGACTTTCGATACGGTCTGTCTTGCGAGCTCAACTTGAATGCCAACTAGGACAACGGTGGCTGCAACAGCCAGCGCATCTTCCAGCGCATATTCGTCTTCGTCTTCTAGCAACCTGCGGGATTCCACAATCGTGGATCGGTTTGTATTCGATTTTCACAGGCGATAAATGATTGAAGTTCACCCAGCCCTACCTACCCCATGGTTGGAAGAAAATTATACCACAGGGCGTGAGTTAAAAAACTGTTTCATTCCCGATCATTTGCTGGTATCATGATTGGCAGAACTCAAGAATTTTACCGGCCGGTCTGGCGAAACTGTTCCACGGCGACACTCACACAAAGGAGTGTGACAGAACCTGGCAGAACTGGTATCCGAGACTCGCGAAGATTTGATTTAGATCTGATAACAACTGGCAGAAATGACTCCAAATAGTCCTGCCCCATATGCTAGCATCCGGCAATGTAAGCACATGAAAGCGTTTGGCCGTACTTGACACTAGTCATGTATAAAAGCCAACCTACGTGGCCCAGAGAACACCATCAACATTCGACCATGAAATTCACCTCACTCGCTACTATTGCCATATCTGCCGCAGCGATGGTCGGCACAGTTATCGCATCTGATTTAGATTCAACACCCATGGGTCATAAATGCTCCCCCAATGGTAAGTACTTTTGCGACCTACTACCCGCAGACCGCGTACTTACGGTGATTTACAGATTCAGTGCAATGCTCAACCACAGGCATGAATGGTTATAACAACGGGAACGATTACGGTTTTTTCTGCGGACCGGATTTCAAAATTATACAAGTCACGCCGTGTTCCTGCTCAAACTGCTGCAAGGTGGTTGCTAATGGGGCCGATTTCCAGTGTGGAAACTGAGTGAGCTCGTCTTTCCTTACTGCCTTTCGAGTCCGAGCGTTAATGTTGCTCGCTTAGCAGGTTGTGCGCAAGAGGGCGTGAAGGAGTGCTGTGACGTAGCTTGAGTGTCAATGTGAATATGGAATGCGTTGAAATTCTGTAGCCAACGATGAATCATTATGTCAGTTCATACGCCTCACTCATGCTTGGCGAGCAACCCCCTCACAACTGGTTGTCGAAATGTCCTGGAAGCGTACCCACTGACCTGCGAAGAAACTAAGCTAGGCTGTCCTACTCGAGTCGCATTCTTGGCGTACATCGTGAATGCAACCTTTGAAAAATTCTCACTGTAGAGCGAGTCTCGTGTGTGGTTCATGGATCCAGCGTAAAATATTTACAACCTTCTTCAATTGTTTGCTTTGTTCGTCGACGGTCTATCGCTGCGATCGTTCATCATGTACCTGCTGTTGTCAGTTTGTTTCCTTTCACTCTAGGACCTGGAACCGGGATCACGCTGCGGCTAATGGCCCATGAATCATACAGTCTCCATCCTATCCATTGAGCTTGAGAAGTCTATAATAGAAGTACAGTCCGACAGAAAACTGATGGCAAGCGGGTACATATCCAAGATAGTCATATCAAAGCCTTTATCATCATCTGCCTAACATCCAGTACCCCGTCAGTTAACCCACAGGCCCAAGCTTTATCCCAAGAGCAAAAATACTGTGAAAAGTAGGTCTTATCACGCGTAACCTCGAAGGAAACACCATCCGAGTGTATCCTATCTTATTGGTGTCATGGGTGCGCCCCTGTAAGCGTCACCCCATCTAACTAGGCTGATCTCTGATCACACATAGGTGGGATTTCACAGATATCTTTCTCGTCAATTTTCCATTGCATTCGACTTATACCTTGACGTTCGACGCGCGGTTGCAGCCATGGTAGCCGAGTCGCTTCAGCGGGACTCACCCGACTGGCGACTCAAACACGCCTGCCCCGCGTGTACATATGTGCTAACGGACGAAGTAAAATTAAAGTTCAGCTTGCTCTATGCCATGGACGGCAATGACTCTTTGAAAAGAGTCCTTCGAAGAACCCTTGATATGGACGACTCTCTCAGTACATCATGTGAACTCCCGACGGGACAGCAACTCAGGACTGACCGCTATCTATCTCGCACCTTTGTTGACCAGTTTGCATCGGACTCTAGTACTGCAGGCGATGGGGTAAGAGGTGTGTTCTATTTGCGTTAGTAACTGCTAATTAAGATTATTAGGACATACATATAGAGAATTCGTGTGAAGGACGCTGGAAGAATATGGATGACGGAAAGCAGACATGGTACAGAGTGGGGAACTGTGAGTTTTATTTAGTTTTTAGCTCGTTTGTCAACTGATTGTTGCTTGGCAGTGCAAAATATCCTTTGGCCATGGTTTCGAAGTTGCTGAACGTATTTGGAACTAATCTAGGAGGCGGGTATGACATCGGCTGTCAGTTCAAGACTACTCTCGACAAAAGCTCCCTCGGACCCCTCACATGTTCGAAGCATCACACCTGCCTTGTTGGGGCCTTTCATGGACATGCCCACAGGCGTTTGTGCCAACTTTTCTCACTCACAACGTATACCAAAGGTCTGGGACTGGAAGATCTGGAGATGTGTGAATGGACTTTCTCGAAATCGAATTCCTTGGCATCCGCACTATGTTACACGAGTATTTTCCATCGCCAACAAGCTATTGATTCTTTTTTCGAACACAACAACGACTTAGAAGTATATGCTAATCTATGTGAGCTACATTTTGACACGTGATATTCATTTGCTAATCACTCATTCAATTAGCCGATTTTTTGTACAACAACTACAAGCAAGCTCTAGACATCCTCAATTATGGTAATGCAGCGCTACCAAAACTCATGCAAGATCTCAGGGTAGTTGATGTGAGTGTTTTCGAGCGCTGGTTGGAAGATGAAAAGGCCTATCTTGTTGGTCTAACACACGAGCCTGAAGAAGAAACACTCCAGATGGAGTACTGGCAGAGGCTCGTTAATCTTGCAGCGAGCAGGTGAGTTGTGATACGTATCTCATGATCACTGATTGACACATTTTGCGCAGTGATGCTCTTGGTGCTGCGATGGCAGCAGTTGAATTACCTTCTGAAGATTCATATGAGACACAGGTCAAACGCACTCGCAATGCTGAGGGTGCACGGCGTCACGCACTGGAAGATTATGAGAGGAATCTCAAGATAGTGCAAGCGCTGGAGGGCAAGCTAGAAATCATGGAGCAGTGGGTTCCCAGAGATGTAGAGTGGCAGAATGCAGGGAGGCTGGTGGCTAACAGGAAGTACCAGCAGGCACTGGATCGTCTTGAAGGTCTCATCGTCGCTCGCATATTCGAACTGTCGAAAATGAACAGAGCAGGGACAGGTAAGTCTCTATACTATACATGGAGTTGCGACTACTGATTGTATTCAGGCTATAAACTACGAAAACACATCGCCAAGGCATTACAGGCTCGCTCCGTTGCTATCAGGTCAGCCCTCAACACGTACAACACTATTGCTAGGACACTGTCCCCTCCCCGCTTAACACTGAAATGGGAAGAAGTTGTCGACTACGCCTTTCTTGCCAACTTCGACCTCCTTCGCGACATGCGTGTAGACATCTCTGAGCGCCCTTGGTCATCTCCTGCCGCTCGTAGTGCAATGGATCTCCACTTCAAAATATGTCGGGCGTGTGAGGAGATTGAACGCCTCAATATTGAGGTCCAACGCCTGGTGACCTATATACGTGATGAAGAGAAGTATCTACAGGAATGTGAGGACCAGTTGAAGGATACCAACCCAGCCCTCGCACATCAAATTGCTATTCACCGAAACACTCGAGGACGCTTCAAGTCACAACATCTCAACCGGCTTCACGACATATCGAAGCTTCCGGGATTCAGTGGGACACTAGCTCCTGGTATAAGCGCTTACACATGTCCTGGGGAGAGCGCGAGCATACCTAATGCACAGATTCCTGCTCGCATGCTTGTTGAACCCTCGCCTGTTGATCACGCTGCATCTGCCTTAGACCTAGATACCCAGGATGATCTGGATGACAAGGAGGAGGAGGAGGAGGTAGTAGAGCAGACATCGAGGAGTTTACAAGATGTCCTGCTCATTGCTGATGACTTTTCACGCCTTGGGATTCATAGCAATGCTGAAGAAGAGTAGTGGAGTCATTTGCACATTATACATGTACTCCCTACGTACTACAATCATCACTGGTGCATGTGTCGTCAAAACGCAGTGTCGATCCCATTACTTGAACGTGAGACATGCGAGCTCGTCGTGTCGCACAGCGAGCTCGACATTTCATATATTATTAGCCGACGCTGGGAACATGTCACGTCATTTGCTGATATGCCGGCAGCACCCAGTCCTATAGTCCTGTTGGTATGTAAAGTCCCTCTTTATCCAAAAGATATTGAAGGAGGCGGTGATCCGCTGAATTTGCCTGACCTTAAAGGTGCAAGACCCATCTACTATCACCTATAATAAGAGCATTTACGTGGGAATCACAGGTGGAATTTTGAATATCCAAATTGCAAAGAGTGGAGCAGATTCGCCGAGAAACGGTTCAATGTATGCGCACAAGTTTGCCAAATCGAGAATCGTCCCCCATGATTACAGAGTGCTTCATAGCACTCTGTAGCACGATCTGACCCGCTGATGCATAAGTGTGTCACAGTGTGCAGGATATAAAAGCTGGTTGTTGTCCTACAGTGTTTCCCTATCCTCAGAAGCATCATTCGAGATCTCTCTCAGAAGACTCCATATCATCTCACACATAAATGTGTCTCTCCCTCCTTGCTGTTGTTGTCTCTTTGACAACATCTATGTTTGTTGGTGCATGTACGACAGAGTTTGGCTATTGCAAACTATCATCAGATTGCTGCGACTTCTTGATTTGTGATGAGGTTGGGGTGAGTATGAGCAGGTCGCCGTGCAACCAGGATCCAATCACTCACCTACTCACCTTAGCATACATGCATGCCAGGACTGACAGAGTGGAAATAGTCGGTAGCCTGAGCGGGATGTCACATCAGTGGGTCATTTTCTGCTTTCGCTTTGGTATCATGATTGATGGTGCAATATCCAGTTGGCGGTGACACAGCCAATCAGTACAATTGTTTTTGAATGAATTTTCGTGTTGCTCAAGCAATATGATCCAGATGAATTTTACCATTGAATCACAGAAGGAAGACAGACAGACAAGACGGTGAAAGGGAAAGATAGACAGATATACTTACATAAATAACCCGACCACAAGGCAGAGCCTGCAATGGAGAAGAAATTTATGTAAGATGCCTGAGTGATGGTGGCATCATGCGTCTTGGCTGAGCTTCTCGAACCCTCGCCTGGAACCCAATAGCGCATTGCTCCAACACTTGGGTTGATGATTTTGATGCAACGATTGTACCAGACGAAATTGCAAAGGTCTTCGTAGCAAGAGCGAGCGCTATATATAGATGTCAACATAAGACACATTATACAAGATAAATATACTGTGAATAAGAAAGACGGCAGAACTTATGAGATGCAACGGTCCGCGACAAAGACTCGATGAGGTTCACAGAAAACTTCCACTGCGCCCGCTACCGCTGTGATTATATAAAAATTTGACATCCCGATTGACGAACAGTCAAACATTCAAAGGACACATACTGTGTGCTCCTGTGATGAAAAGAGCGGACCTTCAATGTATGATAGTTCCTCGTCTAGTTGTGGTTTAGCTCATGCGGCGAAGGCGCAGTGGCCATGATTTTGACATAAGTACAAGAATTGCACAAAAATATCGTGACTCTAATACTCCTCCGGTTATTATTACGTAATATAATAAATTCAACATCTCGTGATGGCCTCTCCTAATCTGCTCTACCACTCAATCTTATAGCATTTGTTTCACTTACTGGGTTCCCTCGTATTCTAGCCTATTGCAGCTTTGCTTCTCACCTTTGCGAACAACATGCAGACACCCCACTCAGAATTCAATATCTCTGGCTCTGTTTCAGATATCATCAGTGCACTACAAACCAACATAAGTATAATGTCAATTCATGGCTTCAGAGATTTTGCTTGCGAAGAAGGTCCTAGCAGGCTCCAGTTTCGTCCGTTGAGTATCTAACCCTGTGAATGTGTGGATGAGTATCGGGTTGCGACGATTGAGGCTTCCGTGCCCGAATAACAACGAACGACTTTCCAGAACCCTTGGGAGATGAAGTGGCTTTGTAGTGTCTTCATTCGCGACCACCTCTCCGTGGCCCGCAACATCCGAAAAGAGAAAGCACACTGATCAATCCGCTATCAACTGGCCGTCTGGAGTGATCAAAGCCGACCCAACCAAGAATGCGCACAACAGCTTTGATGACCTTGATAACAAGAATCAGAAACAACGTAAGATAAACAAGGCAAAGGACGATCAGTATGCCATAGGCTACCCAACCGCCTGCGCCTGCGCCTATTGAAATCTGAACGAGCTGTTAGCATTGGACTTCACGGAGACAGGTAGCCTTACAGTTGGGGTCGAAATAACTAGCAGCACGGCAACCACGAAACGTGCAATGCAAAATAGGAAGCTGATGAGGCCCATGCCTGCTCCTGCACCCCATGGTAACCATACGCTCGTGACCAAAGCGCTAACAACTTCTGCCACCCAAATTACAATCGCTTGTGCTGTTCCACATGTCATCGTATTTCAAGTTGAGGATATATATCAACGTGCTTTGAAGTCTGTAGTGTCTCACAAATAAAGGACCAGGCTGAAGACGACATTGAATGAGCCAAGGACCAACCTATTCAATTGCTTCAAGAAATTCCTTATCCCAGTGAAAACGAAAAAAACAGATGTAGAACTGCCGTCGCGCAGGTTTGGATGTCCGAGAGCGGTGAGATCCATGTAATAAGACTCAGCACTCAGCTACTGACAAAAGTATGATGGTGAGTATTTGCCGAAAATTGTAAAGCACTCAGCAGATGATAATAAAGTTAAGATTCTGTCCAAGTGCACAGCTTTGCACATCGGCTGATGCATGGGAATTCGTTTGTGTTCGACAAAGCCTCCTCCACTAATGTGGGAGTCGGGGACGACAACTGTACCGGCGTGTTGCCACCGGTAATCATCCTGCTACTCATACTTATGGTTGAGGCACAAATCAAGGAAGCTGAAAGATTAATGAACCTCTCAGTGCTCTCAGGTATTTCAGCTTCCTTGAAACTCGCACTCAATTCTTATCCACGACGCTCTGGAAAGTCGACCAACTTCAATGAGCGAGACTACTTCACATTACGATCCAACTGTATGTGCTTCTCTCCGATTTTTTGATTGTTTGTACGGTACACTACTCAGTTGATACCCCCATCAAGCTAATGTGCTTGAGAAAAACGACTTAACGATCGGCCGCGCGGTATATACTGACGTCCTTACCTTCCAGATTCCCTTGCAATTGGTTGTGCTTGGACTTAAGGTGGTCTCAACTTGACAGCACCTTCAACCTCATCTCCATCGATACCGTCTACTACGGTCTCCTCCATCTTCACCTCTGCGAAACCAACTTGTTCATCATTATCCTATCAAGTCGACATCTGCGTAACGTACTTTCTCTTCTACCTCTGCCATGTCAGACCCATATTCGAATATTACACTCTATCTAAACACGCACACACTAGGGTCATTATTGGTGTCATTGTTTTACTTCTGCTTTTTTATATATCTAGTTCATCCGTTTGAACCCGCGCTGACAAGATTCCAGGACTACCACACCTATATGGACCGGATGGAATGTTCTTAATCCGCCAAAGCACCATCACTGATGGTGGACTTTGTGCATGCCCGGATAACTTCACTTCGAACCTATACTACCCCACTCCGAATTGAATATGAACATGAGCCGGAGGAATTACCATCGTCCAGGGGTGCTGCTATATGCAAACCTTCCAGCCAGTACCCACTTTCAGGGGAAAACCGGTGCGCAGTACATATACCCAACGAGTGACCTGCTCTGGATACGTTTTAAATCTGTCGGGTCCAATTCTTCTCGCCCCTCTGAAGTCTCGAATCGCACACCTGTACCATGGCTTCAAGGACCAATAACGGTCGAAACGTGAAATGACTCAGTGGTGCTACCTCCTTGAATTTTGTAATACCTTTTATACGTGATCTTCTATGCTTGCTACGAAGGCCGACATGACTCATGATGATGATCTCTTGGATCATGTCCTTTGATGCTGTAGGTGAATGATACATCGGATATCTTGGTCACTTTATTTGTGTGCTCATAGAATTTGTTGAAGTCGAGCTGGTCGCTGGATCCAGGCCACTATATAGAAACAACTGTGTTCCTTTGGATTTTCCGACTGCATAGTACTTACTAGGGGAAACTCTGACGTCTCTGATGTTCGGAGTATCTTTCATCCAATCTCATGGGTCAAGTATACAGCCGAATTGGCAGACCTTGCCTAACTTATGTTCAATCTGGTCATTCATTTAGATGGAGTGGCAACATCGAAGAATTATCCACAAGTATGGTAACTACATGTCGATCATCCGAGAGTGGCGGTGCCACTGGTTCATCTTCAAGTTAACCCAGTACTACTCAGGTTTGCAAACATTTTCGACAAGACAACATCGTCTCACTCCGCTTGAAAGTAACCATCGTACCTCTGAATTTCTGTCTCTATACTGCCATGCCTAAGGTTTCCAAAAAAAAGGCCAGTGGAGCCGACGTAGCAAAGCCAATCCCCAAACTCCTTGTTCTGAAGCATGGTCAAAAATGTGTAATGGTTAACCGACACAAGTCGTATAATGTGGGTGGAACAACCATTGAAATCTTCAAGATGGCTCATCGATATCATAAGGTCATGCTCGACAGTGCATGTAAACATTTCCCAACCATTCCAAGAAACGCTATGACATTCCAGTCTGCAGACCAACCAACTCGATATCTGCGAAGGCCAACTTGTGGATATCACGGCTGAAACATGGGACAAAGTAATCGAATCGCTTACATCCGTTGAAGTGACTCGCGCAGAATTACCATTGCCCATCGCACTTCCGCCCAGTGGCAGTACTGGTAGTGATGCTGGAGCTATTTCATTGCCCAGCAATAATAACAAAATCAGGGTCTATTTGGTTTTGGTATATGATGATATTATTTCTGCCATGATAGAGTTGTCCGCGCGGGTGCAGGAACTTGTTGATGTTGTTGCTCGCGAGTTGGTAGGTTCTACTCAATACAACTTCAAGACAACGTGGGGTGGGTCAAGATTGGATCACAACAGGAGTATCGGGTCATACAATATCTTGAATGGAGACTCTATCTCTTTTGTGACGGAACAGGTCAGTGGAAATCCAGTGATCTATCTATACTCGTCCTCCGATGTTGATGTCTCAGTCAAACTATCCCTCAGTCCTGAGTGGAGCTTCTCCGCTATCTATCCCATTGTCGCCCTGAAACAAGAACACGGACAGCATGTCGAATGGAATGTCTGCACCCACCAAGATGGGAGTTTGACTGAAAGGAACTCTGGTTTAGATGTATCATACTTATTCTGGGAAGCAAGGTAAATTCCCTCATCACATGGAAATCACTCTCATAATTAACTTTACATGAATCTTCGCAGGACAAATTCGGATGCATTTCCGCATTCACCAACATCTGAACTGCAATTAGTAGATGTACTCAGTCCTACATCCAGTACTCTCGGCGACATGGACTCCATTGTCATCTCAGTGGACAAAGTAACCGTTTACCTCGATAAGTTGCTCAAGGCTCTGGGACTTCACACTGAAGCCAGAACATCCTTTATCACGTGCGTCCGTATATGCGTCTCGGAGTATCACACTACAAAGGTTGGCCTCAGCCTCACAAGTCCAGCAGTGACAATTGCATTGAATGGCACACTTTTACAAGTTACACAGGCCGCCTACACACACACACTAACGTCTCGTAGATATATCCTTCCCACCCGTGCGTGGTGTCCACGCTTCCCTTGAGCTGAAGGCCGCCATTGTGCATGCTTGCGACGATCAGGACGACGATGCACTGTTTGATGTGAGTGATATTGGTATCCGTCCTTTAGCTTTTGCTGACTCAGACATAATGGAAACTGCAGTCCGTCATAGACTGCGAGATTGCTCGAGCCACAGATGCGGGCCACACACAATTGGCCGCATACATGACGAGCGAGGCAGTCTCTCACCTGAACGACGCTGTAGAGCATTTTTAGTTGGTTCTGGACCAGTGTCTGGTCAGCCATCCAGACCATGCAACGGCTCTCACTAACCTCACATGCGCCCGCCTTTTAGGCTACATCCGGACATCGATGCCACCACTTCGCTCTTCCACAACGCTATTGCATTGCGTCTGCAGCCCCATCCCGATCATCCCTTCTCTCTATACAATCTCGCTCGAGCACTGAATTGGCGCCCTCAACATGCTTGCATACACAGTTAAAGGATGTTTTGATCAGCATGGCAGCATCAATGATCTTGACATGAGCATACAACTTTCTTGTGAAGCCATGTCTCTATGCACCGAGGGGCATGCTGACCGTGACGCCTACCTGAACAACTTGGCCATCTCACTCACGTCGCACTTCCATTACCGGAGTGGTTCTACACCAAGTGAGCACATATCTTTCCTTCGCTAGATGTACTGACCAAGGCACTCGCAGCTTCAACAAGGAGGGTTTCTCTGTTTGGCGCGTAGACTTCAAATACAATGAAGAACTCACGCAAGTCTTCATGTCCTCTAACCAGTGCACAGATACCTATTGATTTGCGGAGATGCCTGAGACACTTCGTCGAGTATGATATGCAATGTACATTTAATTCGTCATCTACTATATATGTAATGTTGCTCTGTATCAATGCGGCGTTTGCATGGCAACTTCCCTTATAGTGCTCGTGGTGGACTCTTCATACCTTTTGATGTACATCAATGGCTCATCGATCCCATCCAGGCAGACGGCGCTGCAAATGTAGTCCGGAATGCTACAAGATACTTTCTCAGAAAACCCGCAACAACCACTATTCGCGTGCAAATGCCAACTTCATGGAGCCTTCGAGGAGTGGAAGCGACTCAGAAGAATCAACGGGTCATCCACGTCTCAGGTTGACCACACTGCCTGGGAAATTGGCCCCGTTTTCTGCAATGCACTTCTTGGTGATGCATATGACCCTGGCAATAAGATGAGTCAAAAAGCCTTCTTAAACGTGCAGGTCCACATCCCGGCAATATGACCCAAGTTTGAATGAACCCGCTGACAGCAATAGTATAGCAGAATCATAATATGCAGCTTTTGGAGACCTGGACGGACGTGAGTTTGGAGTAACGTTAGTAATGGTAGGTGTGAGTATATCCTACAAGTGCTTGCCGCTGCGCAGCCCCTCTTGTAAAAGGAAATTCTGTGAGTTTGCATCTAGTACTATAGCTGATTTTTTTGTGCATCAATATTCAATATGTTGTCATCCATCCTTTGCTGACAAAATAGCATGCAAGTCTTTGCGCACGGTATGCTGTGGGGCTGAGCGGCGACATGGGTGGATCGACCCGGGTTGTACCCACACGGTGGGCCACACCCAACTCGCGGATGCCAAAATTCTCAGAGGCCCACCCATGCCCACCCAGGTCAGAGCATTGCGGGTATGGGTCACTCGCGAGTGACTGGACATATTTTGCGCGTGTACATGAGAGCAATGAAACAAAGTATGTACAAAGTTTAGTTGCGCGGAGATGGTACAATCACGTCAGAGAGCAATAATTCGGTGTAGAGACTCATGCCTCTCATGGTGTGATATGGCACTTTTCACTAGAGAGTTCATTGCACGAACTTGCAGCACCATTCTGTGTGCTATCTGCAGCTATCCCTATATGAGGCGCAGCTTTCCCGTGCAACGCGCGCCATGCGCGCACCATTCCCGCACTTCGCGATGTATATATGCGCGCGCTTTCCCGCGCTTGAGCGCCCTATAGCGCCAGCCATCCGGAAGCATCCATCCATTGTCCACCAAGTTCTCTAGTGCGTATGTTTTCATTTCTCTTATCTGTGCATCGTTCCACCTTTATTTTTATCATGGACCCTTACTTGCATACATATATCTTTGCATACCTTACTCGGTAGCGATTCGGCTCCGCATGACAGCGCTTAGGCGCCATATAAGCGCCAGCATACATACTGAACTCACTTTCCAACAATTACTCTACCTCCCACTTACCACCCACATACTACCGAGGAGAACATAGTAGAAATCTATTCTTTGACACCTCGCGCTCATATCCCTTGTCTAGTATCTAATCACCACTTAAGCAAACTCACTCTTACTCTCTCTCATTACCGCTCACGCGCGCGCGCTTCCCGCGCCTCGCGCGTACCTTCGCTTTCCCGCGCTTCGCATCAGCCAACCAGTAGCGCCTTCGGCGCACACTACTAGATCCTTGCTGCACTCGCTTCCCCTTTAGGGTCAAACGCACTTGTTGTCTCAAGTATAGCAGACTAGGCAACGCGCGACCTCACAACATTTACAGATACAGTCTGGAGCATCATTTGTTCCTCACAGTATTGTTGTTTCTACATCGGTTTCCTTGACACACTCGGAAGCGCATTATAATATTGTTGAGATGGGGAACTTGGCAGTATGTCGTAAGAGATGGAGCAAGATGGGGAAAAGTTGTTTCAAAAGAAAATATAGAAATCGATTTCCAGCAAGCGCAGCGGAGTGGTGGGCTTGAAGTTTGTGCCCTGGCACGCGAGACGCACGCGGGTGGACGATACTCCAAGGTCATAAGATTATATGTTGTGGATAAATGCGGAAAGTTTAGTGTCAACGTGCAGATATTGTAGTCGCCCTGGTATGTAATGAGAGGAATTAAGGATACAAAAAGAAGTGGTGAGAGTCAATACAGCTAGTAAGAGACGTCGACAAAAAAACAAGCTAGTAGTACTCCAAGGGTATCGAATGCAGGTCCAGCGATGAAAAAGTCCCATGGTGAAATAAATAGAGTTTACAGAAAGGCTACGCAATCGCTTTCATTCTACCTTTGGTTTTGCCGCTAGCCCGTGATCCAGATGTTGCACCGCGACGGACTGGAGCACCAAAGCCTGCTTCACTGGCGCCTAGTCCCCTTGCACGCTTGGCGGTTCCTTGAATGAGCCGGGCATCACTCTGAGCACCCTTTCTCTTGCTCCCAATACGCCCCTCGGGATCATCTTCATCTACCATCAAGGGCATGCGGTTGCCCGTTTTGAGGTAGCTGTAGGCTGTTATGCATTATGCCTAAGCTCGCACATGAATTCAGTGGACAAAGACTGAACGACGCACTTGGTTGCAATGAAAGGGTCGGTCGACTGCAATAAGCTCAAGTTCGTAAGAAGATTTGCGTCAGCTGCAGCATGCATTGCCTTGGCTACCTCTGAAATAAACAAGTTCGAATGCCCAGTTCTAAGTACTCGTATTAGAAAAGCCCAGACCCTGGGAAAAGCTGCAACTCTTCGCTGTGCTCTTCATCTTCGTCAAGGTTCTCATCGTCCACTGACGCACGATGAGGATTACGGGAGAGATTGTACCCATGAACTTGCGCTGCAGGTACATCAAACCCTCTGAGTTCATGTTCGAAAGGATCAATGTCTGCATCTGGTTTGGTTGGCTGTGTCGGCTGGACAGGTTTCGGTGAGTGAGGAGTGAGGTACGCCCGGTGAGCTGGATCGCAGAGGAGAGACGAGTCAGACGACTGTTGGACGCTGTGCCCCAGTCAGAGATGCCTGTTCGGGTCGACCTGATAACGACGGACGCGGCTGAGCTTGCAGCTGTGGTGGAGTTGCAGTTTGAGGTTGTGATCGAGCTGTGGTCCTAGGCTGTATCTCGTATTCGAGCAGTGTGAGATTATAAGTGATGTTCCAAAGCCAATCCAAAATATACTCACAGCAGCGAATGCTTCCTCCCTGTGTTGATGCAGTAACATAGATGCAGTGTATCAGCACTAGTGTGGCAACCATTAGCACAAGCCCACGAGTGCGGTGGCACCGCCTGCAAATAATGAGGATCCCGACGCATAATCGGGTGCGCCTAACGTGTGTGCGACAAAAAGATTTGTCATAAGTGCGAAGGGAAATGTCAGTGTTAATGGTGCATAGCTAAGCATCCGTAATGGTACTGAATGACATATCAGCTATGATTGTGCGAAACAAAGATATTACGCACGATCGGTCTTGAATTTCTTGCAGTACCAACCACGAACCAGACCATGATAATATTCTGAAACGTGACCGTTGCGTCAGTTATCAATCATTGTTGTGGGCTTTGCTACCTGCAAAAGAATTGGAGCATCAGGGCTGAGATCAGATCAATATCATCTCCCAACAGTTGTGACACTAATGGCTCCCGTGCATATCAACTTATATGCGCAGCCTACCCGAAGAATGCTCTCCACGATTTGAAAGGATAAAGGAAGGCCACCGACGAGCGCCAAGGCGAGCCACCTGCTAAGAACTCGAAGATTGATGATGAGTAGACTCAGATTCAGATCGGAGTATCCTGTCATATGGGAGGCCATATATGAATGTGAGGACGAGAGAGATGCAAAAAGACTGTGCAAACATTCAGCAGCAGCAGCGAAGGGCGGGGCTCTCATTAAGTCAGGCCTCATAAAGAGCTTCACTGATGGCGCCGGTGACGACCGTGATGTGCCTGGTTTGCCATTAAAGGGCTGCGCACGAGACCTACAGGTTCTGTGAGCAGAAATCATCTTTCGGGGGGCTGGTTGGCTAGATACGCCGGTCACATATAATGAGAAAGAACTGCCGGGAAGGGTAGAAGTCTATGGTACTGTTCCACATCAGCTTGGACCCATATACATGTATCATGGACGCTTTGATGGTCTTGTACCAAAAAAGGAGTCGGGGTTTTGGGGCGCGTAGTCGCCGGTACCCATAGCTGTAAGCCAGAAAACAAAAATAATCAGTCAGGTATGGATGACAAGAAAAGATGTCACGTGACAGCAGAATATTATGGGTGTCACTAGATATATTTGATCAGTTGTTTGGTCTTATGATTGTTGATTGTTTGTTAATGTCGATTTATCCAACCTGCAGCTCCCAACGCTTCCGCAGCACATAAACTGCATCTGCAGGTCCCAGCGCTGCTTCTGCAGCACCTAAACTGCATCTGCAGTATCTAAATTTGCACCTCTCATTTTACCTTGACACTCTGGAAACTTTGGATGCATGGAGCGCCGTTTCAGATCTGAACTAGATCCCGGCACGTGGCGTACCTCTAAGATCTGAGCTAGATCTGGTGCGCCCCATAGCTTACTCTGGCCTCAACAAGCGTTCTGGTTTGGATGTGTGGAGCGCCGTTTCAGATCTGAGCTAGATCCCGGCGCGCGGCGCACCTCTAAGATCTGAGCTAGATCTGGTGCGCCCCATAGCTCATTCTGGCCTGGACAAGTGTTTTAGTTTGGATGCGCGGAGCGCCGTTTCAGAATATCATACTTTTTATCTACTCTATTTTGTTAATCTCTATGTTACTTGAAACCTGGTGCATCCCCTATTCCTCGAGCCTTTTTAACGACTCGTTTGCTCTTGCATTGTCAGTCGAAAATTACTACCACCATCCTGTGCAGACCACGCCCCTCATCACAACCTAACCAAGTCCATCAACTCACAAGAAGTGATGAAGGTTGCACGGTGGGTCGACGTCCGGACTTTCATACCCCTACTCGCGTTCATTTTGTATGACGTCTTTTGACTGCAGCCTGATACTTTAACGGTGTATAGGTCAGTTTATTGATTCAGACTAACCAAAATATTGGTGATGTATAGACTAATATCTCGTTGCAGACTCCCAAGTGGAAAAAGGCATACACACGCTTTATATGTGCTGATTGATCGCCTCCGCTAACGTCATTTCACTATGCTTTTCTTTCAGTGACTATCGTTGTTTCAAAAGGTGCATTGGTGCAATTCGCTCAGAACGCATTGCCGGGCAGAGCTCCACTGGAGCCGCCGACATTGATCAAGTTCATAAGCAAGCCAAAGAGTACAGTGGTACATTGGCTATTCTGAATAAGTTCCCACCAACTCATTTCACTCTTGAGAGCTGTCAGTCGTCCTACGACAAGATGCTTTAATTGAAGGGACTTCAGCTCTTTCCCCAACTCGAACCCAGCGAAGGGATAGCCAGATGTGTGAGTAGTTTCGGCATCGTCTGCTAAGTTCTATTCAACAGAGGGGTTTTGACAGGTCCATCGCTCAGAATTTTAATGCATAGCGCTCTGCCTCTCTCTCATCTCACAGGCTCGTCATCGCGGGTGACTCCCTTGCCTCTGAAGTCTGCGTGCTCGCCTCCCGTATTCCCCTTCTTCCGCAATGCAGGTCAGTTTAAGCATTTTCAGTGTCTTGCGTAGAAACCTCACTTGACCAGCAGGCTCCCCAGCTCCTGCCTTCTTACGCACGCTTCACCCTCTACTACCACCGCTTCATGCAAATTCTTTCGAGCTGTTAGATTCCGAATTAGAGAAAGTCGACTCTTTTTATTCCGAACGAGAGAAGGAAATGCGAGACCGCGGCAGGCTGCTCAAAGAGCATCTTAATGAACTTGGGCAACGTCGCAAGAAGTACTACGCCAGTCTACTGTTCAGCGTACGCGCTCTCTTCTGTTTTTTGAGACGTTCTAACTCCGTGCGTTGTGTGGCTTGCCCTTGCGTTTACCGTCATTTTCAATCCCATCTCAGCCAGGTCATATCATCTGCGTCTACGATTCGAGCTAATATGTTTTTAAAATTGTATAGAACATCCTCCGGGGTCATTCGCGACGGTGGCTTATCAAGAGCGCTGCAAGACTAGGTGTTAGCGGTTTGTGGGGCGCGTCGGAGTACGTTCACATCATGCGACGCATAACATGTAGTTGACGTGATTGACAGTTCACAGATTTCTGGCTCAGGTTAGCGTCTACAACTCCGCGCCATTGTATCCTTCATCTCAACCTTCGCAGCGATAAATTTTGCAGTCTTGCCTATAGCGTGTCAAACCTCTACTTTGTTGGGTGTTTCTACACCCAATATCCTTATGTTTCTTCCCGCGTCATCTACCTCCGAGCTGTTGCCGCACAACAACACTGACAATTCTCCCATGCTCATTTTCCTCCTCTCAGACGTTTAGTTTGATGCCAAGAGGCGCAGTCCTTTATTCTGCATATGACCCTACGCTTCAAAAAGCGCGGTCGACTTGTGGAGCGCGAGTGAATTGGGGCTCTTACTTTGCACTGGCTACGCTACCGTTCCTAGGTGCGTTTCGTGCAGAGCTTCAGACGTTACAAAGATTCAAAGTTACCTACTTATCTCATCAACGCAGGTCTTCACTATCGAATGAAAGCACTCAAAAACACCTTGCGTCTTGGTTGAATGCGCAGGCCTGCAAGTACGGGATGGGTATAGTGTACTACTTCTGTTAAGTATTACCTTTGGAGACGCGACGGTAGGTTGCCTTCCCACGCCCCCACTCTCTGATCATCTGATCTTCTTCAGGAGAATCTGACGGCGGCGCTTCTTTCATTATGTGGTGTTTGTCGGCAGCTGTCTATTCACTATGTGGGCGTGCATGGGTGAGTCGACAAACGGTCAACAGTGGATACACTCTCAACTTCACTCAGGACTTCGCAATGGATTGGTCTATCCGAGTCTGCAAACCCCGCGCTAAACATCCAATATCCCCTCCTCAGGCGAGGCTTGGTGCACACATCGCAGATTCCGGTGCGCTCTACCTTTTATTAAATCAAATGTTCCGAATTTTCATTTTATTCAGCTGCACTATGTTGCTCTGGTAAGCAGAATGCACACTTGTGACTAGTCATGAGGGCTTAGTTGGCGACGTCACTTTGACACGATTCAGGTCTACAATTTTCGCCGATTGTAGCACCGGTTCAAAACTGTGAATCAGCGCCAACTTTGACTACCCTCATTTCACTTCGAGATTTTGATGCACCATTCTGATGATGCACAGACGAATTATGATTCAAATACTGCATCATGTCTCGTTTCACTCCTCTCAAAAACGTGCCTAGGGCCCGAACCTTCATCCAACTCAAACGTGCTCGCCAATGCACCGTCCGTGGTAGGCGTGCTTTACAAGCTTCTGGCATAGTTCACATGATCGATCCACGAAATGACTTGAAGCTGGATCATCTTTTACAACCGATTCTGATTCGTGTCAAAATTGCCAACTCTGACTCTCCAATCTAAATAACGGCAGGTGCCATTGAATCACCAATCCAATGATACATTTCCACCACTGCACAAACTTTGTCCCCCAGTGCACATAGACCCACTTTCAGGTGGACCTATTCCAACACCGGCAATTTCGCTTCACCACCGCGTGAAGAAACCTCCGCCGCTGCTTATTAGCCCCAAAGAGGTCGATGCGCTGTAGGGATTCATTTCTGGCTGGGCTTGTAGAGACTGTTTTTACCTTACCTTATGTTGGCACTTTTGTAGCTTACATAAGCAAGTTATCTTTTCACCAGTTACCAGTAGGAGTCAGAGTACTAAGCAGTTTTTCATGATATTTCCTCTCCTCTGAGCCTTGAGCCTGGTCCAGAAACCCTTTAGGGTCGAATAGCAGCTAGGTTCTGCAAGACCCAACATTGTTCAGACTCACTCTCTGAATTGTTGTACCTTCAGCGCTGCCTGATATCATAAATCTTGAATTATCGCATGCAACACCTGCACAATATGATGCACTCACCCTCCTGTAATCTTGGTGTACAAGTTGTCTGCCAGCATGGCATGAGCACGCAGAAAACATGCAGTAAGGACGCCCCACATTTATTTGCAACTTGTCCAAGAACAATGAGTTTGTCTGGTGCGATCTAAAAGTCATGAATGAATTTCTACCCACAAACGGAAGGAAATTGTACTCACTTCTCCTCCAGCAACTCGAGGAACAACAGAAAATGTACCTGACAGCCAAAATAAAAATCAGTTTATAAGGAGAGATAAACGTGAGCATATTCGTGAATAAACGGGGACTCACCATTCCTTTGAATGTTAGCAAGGTATTTATCGCTGGCGTCCTGGTTGGCGTGGTGTACAGGTGCGAGCACAAGCACGAGCTCATTATACAATGACGACAGGATAGAAGCTAGGCAGGATGAGCATTGCACAGATAAGCACCATACTATCATTTCCTAACAATAGCCGGTTTGCATATTCACATCCAAGTGAATCTTTTTTCACACCAGCAGTGGGAATGTTTTCAACTTGCGTATCCTAAAAGACGCGATAAATCAGATTTTCAGGATACAAAGCCGTAGATGCACTTCACGATGCTGAAGAGCTCTTGTCGAGCCATAGATGAAGTTGTCAGATCACTGAGAACGTTTGTGATGAAGGGAAAGTTAATATACCTTGAATATGTCTGTGGCCAAAGGCACACGCCCACCGCATCCAGTATCACTGCTGAAGCAGTCTTAGTTGATGCCCATTTCGACTTCGAGAAAACTAGTCGAAGCGGTGATCGGCGATGTGCTGGAAGTCCTCGCGACGGATCTACCTCAGGATCCTGCATCTGAGTTGATGGTCTGGGCAGCTGCAGCGGGATGCAGGCGGATATCCTTTCAGTAAGTTCCCTGGAGGAATAATTGTAGGAACCATGCTGACTCATTGTTTTTTTTCAGGAAGAAACGTAGTAACCCCGATTTCTGGCGAAATGATAGTGTTTTTGTGGTCATGCATGACGTAATTGTCGTCAGCCCTATTACAGCCACCAACCTGTCTTTGTCGAAAGGTCTTGCAGCAGACCGCGCACGCACTGTCTTGGCCCCTGAGCCAGTGTTTGACACTATGATGGCAACAATATACTTATTTTGTACTATGACAAGTCCGTCGGGAGCACCACCGCCGCCGCAATCCAGGCGCTCTTCGAGAAATACGATGGACCATTCACACACAAACATATATACAGTAAGCTGTCACCTCTTGGGCATCCAAGGCTTGAGCTTGAAGTTTGATGTACTAGTTTCATGGGTAGCCTTGTTGTTCAGTATTTGTGTGCGGTGATATAACTGGACCCTTGCACCAGCTGATACCATCCCACGAACTCCCAGTTCTTCCGAGTTTTTACCGGCTCTTGAAGCACAACAACTATATATGATAAACGATAAACAATGTTTTATTGGCTGACTAGCAAAACTCAGGTACTACATATAGAAGTCCCTCGTCAGCAAAATAAATACATTGGTACGTCATGATCATGTAAGCGTTTACACGGTAACTAGTAATGTGCCGGAGGGATGGTATCGTTCTCGAACAAACACCTCTTGCTCTCACCTACCATAACCCCTAGCAACGAGTCTTGGGTCTTCTCCAGGTGTTGAGCAGCGTTCTTTGGCCTCTACTTTTATATCAAATATGGACAATTCGCAGACAGCTATGAAGGAGGAGGTCAATGAGCAGGTGAGTGAGTCTAGCATGCAGGTTACCACTGAGTGACCTGCTCACGGCGGTGTCTTTACCAGACCGACCGTCAGCTAAAGGAATACACTGATGTAGTCAAATTACATGATGACGCTGTTGCGACTGCATCCACCTGGAAAGAGAAGGCTGAAGTACGCGAACAGGTTCGATGCAGAATTAACTCAGAGCAAGTCATTTTTGAGCCTGCCTTTGCATACTGTAACATGATGAAGTAGGATCCAGAAGAATGGTGATGTTCTGATGAAGTGGATCACGGCCACCTTGAAGGACGTAGAAAACTTGCGATAGGGTCAAACTCACCTCCAATCTCAATTTCCTTGGTGGCGCCGCTTGTGTTTGCAGTATTCAAGTATTAGTGCACTCGATGTAATTTACAAGGTCACGCACAGCCAGATGTGCTGCAAGGGTTGGTCCAACTTCCTCTGCTTTGAACGCAGTGTTTGTTGGAAATTCAACCCGCCAATACAGTACACAGTATTTCTTTCATTTTTCGTTTGACTTAGAGTGGATTTATCAGATTAGGCAACTCCATGCAACTTTCCACACACTCATTCTTCGTTGTCCCTCAGTCTCTTACATCCGACTGGGGCTAAGTCATATCTTAGTACACCCACTACATTCCCAGACTCCAACCATTCGGCCACCGAAAAAACTGCGTGCTTGCCTTAACAGTCGCCGGAATATGACTGGAGAACTCTGAACATGGACGATGTCTCGATTTGTTCATGCATATAAGTATCGGTGAGTACATGCCCAATATTGCAGCACACCGAGAGACTGATCGACAATCACGTCTCCCATAGCCATGTCTTCGGACAGGCAGCAAAGAAAGAACATGGATATGACAACGTGAAGGTCTCTGGCAGCGCATGGGATACAAATATTGTCTCTGCCTCTGGGGTGACCACTTTCCTTCTTCACATCCGTCCTTTGCTGACATATCACCTTAGCGATACATTAGCGTTAACTGGAATGCATCCGGAGGTGGAGCATTTGAAATACTTCCCTCCCCTCCCCTCTTGCAGCTGTCCCAAATTTCTCGCACAAGCTTCCTGATGTTATTCCCCTCGCGCGCAGTCACGCCGCCCCCATCCTCGACACCGATTGGTCCCCACACAACGACTCTATCGTTGCCTCTGGCGGTGAAGATGGAAAGGTCATGATCTGGAAGGTCGAGTCTTCCGCTTTGGAAGACTTGGGCCAGGATCATTGGGTACTGGAAGACTTTGACCCTGTGGCCGTATTGATGCATCACCACGCAAGATCGGCCAAGTTTTCTTCCATCCAACCGCGTCTAATGTCCTCACCAGTGCTTCCAGCGAACGCATAGTTAAGTTTTGGAATCTCGCTGATACTGATTGCCCACGTTCTGTTCTCACCGGACACAGCGATACCATTCAGTGTCTCGCCTTCAATCCTACCGGCACGCTCATAGCGACTACCTGTAGAGACAAAAAACTTCGTCTATTTGATCCTCGTGCTGGAGGCGAAGCTGTTCGCATCACTGATGCGCATGGTGGTATCAAGGGCGCTCGTGTCGTGTGGATGGGCGATCTCGATAAGATTGCGACTACTGGTTTTAGCAAGATGAGTGATCGTCAAGTCTCCATCTGGGAGGCTGGAGGTCTTGGAAGTGTCAAGACGATAACTATCGATCAGTTTGCTGGTGTCGTCATGCCTTTCTGGAGTGACAATGGCATTCTTTTCCTTGGTGAGCGCCCCGCATGTGCTTAGCACTCGTCTTTTCTCACATTATTACTTCTAGCTGGCAAATGGTAAGGCGGAATTGAATGTGTTTGTTATTCTAAATCCAACAGCGATGGAAATATCCAGTATTACGAGTACGAGAGTGGCTCGCTATTCGCACTAGCAGAGCACAAATCTCCGGATCCCCAAGGGAATCTGTTTCCTCCCTCGTCGTGCCCTTAGCGTGTCGGATTGCGAGATTTCCCGTGCGTGCAAGGTATCAGGCTCATCCGTGGAACCCATCGCTTTCATCATGCCTCGCAAAGTAAATATCTCTTGAAAGACTTACGATAACTTCACTGACAGTGTCACCAGACAGACTCATTCCAATCCGACATTTACCCAGCTGTGGCCTCGTCAGAATCTTCTCTCTCAGCAAGCGAGTTTTTTACTGGAAAGACTGCTCCATTAAAGCTCGTTAGTCTCGAGAAGTGTGTTCAATGGTGGACAATCGACATTCATGCCCTCGGCGCCTGCTCCTGCACCGACACATGCGCCCGCACCCACTGCGTTCAGTGCACCCCCGCCTGTCACTAAAGCTGTTACCACGCCTACACATGTGCGATAGACACCAGTCCTGTCGAGATCCGAGTTGGCACCGGTGCCTCGACCCGCTGTAGAAACAACAATACTGCGAGGAGCAAACAAACACTCCAAACTGTATCTATAATGTTGTGAGGTCGCGCGTTGCCTAGTCTGCTATTCTTGAGAAGACAAGTGCGTTCGACCCTAAAGGGGAAGCGAGTGCAGCAAGGATCTAGTAGTGCGCGCTGAAGGCGCTACTGGTCGGCCAATGCGAAGCGCGAGAAAGCGCGCAGGTACGGGCGAGGCGCGGGAAAGCGAAGGTACGGGCGAGGCGCGGGAAGCGCGCGCGCGTGAGCGGAGACAAGTGAGAGTAAGTGTGAGTTTGCTTAAGTGGTGATTAGATGAATAACAAGAGATACGAGCGTGAGGTGTCAAAGAATAGATTGCAACTATATTCTCTAGGTGGTAAGTGGGTAAGTGGGAGCTAAAGTAAGTATCCTCGTGGTCCGTGATGCTGGCGCTTATATGGCGCCTAAGCGCTGTCATGCGGAGCCGACTCGCTACCGAGTAAGGTATGTAAAGATATATGTATGTAAGTAAGGGTCCATGATAAAAATAGAGGTGGAACGATATGTAAATAAGAGAAATGGGAATATACGCACTAGAGAGCTTGGTGGACAGTGGATGGATGCTTCTGGATGGCTGGCGCTATAGGAGTGGAAAGTGCCATATCACACCATGCGAGGCACGAGTCTCTACACCGCCTCGCCCATCTCAGAGTCTCCTGTTGTTCTCACTCCGCCAACGCAAGTTGATGATGAAGTACGTTCTCTTGGTACCGATCTTGAAGTTTGACGCTTAAGCTATGCGTAGGGCAAGACCACTGTGTCAGAAGCTGAAGTCAATCGGCTCAATAGTGAGCTCTGTGCAGCGCGAGAAAAGATTCGCAACATGGAGTTACAGGTCGAGGGCCTGAAGCGAATGTAAGAAAGGTAGCTCAGGCTTTGATGGAAGCGTGAGGACCAGGTTTGTGAGACTCAGACCGCAGTGGTTGTAAAGTAAAACAGTACCTGATGAGACTAGAGGTGCTTTTGGTGTAGGTTGATAATCGTGTACATAGTCATTATATCTTGTATAGCCTGCATTTCAAAAAATGCAACGGAAGTGCATCGCCACCACCTCCTTGATGCGTTCAATTTGGAGATCCGAACGCTTCGTTATTAATGACAAAAACTCCTTGTACTCTGGACTTGTTTTGAAGGAGTTTAGCTGTGCTGCTCTGTCACACAGAATCCCCGTAGAGGTGTTGAACAGATGAAGGGAGGGCATTGTTGAGTTCGATCAAAACTGCTCTTTGAATAGTGTCTTCTGCTTCTGATGGACAGACGTACTGCTGATGCAGATTTGCAGAACGATATATGTATTTTGAGACGATACAGGAGTGTTCCATGTCTCACCTCGTTTCTGCACTTCTGCCAGGAGCATCGTCCAACTTGGACAACATGATTGTGAAGGCCTTGATGGCTTCATCGTAACGTTGCGCGCCAAGCAGCACTGAGTGTGACAAATGGTACCAAACATGAGGTGAAGGGTGAAGTTCAGTGACCTATGCATCACCAAAGTCAACGTGGGCTACAAAACATGGATGCCATCGCACCTTTCGCACATCGAGGAGCACATCCTCCCATGGCATTTTATTTAACTTTGCCTGGCTGCGACTTGCAAAGAAGATATCGGATGCAGAATCCAGGTCGATCGCCATCGAGTATAGGTCGATAGCCTTGTTGTAATCACTTGCAGCGAAGGCAGCCTCTCCATTGGCAGCGCAGAGTGTGAAATCTGAGAAGAATACAGGTGAGGATTGTCGCCTGCGCGACATTACGGGTTATAGACTCGCCGTTGGACCAATCAAGGCAGTCGGCCTTGGTAATTTCATCACTTGAAGTCATCATGTGTTGGTATGATTTCATGGCATCTTGGAGTTTACCCGCACGAAGGAGTGCATAACAGCGTTTCTGGTGTGCCTTTTGCCATAAGGACTTCAGGTCCCAGCCAAAGAGCTGGACAAGAGATTCAGTTATTAAAAGCATTACACATGCATCATCTTGACGTAACACCACCAAATCCTGGTATATTTCATGAATGTTTGATTTCGATGGTGAATCGCGAGGTCGAGAGCAGTGGAATGGTCTGCAGCTTCGTCGTAGCGTGCGCCATCCAAGGCTTTGATTCCGAGTTGAACGTGTAGATATGCCTAATGTGCGAGTTGTAAATATGAGTGTTGATGACCAAGCATATGGATGATACTTACTTGCACAATATCACATGCAAGTGTATCAGCATTCGGACAACTGGTAGCGAGCTCTTTGAGGAGCAGGCTTGCCTCGTCATGTTGATATGCATTGAAGAGCGCGATGGCCTGAAATATGCGATGAGGGGAAGAGTATGTGAGGCAAATGTAACATACCATATCTTGATCAATAGCAGAAAATGAACCATTTCTGAATCCTGGTTTGTATACATGGATGCAACATCAAATGCTGCCCTCGCATCCAGGACGCGGGTTTTTCCACAGAGGGAAATCCCCTTGGAGATAATATATTATCTTGCATGAGCAGTTCTTTGTCAGTAGATAAGTCTCCATCTATGTATGCATCGAGGAATGTTGTGGTGGCAATAGTCTGCAAGAAGCATGCTCGATTTGTGGTATATGTGTCAGGAACGGAAACATGCCTTTGAATGTGTACGCTGAGGTACTGTCCACTCCGAGATCATCTCCGAGTCATCGTTACCTCCACTGAAGATGTGATTGCCGTCTACGGAGAAAGTGATGCATTCCGTGATAGACGAGTGCTTGAAGACGGTAATGGTTTGTCGGTCTGAGAGCTGCCAGAGACGAACATGGTTGTCACTAAATGCGGATGTGATGAGTGTGCCAGCAGGATGAATGGCAATGATGACAGGGATGAGATATCGCTGTGAGCGTCCTCATCTGATCGACCACCAGCATTCAATACCGTGGCACTCTCGATGGCACTGGAATAAGACTTCGATTTGAGCATAACCTCACTCTCCGTCTCCCCTGTGTGATAGTCTCCCCTGCCCTCCAAATCAGTAACTGACCGTAGTTGGGTGCGCCATTCACTGCTCTCAGAAGAGTGATAACTCCAGGTGCGCTCGGATCGGAGAGTCTTTGAAACCTTGCTGGCCTCTAAAGGCTGGCGCTCGCATCTCGACTCTATGACAGCCTGGTGCATGCAATTTGAAGTTACGCACTCTCCGTCAGCCTCATATTTTGGAGAGCTGGACAGTCTTTGTTGAGGGTGAACGCAGTATAGGTACGATGAACCTTGGCTAGGCTGGTCCTTGTTCATATCTTGGCGACAGGATTCTTCGTGAGTGTGAGCGACGAGAGAATGACCTTGACATGTCATAAATGCAGATGATGATTGTGCTAGTTCGTTGCTGTCAAATTTCCGAGTGCTGGATAACCTTGGTCGAGGACAAAATAAACAGTATGGAGATTACATACGAAAGGGGTCCACAAGGCTGGTCCATCCCCACATATTGACAACAGGGTCATTCTTGTATAGTGACGGGAGAACTCTGAACACTGTTCTCGATCGAGCGATGGCTCGAGGTCTGGACGAAAGTCGCTGGAGCTAAGTTGATATCTGAGGTCTGGTGCTCGCGTGCAGTGAGATTGATTCCCGCATCCTGTGGAACACCTGGTTCACTGCGAAAAATGTATTATAAGGAGATCAAATTTGAACGGGGTTCTCACTTACGAAAGAGACAGCTTGCGCTCAGTGTAAGTTGATGACAGGGATGAGATGTCGCTCTTAGCATCCTCATCTGATCGACCACCAGCGTTGGATACTATGGCACTCTCGACGGCACTGAAATAAGGCTTCGGGTTTTTTGAGCGTAACCTCACTCTCCACCTCCCGTGCATGATAGTCTCCTCTGCCCTTCAAATCAGTAACTGACATATCACTAGAAGATTATGTCTAAACTGACTGTCGTTGGCTGCGCCATTCACTGTTCACAGGCGAGTGATAACTCCAGGTGTGCTCCGATTCGAAAGTCTTTGAAACCTCGTTGACATCAGACTGGGACTCACATCTCAACTCTATGATGGCCTGTTGCATGCGATCTGCTGTTACACCCTCTTCGCCAGCCTCATATTTTGGGGAGCTGGACAGTCTTAGCCAAGGGTGGACGCAGTATAGTAGGAACTACGTACGGTGAACCTTGATTAGGCTGGTCCTTGGTCATATCTTGACCACAAGATTCTTCGTGTGTGCTAGTGACAAGAGAATGACTCTGATATGTCGTCGATGTCAGAGGTTTCAAAATTCCATTGACCGAACTCGACTCCTGCATATTCTCAACTGCTTTGTTGATGGATGGTGGTGAATTTGAATTGTTCTGTTCCAAGGACAGGTAGACGTGGGTAGATAAGGTTGCTCCAGGCTCGTTACTACAAGAGAATAGCTGAGCTGAGCTGATCGGTGAAGGTGAGGAATCTTGACTGTGGGTGAAAACACTAAAAGAAAGGGGGCTCTACAGCAAGACCTGGATACGAGAATACAACTCGACCCAAAGGACAGCTACTGAGAGAAGTTCCTCGCGAATAAGGTGGAGGGAAACTATGTCAACTAGACGGGCGCTGGTAGACGCGGGAAAGTAATGCGCGCGTGAGCGAGAGATGCGGAGGGTACGCGCGTAAGCGGGCGCGCGCTTGAACGATGAAGGAGAGGAGTCCTTAAGAGAGTAGCAAGGGCACAGGTGTCAACAGTGGAGGAGTATAATCAGATTTCTAGTATTGGAGGGAGAACTCTACACTTTGCAGTATATCAAGATAAGGGGAAAGTAAGTACCAGAACCGAAGGAATCCTCCCTCTATTTAAGAAGGGAGATTACGCTATGCGGCGCGCTTCCGAGCGTGCTCCCGAACCGAGTAACCATATCAACTTCTAAATATATTCTAAGTTTAAATAGGCTCTCTGTATGTAAGCACGGAGGTCGGACCGAAGGTTCGTTAATTCAATGAGAGAGATAAAAATAACGCACCAGTGAATCAGCAAGGACAAAGGACAGAGGGACGGACGGTAGGAGCGCGAAGGCCTATGGAGCGCGCACGCGAAGGGCGCGCGTGCGTGTGCGATGTGCGAGTGAGGCGCGTATGTAGGGCGCGCGCGCGAGAGCGCGAATGACTGGTCCTTAGGATGTGAGCTGATACAGATAGGGAATTAAATGGGTAAGAAGGCCGCATATCCGGCATCGAGAGGCGCGAGTCTCTACATCGGTACCCTTGGATTTCAGTTGAGTACTCATAGTTTGAGGTCTGCACAAGGTCAATTGAAGCTGCGTCAACCCCAGTGGAAGACTTGTGCTTACATCCAGACTGTATAAGATCGGCTTCCGCATCCTGTGGGATGCCCGGGTCACTGGGAGAGGTTTATCCCGATATCAGGCACTCAAATGGTATGTCACTTACGAAGGAGACAGCTTGGTCATTTGGGACAAAGGAAACACAGGGACATTGGTGTTCTGATTCATTTGACTATGAATTTTCGATACCACAGTCTTCGACGTGGATCACTCTACAATCCCGACAGAATGGGAATCTGCTGTCAAGCTGAGGCTGAACTTGCTTTCCGTCTCCAGTTCATGACAGTCGCCTTTGCTCTCCACAGCCTGGTGCACGCACTCTGATGGTTCGTTGCTGTCAATTTTCGGAGCGCTGAATAACCTTAGTCGAGGACAAAATAAATAGCATAGGGATTACATACGATGAATGTTGACAAGGTTCGTCTATCGCCGCATATTGAAAGCAAGGTCCTTCTTGTATAGTGACCAGAGAACTCTCGACTCTGTTCTCAATTGCGCGATGGCCCAAGGTTTGCACGGAAGTCGCTGAAGCTACATCGATATCTGAGGAGTGGTACTCGTATGCAGACTGAATGACGTTGATTCCCGCATCTTGTGGGAGGGCCGATTCACTGAAAAAAATCGTTAGCAGCTCAAACTTAAACAGGATTATCACTTACGAAGAAGACAGCTTACGCTCAGCATAAGTTGATGGCAGGGATGAAACGTTACTGTCAGCGTCCTCATCTGATCGGCCACCAGCGTCCAATACCATGGCACTCTCTGATTGCCTGACACTCTCGACGGCACTGGAATATGATTCCGAATTGAACGTCACCTGACTCTCCACCTCCCGTGCATGATAACCTCCTCTGCCCTCCAAATCTTGGGGCATACAATTTGTCGATACAGGCACTCTGTCGTGCTCGACATAAACATTCGCAGTACTGGATAATTGAATTTCAGTGGGGGAAACACGACGTAGGAGCTACGTACGAGAAGCTTTGAGTAGATAGATTCGCGCCTACAACAAATTGACCACAGGATCCGCCTTTTAGGTCAATTACCAAAGAAATCTGACCCATCATCCACATGCCTTGAGACAACGATGAGTTCCCAAGATCATTGTATACCAGAATCGACTTCTGCGTGCTCTCGAGAGCTCTGCGTGGGGCTGATGCTGGTGCTTCAATGTTCTCCGCAGTTACTAAGGACAATTGGACCAGCACAGAGGAGTCTACGTCTTCACGACTCCTGTTGAACTTATCATCAGTAAATCGTTCTTTGCTAAAGGATAAATTTTGGGCTAACTGCCTTTGGATGTGCCCGTCACTGCTCTCAGTCGAATCATGGTTGGAATTATTTGAAGCTATGTTGAGGTCCAAAGACCGATGTTCGTATCCAAATTCGATATGATTAGTCCCCGAGTCCCGCGGAACATCCGGTTCGCTAAAAGAGGTTTATTGGAGGGTGAAGCACTTGAATGATATCACGCACGAAGGAGACACTTTGGACCCAGGATTGACAGAGGATAGGGACAATGCAACGCCGTCGGCGCTCTCATTTATCCTCTTGTCATCGTCTAATATGGCGGACTTCGACGTGTTTCCTTCGATAATCCTGACAGTACGGGAATAGGATGTGAGATTTTGCTTGACCTCGCTTTCTGTCCCTTGATCATGATAGTCTTCTCTCCCCTCCTCAATTTGGCGCTTGCGATCTGTGGATACATCCACCATCTCACCCTCAAGTTTCGGAGTGCTAGACAATCTTAGTTGAGAGTAAACACAGCGTGGGAAAGACGTACGGGGAGATTTGACTAGGATTGTCGCTGGCTACGTCTTGATCGTGGAGTTCCTCGTGTCTATCAGAAGTCAGAGAGGTGCTCTCGGCTATCGTCGATGTACTTTGAATGAAAGATAAGTTTCGAAATACTGGACTTGTCTTCTGTGTGCTCTCCACTGTGATGGCTCTGGTTGACGTATCGTTTTTCTCGTATGTCACGGGTGAACAGACGATGACAGATGAGTCTGTGCACTCGCGATGCCTATAGAGCTCGTCATCCGAAGCTACGTTAGTCTCTGAGGACTGGTGCTTGCATGCAGACTGAATGGGATTGATTCCCGCACCCTGTGGAACGTCCAGTTCACTAAAAAAGGTGTATTGTTAGCAGCTCAAATTCAAATAGGATTGTCACTTACGAAAGAGATAGTTTACGCTCAACATAAGTTGATGACAGGGACAAGACATCGCTGTTAGCGTCCTTATCTGACTGTCCACCAGCATTCAATACCATGGCACTCTCTGACTGCCTGACACTCTCGACGGCAGTGGAATAAGGAGGACATCTCGGACTTCGACTTTCCGCCCCATTTGCCCCATTTGTGCCATTCATGCCAAAGATTATATAATCAAATACATGTGCAAACAACTTCCTGCACCGTACATGCAAAGTCTATGATGTAATCACACATCGATGAGCACCCAGTCGCTACTCCAGTGCTTGCAGGAATTGCAGGGTGTCCTGTCCCCTGTGACAGAGCTCTCACTCGCATCTATTGTCCGATTTGTTTTCCTTGCGACAAACCTTAAGAATGACATAGTCCTTGTTCAGCCAGGAGATTATGATCCTGGTTCTCCGCCTGCTAACCTATCACCGAGTATCATCCACTTTCTCTCTGCTAGCTGTCAAATTGTACTGGACGATGTGCCGGCTTTCTGGACAGCATTGAAAGACACTATCTGGCACGAGGAAAACTTCGGACTTTATGATACACTCCCTCTTTTCACGCAGTATGGGCAGAAATATGGTATCAGTGAGTCCTCTACTTGTCATCCTCTCGAGCCTGTGAACTTTATGGTGCTGCAGCCATGTCTCCTCTCTACCCACCACAGCAGACATGTTTCTCTCTTGGTTGCACCAACACGAAGAAGCTAATGAGAGCAGAGCAGCGCCCTGCAATCCTATACACACTCGATCGCGGCCCAATTGCTACGTACTCTGTACATCTCAAATGTGATGGTGCGCATCTACCATATCATCTATGACACTGACTCAAATTTTATAGCTTGTCATGTTGGGTTCCATCACCACTATTCGATCGACTATAAAGTCCCTGCACATGATCGCAAGCGGACTTATTATGCGCATCCACCGGATGCGCTCCATGTTGGCGGTCATCAATATGTTGATATAGCAGTTGTGCGGATGTGGAGAGTACTGAATCTTGTTTCATGGTGAGTGCTATCCATAGCATCGCTTCATGATTCAGTGTTTCTAACTTGACTTTGGCAGGACGTCACATGTTGAACTGCGCGTGCTTCTATAACGTCTCCCTCTCAAAGGGTGCCGTGCCACCACCTGACTTTCAAGTTTGGCCTCTCGGGTGACCACGTCTGGAGCGGAGTTGTCCAACTCTCTCTCATCGAAGATTTACAACTTCGCGGTCAAGTGCTGGAGATCAAGCACGGAGGTGACCACAGGGACAGATTTACTGCACCAATACATGCTCACAACCTTCGCATCCGCCTCTACGGCCAGGAGGAGCTCCGTCATTATTGTACCAAGTGCACTGTTCTCCACAACAACAACAACAATGGCGCTCCTGACCAAAAGTTTTCCGTTGTCATTACAGATGGGGTCACTGTAGGCCATCCATGTTGCGGCATTCATAATTGCCATGAACCCCTTGCCAATAATCGCGATAGATTCTGTCCTGACCATCTCCTAACACACCTCTGTATCTGTGCAATAGTGAACTGCGAGCGCAGTGTCACACCCTCGACTAGGACATGCGATGACCCCACACACCAGGCTATCGAGAAAGCGTACACCCAACGTGGCCAGGCATGCTTTCAGCTTCAGGAACGCCTTCAGCGTGCATATGTAGCTGTGCCCATGAACTCCGATACCAGTGATGTCGTGATTGCTGACCTTGAGGCTGATGATCCCTTGGAAGAGGAGTTTGAAGTCCCAGTTGTTGTTGGTGAGGGATCTGTGGAGACAGCAAAGCAAACTAAGCCAAGGAAACTTCGCGCAAAGTTTGGTCGTAACCGTACCCACAATGAACAGTTGATCATTGCGCCATGTGGGATGATTCTCGCACGTGAGACATTTTATGGAGCAGAGGGTGTCACAAGTGTTGTGGTAAGGCAAATGCTTCTCACTCGCGATTGCAGACTAACTATGAGCGGATAGGAGATGATCAAGAGGGTATTTCGCGATGAGAGCATCAAGCCCAGCCACATCTTTTACGACAACAATTGCACCTTGTCTTACCATGTTCGGAACGACCCTTACTTCAAAAGCATAGGCCTATCTGTCGATGTGTTTCATTTCCAGTGCAAGCATTCCATCGAAGATGCATGGTGTCAGGAACACTGCAACCCCGCCCACTTTGACGAGCTGCAGGATGTCAGCAGAAACTGGCTATTCAACTCCTCCATCGCAGAGCAGACAAATGTCTGGTTTGGGGGATATCACTCAATATGCCGCGAGATGCTCATGGACAGATACGTCTTCTTCTTAGATGAGATGATCCTTCAGAAGAATCGGCTCACGAAAGCAAAGCTACATGCAGAGGGGAGACGCCCTGGCAACTGGCCACTAGTAGAGTAAACAATTTGTTACTTGTCTTTATCATGCTCTTCTACAATATATAACCAACATGTCTTCATCTAACACGTGTCCAAATACCAATAGTGCCAGCAACATTTCTAATTAACGACACCAATACCACTGCGAACACTGCACCCAGTTTTGGCTAAGATATTCTGGGTGGTATGGCCCAGGGAAGGGGTTATACACCGCATAGGTGTCACCCAGCGCACCCATCAACTCGTTGCTGCCTTGCCGGTCAAAGTTGCCCAGCGGCATGATTTCTTACCCCTCTTATGGAGGAGACAGTATTCATAATATTATATTGTAGGTGTAGCTAGCTATATTTTCTTTGTTAACACAATTACTTTCCTTGGGCCGCTTAGAGGGGGCCAGCGCGCCCCCAAAACTGTTCGTGTTAAGAGTTCTGCCTCAGAGGTAAGTTAGCTATACCTATACCACAGGGTATTGAAAATGTTTTCTTCGGTTAACAAAGAAAACATTTTCAATACCCTACAGTATAGGTGTAACTAACTTACCTCTGAGGCAGAACTCTTAACACGAACAGTTTTGGGGGCGTGCTGGCCCCCTCTACCCCAGAGATATTAAGTTAGCTACACCTATACTGGGGGGTATTGAAAATGTTTTCTTTGTTAACCGAAGAAAACATTTTCAATACCCTGTGGTATAGGTGTAGCTAACTTAATATCTCTGGGGTAGAGGGGGCCAGCACGCCCCCAAAACTGTTCGTGTTAAGAGTTTCAATACCCTCCAGTATAGCTTCAGAGGTATTAAGTTAGCTATCATTACCTATACTGCATACCCTGCTGTATAGGTAATGATAGCTAACTTACCTCTGAGGCAGAACTCTTAACACGAACAGTTTTGGGGGCGCGCTGGCCCCCTCTAAGCAGCTCAAGGAAACTATAAGAGGAGTAAGAAATCGCGCTGCTAGGTAGCTCTGACATGCTGTTCTACAATATATAATCTTATGAATGCTCTCTCTCCTCCATAAGAGGAGTAAGAAACTGTGCCGCGTTTGCACTGGTGCCGGCGTTGTTATTAGAAATGTTGCTGGCATTATTGGTATTTGGAGACGTGTTAGATGAAGACGTGTTAGAACCCACAAAGCTTCAATTGATAGTATAACGACGAGTACATCCACAAGTTATTGACAATACCAGTAAGGGAACCATAAGATGGTGACAACGGCACAACGAATGAAAAGGAATAAGAAAACAGACATAGAATAATGCCTGTGTTCACCCTCGCAGTCTTCCAAGGCGCTTCTGGGCGGCCTTCACATCTGCGCCAGGCAATGGATTTGCCTTCATGAATGCTGAATATGAGCCTGCATCACTCTTGCCTGCTCGTATAAACATGGTTCTTGAAGATGCCAGTGCTTGGTCCCATCGTTTCCGATGCTCTGAGAAGGTCAAGGGACGGAAGTGTACACCCCCTCCGAATGCCAGTGAGAACGCAGCGTGAGAACACAGTCCGACTCTGCGGGATTTGTCATATTTCTTGAAGCCATCTGCGATTTCACATGCATAGAAGCTGGTAGGCCAGCGCCTGACATTGTCAAAGGCATCAACATCAACAGCATCCTCAGGAGAGTGACCTGAAGACAGTGATGAACACTCAGATACAGTAGAGGGGTCGCTCAGGCTGCTGCTGTCTGATGATGCACTGTGGCTACTGTCCGATGACAGTGAACGATGTCGACTTGGATGTGGCACATGTTGACGGGGAGTGATGTTGACGTCGACCTCGGAGCCAGAATCGGAAAATAGCTCAATCACGTCCTGCAAATTAGCGTCCACAGTGTGTTCATGTTTTATTGCCAGTGGAGGCGAGTTTGGTATTGAGAATGACCGACGTGGTGTCAGAAGCGTGCGCTCATGTTTGATGATCAATGCAGGCGAGTATGGACGAACAGCTGAGGAGCCAGCAGTGTTTGTGCGCACACGGCGAGCGTTGCCTCGCAGTGAGTGACCTGAATGCTTATGCTTCCGCATATCTTCTGGATCCTCTGAATCGGAGGCTGCGATGCTAGCAGCCCTAAGCTGTGTGCGTGTGTTGGACAGACGAACGGCAGCGCGCTCAGCTTTGAGATTGGTGCGAATATTGGGAACAACATGAAGAGAGTTGCTTTCGAAGATGTTGTCGAACTCAGGAGTGATTGTAACACCTATGGTCCGCATGTACACTTGACGGCTGTCGAGCATGAGCGCGTGCCCTTGCTGGACTGTCGACCATCAGCTCCTCGACGCATTGAAGTATTGGACTTGAGCCTCTGCGTCATCTCCAGAGCACAGCCCAAGTGCGCGAAGTACTTGTACAGTCACCTTGAATTGCGGCAGGGTGATGCCTTCTTGAAATTCGCACATGGTCACCTCTGCACCGTCCTAAAGCTGCTCTTAAGACATGTAACAGAAACCCATACTTCGGAAAACACACCTTTGACCATCCATAGACTTCCACAGTATTCTTCATGCGATGCTCAAGATTACGCTGCTTGGCAGCTTGGTGCGCCGTTGCCTTCAACTGCTGTTCTTGTTCAGCATAGCGCTGAGTGAAAACAGGTGGGAGTTGCGATGGGTAACGAGGGTTGGCATGTATGTCAACCTCTGATGGAGGCAGTGCCCGATCTTTACCCTTGTTTGAGGGGTACGAACGTCCCTCTGAAGAAGCGTGGGCAATGGCGGGAGTAGGCACCTGTGAAGGGGTATAGGTGGCACCAGAAGAAGTAGGCAGCTGTGAAGGGGTGTGGGCGACAGCGGAAGAAGTAGGCGCCTGCACATTGAGTGAGATTGTGGGGCTAGGAGTAGGGGCCGAGTGTACTGCTGAAGGGCCAGCCTTGGCAGGCTGGGATGGTGGCACTCGAAGGACAGGGTCAATTGCCATGTTTCGCTGACTTTCGGCAGGGGTGGGCTTGTGGGTCTTCGAAGAACACCCACCAAAGGCAACACAATGCTTGCGACAACACAAGTTTTTGCAATCTGGTGCGATCCGTGTGAACTTACATCCAGGTACAGCGCACAGGCGTGGATGAGAGGACGCATCACCAACTGGCAGTGGTGGTGGTGGTCCAGGCTGGGTTGGCATAGCGGTACTGTGGGGAAGGACTGGTGATTGTGTGGGGGACGATCTGGGTGAGCCCTAGCGGAAGTACTGGCATGATTGGTTGTCTGAGGAGCGTTTACATCGGCACTGAATTCTCAGTAGTTAGTGCGATGAAACTATAGACATGAATAGATATACGTACTACCGCATACCAATGACCTTGATTGCCCTTTGAATTGTCTTTGCAAACCTGCCATTCGGCAGGTTCGGAACATGATTGACATATAGCGACCCATTCGGGCCGGATGAAGGGTGTTGTAGGAGGAACAGACGACATGAATACTATTGCAGCGTGATACAAAGAACTAATAGAGGGAGCGTGTTGAAGGTAAGCATTTAGAGTTGTACACTGAATGAAGTCCGTCAGCACCAGTGCACCATGGAGCAAAGACCAGTGCAACTTACATGGTGCCAATACATACCGCTTATTAATATGCGGGGCAGGTGAGGAGAATGGGTATTGATGGCGCTAATAACTGGCGGGATGGAGGTAAGGACAAAGCGTCATAGTAGTCATGTCACGGACTTTGTCTATTACTAATCGTGGGAAAGAATTCGGCACGAACACGAATGGGGCGAACCGGGGCGAAAAGTCGAAGACTGAGACTTTCTGGGAATAAGACTCCGATTTGAGTGTAACCTCACTCTCCACCTCCTGCGCACGATAGTTTCCTCTGCCCTCCAAATCCTGGCGCATACAATCTGATGATACAAGGCACTCTGCCGTCGACGTAAACATTCGGAGGACTGGATAATGTCAGTGGGGGAAACACGGCGTAGAAGCTACGTACGGGGAGCCTTGAGTAGGTGGTTCCGAGCCTACAGCTTGACCACAGGATCGGTCTTTCAGGTCAATTACTGAGGAAGAAGTCTGACCCATCATGCACGTGCTTTCGGCTGAAGACGAAGTTCCTGAGATCATTGTATGCTAGACTCGAATTCCGCGTATTCTTGACAGCTCTGCGTGGGACCGGTGCTGGTGTTCCAATGTTCTCCGCAGGTATCAGGGACGACCGGACCAGCACAGAGGAGTCTACTTTCTTCACGGGCACTGTTGAACTTATCATCAGTAAATCGCTCAGTTCCTGAGGAATAAATTTAGGGCTGACCTGTCTTTGGATGTGCTCTTCACTGCTCTCAGTCGAATCATGGCTAGATATTTGAATGGAATTCCTTGAAGATTGTGTCAGTGGTCCAAAGACCGGCGTTCGTATCCAGATTCAATGCAATTGATACCCGAGTCCTGTGGAACACCCGGTTCGCTAAAGGAGGTTTATTGGAGGGTAAAGAACTCGGAATGTATCACGTACGAAGGAGACTGTTTTTGACCCAGGATTGACAGACAAGGACAATGCGGCACTGTCGGTGCCCTCATTTATCGTCCTATCATCGTTCAACACTGTGGACTTCGACGTGTTTCCTTCGACAATCCTAACAGTACGGGAATAGGATGTGAGATTTTTGACCTCTTTCCGCCCCTTGATCATGAGAGTCTTCTCTGCCCTCCACAGTTTGGCGCTTGCAATCTGTGGATACATCCGCCATCTCATCCTCAAGTTTCGGAGTGCTAGACAATCTCAGTTGAGAGTAAACACGACGTGGGAAGACGTACAGGGTGACTTGACTAGGCTTGTTCCTGGCTACGTCCTTGATCGTAGAGTTATTCGTGTCTGTTAGAAGTCAGAGAGGGACTCTCGACTACCGTCAATGTACTTTGAATGAAAGATGAGTTTCGAATGTCGTTCGATGCTGGACTTGTCTTCTGTGTGCTCTCGACCGCGTTGAACTGTTGTTTTCCTTGTGTGCCACGGATGCACAGACGATGACAGATGAATCTGCGCACTCGCGATGCCTATGGAGCTCGTCATCCATGACTGAGCCGTCGTTACATGAAATTGTCTGGGCAGATGGCCATTGTGAAGGAGGCAAGCTTGTACTACATGTGACAGTCGACAACGGTGCGCATTCTTCAGTTACCAGGGTTCCGCGAGAGGGAACGACCGATGCTAACCCCCCGTGCTTGTAGTTTGGGATGCTGCAGTAACTGCGACCCAATTCTCTTGAACGAGCTCCCATTCGAGAGTGCTCTCCTGCACTACGGCACGACTGTGCTCCCGTTTGCTGTCTCCAGCTACTTGAGTTACAGAAGTTATGTGCGACATAGGGTGAGACAGAAGTTTGACTTCGCTCGTCACGATCCCAGCGTTCGATTGGGTTAATGATGATTGGTGCAGGACGCTCGCTGGTGATTGCATCACTTCCAGTCCCATCACAAGTTTGCGCTTCGATGCCAAAGGTCGTTCGGGAGACAAGCTGCCAATGCTCGGAGTCACTTACATGCTCCGACTCACAGCCACGCACATGCTCCGAGACAGTCGTGTTTTCATCCTCGGAGGATGTCTTGGCGGGTCTCTTTGGCACGTCATGATGTGAGTCATGAGTGGAACGTAGATCAATATCTGTATGATCATCAACAAGAGAGCCCTGGGCTGGGGGTGAATCGGTGGATAGAAATGTAGGAGATTGTGGAACGTGACTTGGACCATCCTTCAAGTGAGATTCCTGGTGTTGCATACCACGTTGCCATACATGCATTTTGGCAACAGGAGATGCCCACTGATCATACTGATCAACACGCCCGAAATCACTCAAATTGGCAGAGATGTCGACTGTGCCTGTGGGAGGGTGTACGGGACCGTTGACCAGTTTTGACTGATGTTTGCTCGTGTCTTTGACATCATCAAGGATGCAGAGACACAAAGCAAGGCTTCCTTGGGTGCCCGCCCAAGTACCACGAGAGAAAACTGTAGATGGTCGAGACGGTGGCGAATCACTCGACACTTTGTGCGAGGAAGATGAGTACTACATGGGGGTGAAGTGAGAGTCGTCCTTTGACGAAGGATTGGGAGTATTGGTGAATCGAGAATCAAGGAAATTGCTTGCCAATGAGTGGCTCATTGCCGAAGTCGACAAGAACTGGTTTGTGTGGTGATTTACAGGTGTGGAAGGAGCAATACCAGTGTTTGAATATCTTCGACGCGGTAAGACGTCCTGGGCAAAATCAGCATGTACCGATTGAGCTGGATGTTCACGAGGTGAACTACTGTATGCACTCCGGCCATTGACGTTCACCACCTCGCGGAACCCTGTGATTTCGGATCCGCCGAATGAACCGACTGGGGTGCCTCGCTCATTTGCTGAGTATTCAACAGCACTAGCCACGCTGTAAAAACTCATTAAAAAGTGTCTCTCAGTTGTCACTGTCAACTCACCTAGGGAGCCTGTGAGATCCTTGACTGGTGCAATCGAGACAGACTCGAGGTTTTGATGACGTTACCACACTTGGGCGGGACACCGGTGCGTGCTCAGACCTGTGAGTAGCGGACACAATGACCATAGTAACATCAGCACTTTGTGCACTGTCACACCGAAAAGTACCCAGTTCCGCCCTAGCATCAAAGCTTGACTCAGCTGAACGTCTTGCCCGGGGAGGGAGTGATCGTGACCGCTCCGTTAGCTCAAGAGGAGATTTCAGGGGAACGAAAGTGTTACGAGCTTTCAATATGTCAACATCTAAAGATTCTTTTAATGAAAGGCCATATGTAGAGTAGCTGCGGGCCCTAGTATGCGATGCGACGATGGCGGGGTCGAGATCGGGAGTTGCCGAACACTGGTTGTTAACGACCTTGTTGTGATTATCTGCTGAATTATAGGCGTTTTGAGGAATATCCTGATGATACGTGAGAGCTTGTTCAAGACCGTGATTGATGTGATATTTTGTGATGACGGTGTCCTGGCGCATAAAGCTTGTCCCAGAAGAATACGGGATCTCCCAACTCAGCCATCCGGCGCACACGAGTACATCATACCGGATCACCTAGGTCATATGCTCAGCAAAATTACGACCTCAAAAGTTGTGGTCACTACCGTTATTTCCAAACTTCCGTAGCTAATGATAGCACCGCTAGTGAGCTGAGAACCAGCCTTGCCCAGGACTGTTGCGGGTGACATGAATGAGCAAAATCAATGCCTGATGGAGCTGACTCACAAAATGCTCCCTGCACTCATAAGTCACAAATGATAGAGCATTTGCATGAGAAGACTTACTTCTAGATAAGCTCGGGCTATGAAAAGAGGTCCGTGACTGTCCGAGGCGAATGGAACAGCGTGAGGCGGGATAACGTTGTCTCAGACTTCAACCTGTGCCATTGTTTGATTTTGTCCGCCAGATAGAACGTAGATGATCACTCACCCAAACTAGAGGCAGCGATGAAGTTTCCTTGGCACCATCTGATCTGACATTGATTGCTTGGGATACCGATTGGCATTTCAACTTCGGCCTGTACTGAGAGCCATGTCTGTGAGGGAACTCAAGAGAACGGTCAGCGTCAGACGTAACTGAAGGCGATCCCTTCCAATACGCGGGAAAGGTCTGGAAAACATCGCGATATGAATGCGACATTTCGAATGATATGATGAAAAAAACTTTGAAACTGCGAGTCGAACATTTTAAGGTGCAAAGTAAGTCAAGCTCCATCACGGTGTAAGATAAAACACCAAATCAGACCGTTAGAGATGTTGCATGTCATAGATTGTTTGTTGCATTACGCCTGACTAGCTCACAGCGAGGCACATTTCACTGCAAGAGGTGAAAGATAGACTGCTAGACTGGTAGAAAGACGCTCGGAACTTATATGGTTACATACAGAAGTTGGCAACTAGTTGGCTGGAGATTCAACACCTCGTTGTAGAGTGGGTTCAGGGTGAGGTCCTAATCTCCCCTGGTCAAACCTCAATAGAAGGGAGAAAGACGCTCCTAATTTATATCATGAGGTCGAGGAAATTCGAAGCAAACACACTATATATATGCGCCTGAAACGGGACATCAAAGCACGACGCCTAACGATACTCTGTTTCTGGTGTGAACCTAAGTATCAGTACTTCAGTCACGGTAGGTTGGCAATGTGTTATTCAAGGACTTGATTTAACTCGAGTTTGAACTTTCTTTTTAATCTTGGCAAATTTGTACAGCGTAGAAGCCTGGAGCTTGTGCTCAGTGATGGATTGATTAATATAATGGCAAGTTGGCACAGTGCATGCCTCGAGGTCATTGCGGCATTTCAATTTTCGAAACTATACGAGTTACATAATCCAGCACCCTTCCCATCATGTTGTACTTATCGATGCTGAAGGGCACGCGGCTCGGGACAACAATAATCACCTTTCACTGGCACTCACGAACCTTGCAATACTATGGTTGTGCAAATTTTGGGCCGGTCAGCTGGAAATTCACCACCTCGCTGCATTCTCATTGCGCCGCCACTGCCACAAAGTCAGAGGGTTCTTGCCAGGAGGCCTGAGGCATTTTGAATCTTTGAACGATGATCAAACTTACACGTTTCGAATACCGATTTCAACCCTACAGCAATCCCACACGTACATTGCACTTGGGCTCGTAATCAGTTTGGACTAACATCTTTGATGTTACAGTTCAGAAGGGCTTCGCCACTCGATTTGTCTGTGGCGTACAAGCAGCCAGGTTGGTCACAAGCTTACATTGCACTGGCAGCGCATGCTTATTTGGAGGGATAAGTTGAAGTAATCGTGGACATCTTCGCAATTCAAGGTACATATATTTCCCAACTCGGGACCAGGAGATCCATCCCATGTTGATGATATTCTACGCATCGCACCGCCATTGAATAAAGGTATAACAATCTGACATTTCTAACACGCCACCAGCAGGAACATACAGTATCGTTGGAGAAGCCACCCCAACAACCTTGCAGTCTAGGGCTACAGGTGTTCATGCCGCAACTGGCAGACCTCCTTCCTCGCAAGACACTCTTTTGTGGGATGCCTGCCTTGCTATCCTTAGCATAGCCTCCCCACATATACATCACACTTGATGATAATTCCCGCTGCCCCTCACTGATTTCGTGTTCGTTTTGAGACTGCTTTTGTTCCGCCCGTTCCTCTTGGATTGTACGTGATACTGTATATCGTTAGTACATCCTCAATGTGATTTCCGTCACACATAGATCTTACATGTTCCTGGACTTCAGTTGGCTCATCAAGTCGTGATGGACCACATGAGTCACACCTTGAGCTCACGAACTTGAACTGTCTGGCCATTAGAAAAGTTGTAAATTAAAGGTCGTGGTGTTCAACTGTACTCGTTGAATTCCTTCCGCGGGTATGAGGTGCTGGCGAGATTTACAGTAACATTAGACACAGATTATAATACAAGATAGTTCGTGAACGCTGCGCCACATTAAAAGTAATAACCGTAAGCCATATCCTCATCATCACTCGAAGCTCTGCAGCGGTCACAGACTATATCAGGATAATCGCCGTCGTCTTCTTTGTGTGCACCAAGCTTACAAATGCTCTGATCACATCTGCAGCATGTTTTCTCGTCAAGATCAGAGCATGTCTCGCACAGGAGACCTTTGCAGCCCTGGCACATAAACATGGTGTGCTCCTCCTCTACGCTCTTTCCGTTCCTGATGCAGTCGTAGCAGGGCTCCACATGATTGCAAAGCTCGCAGGTCCCGATGTATGAGCACGACGATAAACAGAACCAGCATGCGCATATGGGACACTTGCCCAGATGCGACAAAGAGCCTGGACGCTCCAAACACGAGGTGCATAATTTCGAGTTGTGATGATTCGAACACTGTACGACAGGAATAGCGGAAGAGACTTCACAGTCATCATTGGAGCAGGAGATGACCTTCCACATGTTGCACGATGTCTGCTTCGCTGAACAGACAGGACAATGCAAACTGTCACTGGAGAAGTGACTCGCATCCTTGCATACCATACCTCGATCAATAGCAGAAAATGAACCATTTCTGAATCCTGGTTCGTGTACATGGATGCAACATCAAATGCTGCCCTCGCATCCAGGACACGGGTTTTTCCACAGAGGGAAACCCCTTGGAGATAGTATAGCCCTGTATAAGGCGGCGATGGCGATAATTCTCACCTTGATTGCGTCCAGAAGGGCGTCCACGCGAGTGACAAGTTGTATGATTTGTGACCCTTGAATGATGTGACGTGTTTCCTAGTGCCTGAATTGTAAATTTGAACATCCTCATTTGTTGCGATTAGACTCGTGACCAGTCCGTCTATGAGGCAAGCCATCAATAGCCTCATAGACGGACTGGTCCAAAGTGACTTGTTTGCAGACATGGTACTACTTTAGCCGGTATTTCTCGGATCCTTGGTACACCAAACTTTTAGTAAGTTCACGAATGATTGATATACGTCATTATCTCAAACATTATATAGGTCGGCGCCGTATTTGTATCAGACACAACCCACCAAGCTTTGATTACACACACCGGTGAGTACCGGATGGAAGATGTGTTTGTCTGTGAACTGAATATTGAATGGTAGTGTGCACATACCTTGTACAAAGTAAAATCAAAATGCAATCTCGAAGGCATAATGGTCAGCATAGTTATTGCCATAGTAGGCTTGAAACGCATCATAGGAATGATAAAATTTGAGTTCCCGAGACAGAAAGTCCGTGCCATACACAGGAATAAGATAGACAGCACGATAGATACTAGTGTCAATATGAATAATGGCGTACTCCGTGGTATTGTTTGCTTGAAATCCTGGACGAACCATCCACATTTATGTGTCTTCATCTGCGGCATTGTCGAATTTGTCGAACCAGCGGATCACAGCGCAAGGATACACTTTGCCCTGGTACTGGAATGAGAAAAATGCGCGAACTTCGAGACCTTGCAAGCCGGGTAGACCAGAGTCTGTGTTAACAAAGACACAGTCATTGCGTGAATACTCGTTCCGCCAGGAGGGGCAAGCGTGGATGTGTTCAATGCGCATGCCACCAATACCGCTCAGATCACTCGCTGCGTAAAATCGCGATGATGCCGAATTGAAGACTGAAATTTTGCCGGGATATAGTAGTGGGCATTCAGCGAGAGGTATATCGAATGGATTGCGGGGATCGTTGGCATGCAGCTGTTGGAACAAGAAGCGACTGAGAAGGTCGGGTAGGCAAGGAATTTCGAGTTTGTCAGAAAGTTTTTTTACCCTCTGTACACTATATTTAGTGTAGCATTAAAAATCAAGAAAAAAGAACCTTACGAGGTGTTCTCGCCAGCTGCACAAAGGCCTGGAGAACCATTGATCCGTCATCGAGGTTATGCATCACGGTGATATGAACAAACTTAAGATTCTGTTAGCAATAGTGCACGGTTAAATTAATTTTATTTGCCTACCTTCTCGTTGATCGAATTTCCAAGTAGGTAATATGCGAGTCTTCCTGTTGCAGTTGGGAGAATAGACTTTATGACACTAATTCCAGATAGTCATATAAATATGACATGCAAAGCTGAAACTTACATTTGAGAGGACCATTCTGTATGTATGGACAGGTGCGCAGACAGTTATGAAGCCCAAGCTGAAGCACTGAATTGTGTCAGCAAAACTTTGTTTGTTTAAGTACCGAACTTGCCAAAGTTCAAATTCAATAATCCACCAGCATGCCGTTCCTTACATTTTCCTGCCCATCTGAAGCTCGCTTTACCCTTGTTTGATCTAGCTACTTGTCAGTAATGTCCCGGCCCCGCACTCGCCCACAGAATGCAGAAAAACACCCAGGTTTGCCCGACCCAGTGCCAGGATGCGCCACACCAGTGACGATCACGGGCCCAGATAGCAGGCCACAGAATCCTCCAGGAAACCTGCGAAACTCAAGAATGGGTCGCACTCGAAGGGCTGCAACGGCTTGCTGCCATGCAGGCAGATATGGAGGAGGCAGAAGAACAAAGTTTTAAGACCAAAGGTGGCGGAGTCATCTTCCGGTTAATGGTAGTACTATTGCATTTAGTTTTGACTGTGCATTCGACAGTGATCATGCGCTACTCGTGACGCAACAGCACACATCGACCACATATAGCATAGCAGCCTGCCTCTCGAGAGTCGCAGATGCAGAATGGGCGCGGTCATGTGAAAGTATCCGTTGATTCTCCCCGTCTATTGGTCCACTTGCGAATGGCGAGCTCTCTGCGAGGGCGCATGGACAGGTCCCTTACCCAATGACCTACCAGACATATTACCTGCGCCTGCTTGAGCTTCACTTCCAACCCAGGGTTTCGTAATTTCCATGAGGAGAGACCTTGTGTTCGAAGCTGTAATTGTCTTGGTGATATCCACGCTGTGCCGAGTACAAGGGTCGACAATCTCATCTTGGCATCTTATCATCAGGCGATAGTGTAGTTTGAGGTAGTCCAGGAACTGCAGATGTGGCGGAGGGAAATTGCCAAAAGTTTTTGCGTAAGTGAATTTGACACATGGTTGCCTTAGCCGCTTCTCATTGTCTGCCGTATCAAGATACAATAACTCCTTTTGGTAAGTCTTCTATACTCAATGGTGGCTTCCGGCGTGCTAACAGCATTACTCCAGGTCATTCTCACTCCAATCGCGCAGTTGTAAGGCAACAATCATAGATAGAACGTGCGACATCTCTTACTCCCCCTTATATTTTTCGCTAGTCGACTTTATACGGGTGAGCCAAGTTTGTTTGTGAGTTTCATTTTTTCATTGTTCATAGTTTGTGGTGGCCCTACGAGTATCACTTCGAGATTCGTCGGCACAGTAGTGGTATGTGTTTTATAACCATACTCAGTCACTTCTGCTGACCACGCCGCAGCTCTTCTGTGCCTTCATCGCCTTTGGTTAGTATTTCTTCCTGCGTGTATAAACCTTGCCTGACGTGATTTTCGATCACAGTTTTCGGCTTAAGTTAGTTTGTATGATATTCAATTGATTTTCATTGACGAAAGTGCAGCTTCAGTAGGGCAATTGTAAGTGGATATTCTAATAACAATCTTGGATACCGTTGCTGATTCTCGTTCGTTTCTCAGCTTCCAGCAAAGGCAGTTGTCCACATTCGCCGCTTCGCCCTCTATGGCAGTGAGTGTTTTGGTTCATCAAGAGGATTCTTACCCGGAATTGCAGATTATCGCTGGCATCAGCCAAGGCTTCGCATCAATCACGAACATCATCATTTTTATTGCGATGTGTTGGTCATTGCGTCCAGCACATTATCCGGACATGCTCCAGTCGGTGCTTCGTATCATAAGCAAGCAACTGCTGACACATTGTTTTTAGGCCCGAGGGGGTGGTTGAAAACCTCGTTGTACTGTTTATTGGCCGTGGCCTGGGACTCGCGTAGGTTTACTCTGCGTCTGATTTTATAGCCTAATCATGTTTCCCTTGGTCAGCATCATTCAGCTGGTGTATCTTAAGTGGAACATGCAATGAAATGTGGGTGTTCAACGTAACAGGTACGTTAGCGAGGTGGATAATGAATCAAAGTTCTATACGTAATACTAATGAGCGACACGGCGTAGCAAATCGGCAGGATGCCCAACGCGGGCCTGGACGAGTAAAGCAGACGCCCACTTAGCTATGCCATGCGACACTCCACTTACTCATCACAGCCTCCACCAAGCACTCATCTCCTCATGTGCTCCTGTAGGCTGTTAGTAACTCATACCTACAAGTTCATTGAGTGCGTACGGCAATGTTTATAGTGGGTCGAGCTTTGAGGACGTAAGCCCTGGCATATTTCAAAATACGACTCAGACATCTAGTAGCAGGATGGCTTTAAGATGGAACGACACCATAGGCTAGAAAAAACATGTGAAATGGAGGGAACACGGCCTTCTGTCGAACTTTCTCATCACCATCGAAGTAGTCCATCAGATGTGCAAAGATGCACCTGGCGCCAAGTCGCAATCCTGTGCGCTTCGCCCACAGCAATCAAGCTGTGAAACGATAATGCATTTGACGCACCTTAAAACACAGGCAGAGCCCAACTTCATCAACTCCAACCCAAACTCCCACTTATCACTGGTGATCTGAGCACTGGGTGTGTCTAGAATTCTCGTGAGTTATTGATACTCTGAACTTTTCTGCAACATATACACTTGCTCACAAGCAACTTTGAATACCCTCCAAGATCTCTGTACATTCTCCGACACGCAGCTCCTGTATACAGTGTCGAAATTGGCTTCTGGGTGAAAACCAGATTCTTATAGTGTAGAAGTTGTCTGGTAAGTGATGGCTTGTGCGTTTACATTAGCGAGAACTAAGGTGAAACAAGTTAGGCAGGTTGACTCACCAGAAATATTTGCTGTCACCAGACAACTCGTTTTGATTCTAAGATCTTGGTGAGCTTCTCTCGCATACTACATCCGCTATACTCGAGACATCCCTCGTGCCAACCATGTCCTTGCCGACGAATGAGAAGCAAAAGACGCCAGCAGTCACACCACGTCAGACGATGCAAGGCCATACTGACAGGGTATTCGGTGTTGTGCACCTGCCAGGGGGACGACGGATCATGACATGTTCTGTGGATGGCTCACTACTACGACTATGGGACTTGGAAAGCGGCAGATAGATAGGCGAGGACTGGCGCGATAAGGAGGATAAAGAAATAGCGATGTACAGCAAGGCATTGTCTCCAAACGGCAAGACTATTGTCAGCGGAAGTTCGGATGGGAAAGTGAAGTTGTGGGATATCGGGACGGGAAAGGTCATCGCAAAATGGACAGGCCACACTGAATATGTGACGTCAGTGTGTTGGAGTGCGGATGGTAAGCGAGTGCTGAGCGGATCCTAGGTGCGTGGATGTGACTTCCGCGTGAAGGTCTATATGATAGGGTGACGGGGTGACGCTTGCAGGGGCGCGCCCAAACCCATATAGTTGAACAGATCTAGAATTTCAATGTAAGCAAACATTGTATTCCGGATCGTGCATATATGATAATGACATGTACACAGTCCATCGAGAGACAAATTATGAAAGGCCTCAAATACTTGTAGTGAGCTAGATTGTGGGGGGGAAACTACTGTGAGATGGCCCCGTAATGGCAGCGCAGGCGGCCAGCGAACAATTAGTCTTTCCTTACATCGAGAAGATACATTCAGATGCGGCGCATGTTTGGTCATCCATCGCCTGGATCTGGTTTTCCAGGCTGCGGTGGTCATTTTCTCCCGACTGTTCAACATCGCCATGCATCTTCTGTACATTGGCTGTAAGGTCAGCCAGGTGAGACCGTTCCACGGAGAGGGTCTTGTTCTCTTGCACCAAGCGAACTTGGAATGACAATACTCCACACAACGTTTCTCGTACACACAACAAAAAAGACACACCTCCCATATTTTCTTCTGCACGCAGGTTTGCATTGTAACTGCTTGACACGACTATTAGCCTCGGACAACTCCTGCTGAGCTCAGTTGCACTCGATATCAATTCAGATATACTGGTCGTAGAGTTGTTGATTGCGTTTGGTGTAGCTGTCGAGATCGCGGATATGTAACGCTGCTAGTGACCAACACTAGCAGGCGCTGATGCCTCATCTCGCGCCTTTATGAGTTCAAGCTTTTCCAACTCCCAGGAGCGCGCAGTATCGGAAGGTACGGTAGAGGATCCAGCTTTGCTCAGAGCCTCCTTTTCTGCTAAAAGCCTATCTCTCTCCTCCCTGAGGGAAGCCTAGATGAACAGGGTAAGTAACAAAACTTTGACTTGCGAGAAAAGTATACAATGAGCGTAGTTTGATCTGATGAACCTTCGGCAGACGCCTGGGCTTTCACAGCTCTCTCATTGGCCAACACTTGCTCCAAAGCAACTCTCTTGCTGTAGTGTCTCTAGCTGGGAGTTCAACTGCTGCAATGCATCAGATGCCAAGGTGGTGCGTAATGTGTCTCGTTCGTTTGGCAGTAAGAATTTTGATCTTGCCCTCGAACTCATTGACGCTGGTGTTGAGCTGAGACTTCGTAACCCAAGGCTAGATTTGAACTTGTCAGCATTTTTTGTGTTGCTATCTTTGTGGGTTCTGAAGTTAGCTTCGAGACGCGAGAGCTTGAGACTGGTCAGAACGGCTTTATTGTTTGAAAAAAAAAAGTACCCGGGCCTGAATAGTGTTTGCTCGTTCTTCATGTTCTGTAGCCAATTTCTCCGCATCAGCCTTCTGAATTTTCAGTGTTTCAATTTCATCTTTCAGTATTTGAATCTCAGCGGGGTCAGTACGATCATACTACCAAGCCACGTCAGCCTCAAAAAAGACGAGCGGTTCTGAACGCTTACTTTGCTCAGCAACTGCGCATTGCGTTCTTGCCAATGGCGGCTCTCTCCCTCAAGATGTGTGATCTGTGCATCCCTAGCTCCTAGCTCTGCCTGTGCCATACGAGCCTGTTCCTTGGAAGGTTCGAGCTCTGCAGACAATGCCTGCAGTTTTGTGTTGAGCTCGCGAGAACATTTAGCATAAGTCTCGCAGCCAGCGCGGAGGGTGACATTGCTTTCCCAAAGAGTGTTGAACTGGTTGATCCTTTCCAACATCTCAGTGTGCTGAGCATCCGAAGTCGCCGCTTCTATTGCCCGTTCCCGTTCCTGATGCCAACGTTGTTGATGATCAACAGAAATGGATACTCACAAACATACCTCAACAAGGGTTGCCCTGGTCTCTTGCAAACTCTGAATCAGATGCTCGATCTGAGCCTTCAAGCGGACGTTCTCCTGCTTACTGAGCTCAAGCTGGAGATCGACTATCTCTTTCTCCTTGCGCAAGTAAGCCACAACAGATCTGAGTTCCGAAACTTGAGTATCCACATCGTCACCGATATCTGCATCACCAGAAGCGCCGTCTGTAGCGGAGGAGTCTGCAGCCTGACGTATACACGTAGCTTGAGTGCTGACAGTCTCGAGATCCTGATGAAGAAGAGCATTCAGTACGGACAGATCCCTGGACCTATATTTAAATGAGATTAAAGAACCGATTGATGTCCATTCAGGGACTTGCCGTGCATTGAGATCAGCAATTTCCTTGTCCAAAGCCTTTTTTTGCTGCTTCCAGCTGCCCTCAGATGCTGCCAAGCTTAGCTTGGGCATTAGCAGCTTCTGACAGGTTTTCCCTAAAGGTAGTTTGAGCGACGGATGGTTGTTGCTTGAGGGCCTCGATGGTCTTGATCGACTCTGCATGGAGAATCGCTTCACGCGAGTATCTATCTTCTGCAGCATAAAAAGACTAATATTCTAAGCCGGGGTGGACGGGTCAAGCTAGGATGGCGCGCACCCGCGCCACGGCGCCAAGTTACCTAGTTCAACCACCCCCCCACAGGTCACGTGACACCGCATGGAAACAATGACTACCGCTATACATATTTGGTGTGTCAGACAAATGTAGGCACAAGCACCAAACTTATGACACACTCGGCACATGTTGCTTGTGATATGCATGAACGGGAAAAATACGTGGGATCGTCTGTCGGGACTTTCACTGTAAGTGCGGAATCTGATAGAAGACACACCGCACTCAATTTGCAGTGTGTGGTTGATGGGATGTGGATGCATCAAATGTCACAGCCTGTCTCACAGCCTTGATCAATGTGCGGTGAACACAATATGATCCCTTGACTACGAACAGAAATGAGAAAGGCGAAGACCCAAGCATCGTTCTTACAACCATTGCACGAAACCTTCAAATCATGCCATGAAAAATTGATGATCGTGTTTTTGATGCCAGCTGGGTTCTGAGTCAACCTAGGTTGTAATATCACACGAGTGAGACAGTAAGGGCAGTGCCACTCTGATGTAACGCACGCTACACTAAATGCATCGTATTGATGTATCCCGCTTTGTGAAGGATAAAGCGAACAAGGACAGTGATTGGAGCAGCAACCCCACAATCATCAATCAATAACTATCCATAATTTGTGCAGGAAGCTGGTTATATAGAGTGATTTAGTAAGTGACTGAGTTAAAAATTGGTTGGGCTAGGACCGTTGTACTCACCTAATGGCGTTGAAATTTACGTGTCACTGTATAATCTCGATGTGTCATGATCAGCAGCTGGGCCAATTCCACCCAGCCAAAAAGCCCTGAACGTAAAGAGTGACATCGTATTCTCCTCCTTCTGCTCGAATTTGAACCGAGTGTAGTCGGACACGTTTATACTAGGTTTGGATGCAAAACCTGTCTAGATGTGTCAAGTATGCTTGGTGAATGAGTTAATGAGATGCAGATTTAGAGGCATGAAGAGGACTCATCGTATTGATATCACGGTAGTTCTTGATTTCGGCTTACTCAGCTTCATTAATTGTATGCACCAGCAGCTCTGAAACGTCTCTCACGGGACTGATAGTTGGCAACCGGTCAAACCCTATAGGAGCCAGGGCAGAAGCTGCATCACAGATAGTGCATATAAGCTTTGCACTGCAAAGTTTCAGTGTGTTGCGTCGGAGGAACTTCAATAGCAGTTTTTGACCAGTCTAATATCTTCTGAGCCACAGCCGCAGGCTTTATGGCACCGCCTGACCTCGGCGCATCGTAGATTGTGGATGGTGCTACTGATTTGAACTCAAAGGTAACAAGGGAGAGCCGAGACATGCTTGCAGCTGCGATGCAAACTTTGATGTGGCTGGGGCCAGCGGGATAGGCAACCTCAGCAAGCTCGAGAGCTCATACCTGTTCGTCTGGATAACCATCCAACTTCAAGAGCATGGTTCTGATGGAGCTTCACCCCAGCGTCGTGTTCCATAAAGTGTTACTTCAGCTCGATTTCCGTGCTGTGAAGGATTTCTGCATGTAATGCAGTCCTGTTCAGAAGCTAATGGACACCAGAATGAATCCGGTCGCTCAAGTTGTCCAAGGCTCTAATACACTCACCGGCAGACCATTCAAGATAGTCAGGCCTTGCAGCCCCATCCATCGCAGGCATCATGTACTAAAGAGATTCTGCCGCCTCAATCGCTCGATCTGTGTGGAGAAACATATCGCATCATCTTCGATTCACAGTTTAACGCAGGGAATCCAAGTCCTGGACGAAGGACTGTGCAGCGCGCATAATCAATCAGTGTAAGTGTCCAACTAGCCTGGACAGAATACATCAACGTTTTAGACTGAGTATTAAAAAGCGACTAGAGTACCTTGATAGTAGCAGCTCAGCGGTAGCCGTATCACGATTGGCAAATAGACATCGGCAGCGGCCCAACAAACTCACAGCCACTTCATCGACAAATAAGCGATGTGTTCGGTCAGCAGAATCAACAGACCCAAACGCAAGCGCACAGCCAGCTTGACCTTGAGAATCGCAGTTGCTTGCAATGTGATCGACCAATACCTTGGTTTGACTCGTCAAAAAGGAGCTTCCAGATACGTTGGCAAGATGCCCAATGGCTTCGTTGCTAGCAGTTCTCAGGGCGGGGTCATCATCCACAAGAGCATCTTGCAAGTGAGATTGAGAACGCATGGCCGAACCACAGTTTAAAAGGTAAGCTTACTGTCAAGAATGCTGAAGTGACTTGAGAGTGCCCAAGGGTATCCTTAGATTGACAATGATGCGAGATCATAGTAGCGACGTGCAAAGTTCGCACAATGGCCACAGGGCCAGCTCTATTCAACACTACGGCGGCCCTCCTCCCAGCGTTATTGTCAAGCTTCGGAGACCGATTGGACTCTATCAAGTGACTGATTGTGCGCAGAGTAGTACTTAAGTCATGGGCTGGCAGCAACTGAGAGAATAGCAGCGTCACAGACTGACGACGCAGGTCACTGTGGGAAGTAAATACCCTTAAAATAAACGTGAGAAACCCTGAGTGACATATTCCAGTGACGTAGATACTGAAAAAAGAACCCGTTATTTTCAGTGTTCACGTGAGAGTCACGTCTGTCAGTACTTGTGACACTGACTAATTTTCAGCGTTCACGTCTGTCAGTACTTGTGACACTGACTAATTTTCAGCGTTCACTTTGTCAGTGCCGCAAGTACTGAATATATTTCAGCGTTCACTGGTCAGTGCCGCAAGTACTGAATATTTTTGAGCAGCAACTCAGTCTGTGAATCAGCATCAGGCACAACAAGCGAGTTCCACCACTGTGAACATCCTCCTGCAGTCAAAACAAACCTCCTCTCCGCCAGCCCTGATGCAAGCCGCACCCAACGTGACTAAACTCCCATCTCCACTCAATCAGCCCTCTCATTCTCCCCCTTACCACACACCTACTGGCTCATCGCACGGTGAGAGTGTGACTGCAGTGGACATGGACTACGTCTCATATAAGCGGGACTCATATCAATCTAATGGAAGCTCCTCCCTTAGGGTTCCCAGTCTGCCGCCCACTGTGCGGAAAGCCATTGTCACCAACAATGCTCGTGTCACGCCGCCTGCAGTCAGCAAATTTGCAAGCAATACACCTCCCCTGCAGGCCATGAAGACCCGAACTCCCGACAAGTCGCTGCCTGTCCACGAAGAGCCAGAAGACGATATCGCAACCTCTAAGAACGGCGACGACTATGCTCATGGGAATGACTATAATGAGGATGGTGATAATGACACTCTCATAGAAAATGACAATGACTTTCCTGTCGACGGTAACAGAGACCACGACGGAGAACTAGAATTGTATACCCCACGCTCACCTGCTGCCAGCTTACCCGAACCATACTCTGCCAGGTAATACCCCACGCAGCCTGCAAATGCGCCTCTCAAGCCTCATAAAGCACCACCGCAATGGCAGCACAGACCGTCTTGGCCTCCGAAGCTTCGACACAGCCGTCTTTGAAAAGCCTCCCACCAGGTTTACTGAGGAGCGCCGTGAATTGCCTGCACTTCCGGTGATCATCACTTATTCGTTGATGTCGTTTGCTCAGTTCCCTGCATTTTGGCACACGACCTGCAGTCTCCATATGTTTGCAGTTTCTGTTGTCAAGAAGTAGGCTTCTGTTTTTAGGACAAGTGGCAATGAAATACACTGTACACGTTCCAGCTCCTCGTATGTATATATATCAACATTTACTCCGCCTCACTTTCATCTGTATTATACCCAGCACCATCAAAGGCTGGTTTCGCAAAACTGCTTCTGCGGTCAATGATAGTCCATTCCCCGCGGCTCTTGACCCTCCCTACAACTCCTTTTACATTCCGTAGGTCGGTGATGATGCTGGCAAGGTTTCTTGAATAACGCGCTTCCTCCTTGGTAGCATCCCTACCCTCAGTCTGACATGGTCGAATGAGCGTGAGCAGAAGAGTTTTGCCAGCAAGCCCTAGCCACTGAGTGTCGTTTGACAACGAGCAAACCAGTATTTTCTCGAGACGACCATATTGCACCAACTGAACCATGTGAAGAGCTCCATTTACACGGTCTTCATATTCAAGTTCGTACTAAGTAACCTTGTCAAGTTTGGAACTAATGTGTGATGTAGTAGACTCACTCGAACATATGACGAGTTCCTTTGCTTTTTGGATGACCTGGTGGCACTGTGCATCCGAATACTGTCTCTGCCATTTTGGATACGAACTTTTTTCCAGAGTGCCATCACAGTTGGGAGACGTGCAACAATCACCGCTCGCCTTCCGCCAATGAGTTGCTTGAAATACAATGCAACTTTAACCCGCTCATCACGGTCAGGTTCATATGAAGGAGCCTGATACTTATCAACGGAATCACCCCAAAAACTCCATGAGTTGCTAGAATGACAACCCCTGTAGTGGGATTGAGCCAGTGAAGGACGTGTACGAGCATTTGCGATAGCAGGAGCAACGAGAGAAAGCACGGGCTGCAGCCATTGAGCAAGCTTAGGGTTAGGGTTAGGAGTTCGCACCTGCACAAAGTGAATTTGGGGGGGCAAGTCGGAGAACTTGTACATCTCACAGTACTAGTACAACTTGCTACACCTGAACCATTGGCGTCCGTGCTAGCTTCCAAGCCGCACTGTATGTATCGCCTCCAGTTCGGAGCTGAACAAGTCATATATTTGTACGTGTGTACATACTTAGAACCGGTCTTGGTGAAAATTTCGGTTGTAATAATCACGTAACCATTAACACAACCAAACATTGGCTTCGGTTGATGCAAACAACACGTAAATAACCCCTACCACTTACTGCTAACCATGCCTCGCACACGGACTACTAACAAGCCTACTCTAGGAACCAAGAAGAAGTTCCGAGCGCTACAGAGGCAAGTTGATGCCAATGAGCAGGAGGTACAACACGTGATGCGTAAGTCCTATGTTAGCATTAGTCAAGTGTCCTAACTGCGAAAAATCTAGGTGAGAAAGAGGCCTGCAAGAAACTCAAGGCATGTCAGAAGAAGGGCGCAATTACGCGTCCTGATGGTACTGCTGGACGACATTTCAATTTACAGCACACTATGAATCTGGATGATAGGGATACCATTTATAAGAAAATTCGAGTAAGCATTTTTTTCTATCTGCGTGGATTCTCACAGACATTCTGAAGTACAAGATCATCGAAATCGCCAAGGACAATGGTCTACGCCTTGAGACCACCATTAGATACCAGCCGCCAACGCTGCTAGGCACCATAATCACATTGGTACATATTTTTTGTCATCATACATGCATATATGCGCTAATGATACTGATAGGCCATGCTCGAAATCCCATACCTCACACACTTTAAGGATGGCTGGCCTGTCAAAGATTTTTTGCAACAATTCTTACGAAATCACGCCAACTATAGGAGAAGGATGGGTTACGACGCGCCCAGCTCAAATAAGGTATGTAACAATGGCCTGTCATTTGACCATTGACTATTCATTTTATATAGATCACACTCTCAAGCCATAACGAGTCGACTCGGACGCATACATCCACCGGCCGTGCGAAGTTGCCAGCTCCTGCAGCTCACTCCAACTCAGATGATAGTAGCGAGACGGACCCTGGGTCAGATGAAGACTTGGACTCCGAGGAGATTGGGCCAGGAAGTGAAGGAGGCCTGCCTGCTGATATCGCAGAGCTCTTCAAGAAGCGAGTCGAGAATTTTTTGAGTGAGTTGCACTCATATTATGTTGCTTGGCTGCACTTATGGCCCTTCAGAAGCCAAACGGGCAAAGGAGGCACTCCAAGCACCTCGCACTGACCCTCAGGTAAACAAAAGGCCCACGACAGCAGCCAAGACTCGTATTAGCGGTACATCCAAAGTCACGAGAACCAGTAAGAAGGCCAAGACCGTGGCTCCACAGCCTTGTAGTAGCGGTGAGACTGCCATGGCAACAACACCAGTAAGTGACCTCGACAAACCCATGTGTAACTTACCTCCATGATCTGGTGTTGGTCAGCCACAAGTCCAGGCTTCTTCGACATCATCGTCGAAGACAGTGTTGAAGATTCCTTTAAAGGTATGCCCTTTCGTGCATTTTTTAATCTCAAATATGTAGCCTGCCCCTAGCCACGCCCCCGGCCTATCAAACCCAAAGCAAAGACCTCATCCGAGTCAGCGTGTCGTGATGTCCATGAAGACACACCAGCACCACATTCTGGATCCCAGCACAGCGAAGACATCCCAAAGTTCTGCCCAGATGACGATTGTGAAGACCATGTCCCTACTGTCCCGTCAGCCGAGTTTGTCGAGTTGTTCCATGACCGCGCTGCCTTCATTCAGCGGGATGGTGATGACACTCGCAACGTCCTTCGTACTACGCTCTACATTTGTTCTGCCATCAAATCTGAGAACCGTCTGGCACACTGACGTCGAGATATCACTCTGCGTGGTTGGCCGGTATCACCTGATTTTGTTGCACTAAATGATTTTACATGGTCATTGAAAGCTGACATCGCTGCACTCATTTCAGATCGAGGTGTTCGAGCTGAACATGTTGTCTGGAAGTCATTTCTCGACTGTCTTTCCCAGTATTACAAAGAAAATACCGAGGAGGCGTGTCTTCATGCGTTCACAAGGGACAGGAAAGGTGTCTCTTCTTCAATCTACATTTTTTCAACAGCCGGCTTGTGAGTGTCGTACTTGGCTTTTGACAATTGCTGGTAACTTTTATTCTTGCAGCTATGGTCCAAAAGGAGAGCACATCATTGCTCATGCGCTCGAAGGAATGTTTCGGACATCAACTCTCCCGCTCAACACCATTCGCCCACTTGATGTCAAAAAGTTCACAGACTTTATTCTCGTCCCATACGTCGCTACTAGTGCAATTGCACACAGGTTCGGCATCACCATCGCAGAAGCTCACACCATTCGGCTAGATAGTAGATCAGCTGGAATCGACTTGCATCCTGCTCTTGACTCGGACGAGGAACTAGACCAGATCTACAGGACCAACATCCAGCGCTCAAAGTCCAACATCAGAGTTGCTATCCATGACAACCGGTCTAGTAAAGGTGGTCCGCCAAGGTTGCGCCGGGCAACAGTTCGGCTCATAGAGGTGCTTTCATTTATATTTTCAGACATTCACTGACCGTCTATCCATCACAATGAACAGGCTACACTTCCACAACCTGGACCGTCTCAACATCCCAATGTCATGCGGTCCTCTTCTGACTGCCCAAGTCAAGAATGCTCAACTACAACTTCCTGTCCACCAGACAGCACTCTCTCTCAACTGACTCCACTACCGCCAGTGAGTGCTTTTATGCTCGTGTATATTTGATTACCCTGTCATCTCCACTCATGTCTCAGTCCCCTGCTCGAAAACGGACACGCAGCAAAACCAAGGCAGCGGTCATGCCCATTGAGGAAGAGCCTATTCCAGTACGTATTTCTTCCCATGCTGGCTGAGTATGCTCCTACAGGGTCCCACCTTCAAAAGAAAACGCACCCGGCACCACTAACCTCTTTTTTCAAGCACACCTGACTTCATCTCGCACTGCACTCTTCGTTGTGGACTCGATTTTTGGACTCACCTCACGAACACTGTCAACCTTGGACTTCTCGCACGCCTTTCAGAATTTCACGCACAGACTTGTTATTGTTATTTCGATTTTTATTCATAATGTATATGTCTTGTTCTCACACTCATCCAGTGTATATTGTAATGATACTCATCAAGATTCAGCATCACAAATGGTGAATTTACAGTGAGATCTCAATGATTGTCCAAGTCCTAGTAGTGCATGATTTTCAGTGTCTCGAGTCGTTATTTTCAGTACCACGAACATCACAATGTCAGTATTTTACTCAGTGCCATTCAGTGTACTGTCATTCCGACCTCAGTGTCTTCGACACTGAAAAATGTCACTTTCAGGGTTCTGGGTACTGAATTCTCGCACTGCCTATCTTCTAATTCAGACATGGACTGCGGTCATGATACACAAAACACTGAAAGTCAGTATTTTGGACGCTGACTTTCAGTATTCTATACACTGAAAATCAGTGTTTTTACTTCCCACAGTGAGGTGGTGAAGCATTGAAAGACCGGTCTTCCTCTTCTGACGGGTTTATTATAGAAAGAGAAAGAGCGTCGTGCTTGCAAGCTCCTAGTATCGGCCTGCGTAGCTAGATGCGTAGATCAACATTGGCAGGAAGATTCACATATGACAATGTCTTACCAGGGCATTTATTGAGTGTTCTATGCTACCACCGTTGCTGTGACCTTGGCGAGAACTTTCAGACGTTGTGCTTCGGTCGACCCCATCTTCAGATATTTCAAATGTATACATAACCATCCGACGGTCATCTGCCAGATTGAAGTGAAACTACCGGAGGTAGACACAATTGAGGCTTACATTGCAGATATGTTATTGATATTGGGACCCACAAAAACAGTAAGGACAGGCTGCAATAAGCTTGATTGCACAGAATCCGTTAAAGTGGAAGTTCCAAGAGCGGGGAATCATTGGTATGCTCTACATTGAAGAGAAGCCTCATGAGTCCGAATGGATGGTCCAGTATCTTCAGTTACCGAGGGTTCAGAAGCTTCTTCAATAATCTGTGACAAGAACACATTTGAAAATGAGAGGGCATTTCCAAGTAGAGATGAGATTATCCGTGCGACATCGAGAGTGGCGAGTTGGCTATTGTCAAACAAAAAAACAAGGGATTGCTCCAAGCGCACTTTCATGGACATGCAGGAGAAACCTCCGCTCGGCAGCTGACTGGAGTGAAACATTGTCTTTCATGCTAGGCTTCAGTAATGCATTACGCTAAAGTACCAGTAGCTGAGGTAGATGTGAGCGGACAAAATTTGGTCCAAGCAGCATCAGCGAGGCAATCAACGTCCAGACAACTTCAACCTCTACTGCTGCGATATGAACATCATGATCACTAGTGAGCTTAAGGAGTTGAGCGGTGGTGTCGAGAACGCCGGCTGACACGTCAAAAGACACATATAGGGGGCAATGTGGCACAACGACGGCAAGAGCTGCCAAACCATAGGAATGACCAAGTGTCTGGCGATCAATGTCCGAAGGAGCTGCAGGAGATTGAAGGGATTCGATGTCGCGTTGTAAAGACTATGTGATCGCCAACATTGCCTTCGGTAGACGGAGGAGGGGTAGAATAGCAGAAGCAACGGAGGGTGCAACTCGCATTGACACGAACTGAGTGGCTTGGATGTGTAAGCAGCGTCGTCAATGGTGCAGAGACAGCGTCCTATGCCAAGTTTAGGAATATATCAAAGTTGCAACTTCGCAGGACTTACCTGAACTGGCGGAGGTGCATGGCTTAGTTGTTGCAACAGACCTGCAACCTCCTCCAGTGCTATCGTCAGGATAGATGAAGATGGAGCTACCTGCCCCAGCATTAATGCTGGCCATCTTTTCAAATATGATGAGGAAAGATCTTGAATTGCGGCTATTTGTCCCTGCTCGGTCAGCATTCGTACTACTATTAGCTCTCGTAAAAGAGCGCCGACTAGCTTCCGGATAGAGAGTTTGCCATATCTTGTGGCTCCATTCTTGGGATAGGATATGATCTCGGTCATGAGATGACCAACAAGTAGAGAATAATTGGCTCTCACAAATACTGGCCCAAGTTTTGCCAGTAGTGTGACGTAAAACATGAAGATTTCCGCACGAGTTTGCGGCTGAGAGCTTTATTAAACTGGGTGGAGATTTGTGATAGCATATCTCCTGGCATCAAAAGGATTTTGGTAATTTCGGCCACAATATTAATATGTGCAGGAGTAGAGATATCAGAGTCTTCTTGTTCCTTCTTGCCTTTTTGTGACTGCTCTGCGACTGCCGCGGCACGTTCCATTTGGGTGGCCGCAAGCATATGTCCCACTAACTGCGCCAGCGATTGCGTTGTCACCTGGTCACCGTGTTCAAGACTTTTAACACAAATATTAATGATCGACTCCACATCTGCAAGCGTGACGGAGTCTTCGGGAGTACAGATAATCGTTAAAACCTGCGCATGTTTCAGTTCGCAAAATGCAATTCACAGGCAAGAATCTCACAGCATGTAGTTTCGGCAATCTCTCTCAGCTCCTGTCACCGATGCAGAAGGAGTATGGAGTTTTCGCACAGCAATTCGTGACTAGCCACTCCACACCTGGTCCGCTACATCAACGCAACGCAAAGACTCAAGTCGACGCTCGGTGAGATCCCATTACCACGCCCGCCAACAGAATAACGCAGTCACCCCTTATGTCATATCCCATATATTCACGCTTCTCTTCCGGACTTCGGACCCTTAGATCCGGTCCGGTCCGATGCATAGATCCGCGTCTGGTCCGATATCCGATAAGCTTCTTAATTCATTTCCTGTTCATATAACGTTAAACACAGCCTATTCGGTATTTCCTCTTCCCGGTGTCTCGGTTATACTTATTACTGGTATGATTACTGATCCGTTATCCTATGCTTCATTTCCGACTTGCGTTTGATAAGCTTTGCATATGCTTCATACATAGCCTCGGACCTTTGCTTATTGATCCTTCCGTTATCCTCTTAGTATATAAACCCGTGTATATTTCCTGTAGTACCTCAGTTCGAATATCATCTTAGTTTGTCCTCTTTCTGTCCTCCGGACTTGAGTCTAATCAACTCTTGTCGATCTCTGAGACTTCGGATCGATTCCGATAGTCTACGTCTCCGCCTCTATCTTCGGATAGTCTATACTCTGTTTGTTTCTAGTCCGGATCCGTCCGGATTAGTCTTATACGTGTTTCCGATATCCGGAAGTCATCCGGATATAACTACGAGACCCGTCCGGACCTTCGGACACGTTATTGTTAGTCTCTGAAATAAGGGACAGTACTTGGGAAAGGGGCACAGCATACGAGCTGAGGCTGAAGTCCTTCGGATCCGATCCTACGAGAGTACGACCTTAACACCTTAGCAGATGCTCAACCTGCCAATGAAACATCTCCCATCTCCCAAATCTCTCCAATGTACCACCAATGTACCATCACTCTGTACCTTTACCTTGTATCACCACAAATACCTCGCTCACCTACACGGAGTCACCTGAAAACGAAGCGGCATCAGCCAAACGAACTCAAAGGTAGCCAAATGGACCACCGGCCACCATTACTTTTGTTTGCGTCCCTCCCGACTCCTGTACCTGTTGTCACTGACAACTGAGTACGTGTTAATACATTACATATGATAGCCACTCATCCATTGTTAATATCTGTAAAAAGTCATCCCATCAAACAGGGCGGTGCACCTAAAACGGCCGGCAGGAACGGCGGACTGGTGGGGGTACGCCTCACACCAGGGCATTTGTGCGCCTGGAGATGCGAAGGGACTCAGGGAGTCCCATAGACTAGATTGTAATGTCCTACATAGAGCTACTCTGCAAAGGACAAAAACTGGAAAAAAAAATCGTGACTACCTTCGCCAAGTCGAGCTAGGCTGGGCAAGAAATGCCCATACCAATTCTTCCAGTTTTTGACAGAATGGTTCGCGTTGGCCTTCAATCACTCAGATTATGCTGATGTTCTTGTCCCCTGTAAGTGGTGCCACCTCATTCCTTCTCTCCCTTGCTAGAAACCACACAAAAATGACCTTCCTCAGTTCATCAACACTGCGTTGTGCTCCTGCGTCCTTGTTACGTCCACTACGTCCATTGACACGATATAGAAATCCCACCTGGCTCGGCGCTTCGGCGCCTCTAAGATGATGTCAGTCCTCAGCCCATCATTGTCTGCCATCCCGATGTCAAAAGCATCAAGCAGTTATGAGACTCTGGTGAGCATCCTTGCGCCCCGCTGACGCCTAGTCTTGCAACGCTCTTGATAAGCCACCATCGCGAATGACCCCGGAGGATGTTCTATACAATTTTAAAAACATATTAGCTCGAATCGTAGACGCAGATGATATGACCTGGCTGAGATGGGATTGAAAATGACGGTAAACGCAAGGGCAAGCCACGCAACGCACGGAGTTAGAACGTCTCAAAAAACAGAAGAAAGCGCGTACGCTGAACAGTAGACTGGCGTAGTACTTCTTGCGACGTTGCCCAAGTTCATTAAGATGCTCTTTGAGCAGCCTGCCGCGGTCTCGCATTTCCTTCTCTCGTTCGGAATAAAAAGAGTCGACTTTCTCTAATTCGGAATCTAACAGCTCGAAAAAATTTGCATGAAGCGGTGGTAGTAGAGGGTGAAGCGTGCGTAAGAAGGCAGGAGCTGGGGAGCCTGCTGGTCAAGTGAGGTTTCTACGCAAGACACTGAAAATGCTTAAACTGACCTGCATTGCGGAAGAAGGGGAATACGGGAGGCGAGCACGCAGACTTCGGAGGCAAGGGAGTCACCCGCGATGACGAGGCTGTGAGATGAGAGAGAGGCAGAGCGCTATGCATTAAAATTCTGAGCGTGGACCTGTCAAAACCCCTCTGTTGAATAGAACTTAGCAGACGATGCCGAAACTACTCACACATCTGGCTATCCCTTCGCTGGGTTCGAGTTGGGGAAAGAGCTGAAGTCCCTTCAATTAAAGCATCTTGTCGTAGGACGACTGACAGCTCTCAAGAGTGAAATGAGTTGGTGGGAACTTATTCAGAATAGCCAATGTACCACTGTACTCTTTGGCTTGCTTATGAACTTGATCAATGTCGGCGGCTCCAGTGGAGCTCTGCCCGGCAATGTGTTCTGAGCGAATTGCACCAATGCACCTTTTGAAACAACGATAGTCACTGAAAGAAAAGCGTAGTGAAATGACGTTAGCGGAGGCGATCAATCAGCACATACAAAGCGTGTGTATGCCTTTTTCCACTTGGGAGTCTGCAACGAGATATTAGTCTATACATTTTGGTTAGTCTGAATCAATAGACTGACCTATACACCGTTAAAGTATCAGGCTGCAGTCAAAAGACGTCATACAAAATGAACGCGAGTAGGGGTATGAAAGTCCGGACGTCGACCCACCGTGCAACCTTCATCACTTCTTGTGAGTTGATGGACTTGATTAGGTTGTGATGAGGGGCGTGGTCCGCACGGGATGGTGGTAGTAATTTTCGACTGACAACGCAAGAGCAAACGAGTCGTTAAAAAGGCTCGAGGAATAGGGGATGCACCAGGTTTCAAGTAACGTAGAGATTAACAAAATAGAGTAGATAAAAAGTATGATATTCCAAAACGGCGCTCCGCGCATCCAAACTAAAACACTTGTCGAGGCCAGAGTAAGCTATGGGGCGCACCAGATCTAGCTCAGATCTTAGAAGTACGCCGCGCGCCAGGATCTAGCTCAGATCTGAAACGGCGCTCCGCACATCCAAACCAGAATGCTTGTAGAGGCCAGAGTAAGCTACGGGGCGCACCAGATCTAGCTCAGATCTTAGAGGTACGCCACGCACCGGGATCTAGCTCAGATCTGAAACGGCACTCCATGCATCCAAAGTTTCCAGAGCGTCAAGGTAAAACGAAAGGTGCAAATTTAGATACTGCAGATGCAGCGCATGATGCCTGCAGACGCAAAGCTTGATGCTTGCAGATGCAGTTTAGGTGCTGCAGAAGCAGCGCTGGGACCTGCAGATGCAGTTTATGTGCTGCGGAAGTGTTGGGAGCTACAGGTTGGATAAATCGACATTAACAAACAATCAACAATCATAAGACCAAACAACTGATCAAATATATCTAGTGACACCCGTAATATTCTGCTGTCACGTGACATCTTTTCTTGTGGTCCATACCTGACTGGTTATTTTTGTTTTCCGGCTTACCATCACAAAAATTGCACAACTGAGAGATTACCCGATATGGACGGCAGGTCATCAACACCCCGACACGACATTTGAATGCAGCAATTAGCTCAGAATGATACCTCCCACCTCGTGATACTATCATAATGACATTAAGTAGATACTTCTCGCGAGTGTGCGCTATGCACAGCCTAGCCACCGGTGCTTGCCGGAGCTGTACAAAGCCTGGGTACCTAGCAGTGACTATAAGTAGCTATATCTTCCCATGGGCCATCAGATATGGACAAGTGATTATTGTAAGCTCGTACCCCTCTCTTACCCTGTTAACCTTTTTCAAATGCCACAATGTGTTTTCTCAATTTTGGTAAGACTAGCGCTGCTGTAGATGAGCTACGGGCTAAAATTACTGAGAGTGAGTCACCCCTTCCTATGGGAAATCAACACGGCATTTCGGGCATGATAGAAAGTTCATTACAACGTCAGATCTTCAGCAAATCTGTAAGTTTGGCTATTGTCATTTTTATGGATAGTAATTCACATGGCCATCTAGCGGAAAGTATTTCAGATATGTTCCAGGATCAAGAGCTCCAGAAACATGAAACAATCGACGCCCTAAGCAAACTTGCGCAAACCATGGAACGGTTTGCTCACAGCCAATCAGGGTAATCACTACGTTTATTCGCTAAGTTATCTTTTACCTGACTCCGTGCGCAACAGCTTGGAAGAACGCGAAGCTATAATAAATTCCACGCTGCGAGAGATGGAATCTATGAGACAAGAGCATGGGTTTTTACGTGTTTTGCAATTCATGTGCTAATAACAGCATATTTTTAGGTCTCAGGACGTCAAAATACAGAACATGATCCTCACATCGGAGCGGGATACGCTCCTCGATGGGCTCGAAAGCACGCGCTCACAGCTGACGGATGCGAAACGAGCAGAGGAAAGCTACCGTGAAAAGTATCTTAAGCATTATTCATAAGATGAGCCTGACCACCGCAATTAGATTTGCAGACACGAAAACGTCATTGAAGGTCAGCTTCGCGTCATTCAGTCTCTTCATATTTACCCTGGTGTAGGTTCTCCAGGCACGTTTTGACACCCAATGCATCGCCCTCGAGCTTGCCGAAAAAAGTGTCAGCGAGGCTCGGGTAATCTTCCGTTTTCTTTGCAGGTTTGTGCTAAGCTTACCAATTCTATGGGAACCCCCACACTCCACAATTTTGGTATGTGCACCCCGATATTACATCCACCAGTCCATTCATTGCTTGGCATAGACTCCAAAGAAGATTTACAATGAATCGATTAGCCATGTCAACGTTCTTGAGGAGCGCGAAAGATCGTTGCAGCGGGGGCTTGATGAAGCCAACTCCGCAACAGCCGCTGAACGGGACTTTGTTTGCAGCCTTCAGAAGAAGCTTTCAGACTGCCAAAAAGACCTTCCTCAACTGCAAGACATTCAAAGAGTTGTGGAGCAGATTGCGGAGCAACGTCCTCATGATACTGAGCTACAGATCCAAGAGCTAAAACGTGAAATAGGCTCTCAGCATGGCGAGCTGTGTGACAAGGATGAGGTTATATTAAAGCTGACCCAGACTACTCTTGATCAAGACCGTGAGCTCCTGGTCCTGAAGACGCGCGTTGAGGACCTTGTATGATCTGAAGCGCAACTTCTTCAAAGATCTATGAACATCACCGTCTGCCATAAACAGAGAGACCTGGTAAGATAGGTATAATTATTTGATGGCCGCTCATCCCGTTCGCTTCAGAACGATGACGAATGGACACTGGTCAAGAGCCTTGCTGAAGAAGCCACAAAAGTGTTTGGCTGCACAATAGCGGAAAAGGATAACAATATTAGAATAGTCAGCATTCGCTTCTTCCAATTCGTCGCTGATTTCCTTTGGTTTTCAGAGAAACGACCTCATCGAGACACTTCAAGCTAGGGTACGAGGTCTAGAAGCATCTTTAGCCAATCGTATAGGAGCTGTAAGAAACATGCCTTTTGATTTCAATATGCGACTAATCTTAACCATTAGCAGTCACCATCCGGAAGCTCGAGAGACAGTAAGCAAGATGAATCGCCCTGTAATGATCCTCCGTATGAACCTCCGACCGCCCGAACTACTAGCGCACTTGGATCCCGCGTGCCAGCGAAGCGCATGAACTCCCTCGATGAAGATTCAGTGAGACCAGCAAACCGACCGGTGAGCACTCTAGCTGTGTTGCACCACCGTCCCGTACGCAGATTTAATAGAGAAAAGAAACAACACAGGCGGAAATAGAAATACCAAGATAGGGTTGTTTCCTCTCATTCGGCGTTAGGTCCCTGGGAAGTCCATCCAACAAAAATACGAACGAGGAAAAGTTCACATGGATTGCTTCTTCTTTTTATCGTTCGACTCATCTTGGGTGAACCGGTGTACCATGCTATCAGACAACAGTTTTTAGTTCAGGCACGACCTTGCCTTCGCGCATTTTTATAACACCGTTATTCTTAGAATGCTTGTTTTGCAAGTCCCTTATTGTGCGTTTGATAATTCATGCAATATTCATGCTACAGCCACATTTGCAAATAACGATGAGCTATCGGCACCGGCGCCGTCCAGCGCCCGCTGATTTTGATTGACGTCCATTTCGGAGAACACTACGAGTTAGTTGTGCAAATAGCAGAATGAACATCAAACATGCCTCCCCAGGCTGGGGTGCAGTAACGATAAATTTGTGGGTTCAAACATTCGTTGATAAACTGCAGATGAAAATTTTCGTCCTGGAGCTGCATCAGGAAAAAACATGTTGACTATATAGACCTATATAGTCAGGGTAGTGCATGTAGTTCTGTCGTCAAGTCCCTTCTATGTAGTCAGCATTGTACTACATAGTATCACGTAGCAGGCTACTAGCAGCTACAAAGTACTACAGTACTACTGTAGTTCATAGGAGTGCTACTACGTGCAACTACCCGCAGCTATATAGAACCCATAGTTTGTCGGAGTGCTCAGTAACCAGCAGCTAAATCGCATGCAAAAAAAAACCAATAGTGTCTGAATTCGAGTACACGACACACAAGATAGTATAGTATAAATGTCCTACTCAATCCTCCTCTTCATCCGCACCTATAAACCTGCCACTCTCGCTACAAGCCTCCACATCCTCCTCCTCTTCATCCGCATCTATAAGCCCGCCACTCTTGTTGTCATCCAACACATCCGAGTCGAAGAAGACCGAGGGAACCAAAGCTGAGGAACAGGAGGACAACTAGATGGTGCGAGCGCAAGGATAAAGGCACAGGGACAAGGGAGAGGTGACATCGGGCCCGAAAGCTAAAAAGTTTCCAAGTTTTATTTCAATATATCGGTTAGAAAAACAACTTACAGTATCATTAGAAAGTCTAGCGAAAGGATGAATGAACGTCTCAATTCTTTGCAGAAACTGAGACGTGAGTTTACATTAGTTCATTATTTGATTACCAGTATTGACGCGACGCAGTAGGCTTACCTGTTAGGTAGATGTTTCGTCAATGGAGTTCTTTGCAGAAACTGAGACTAGGTTTACCTGTTAGCTCCATCGCTCCGTTCGCTTGCCTCCATTCACTAATTCTCGCGAGGAGTTCATAAGGCGCAGTGCGCTCATGGAATAAGTGCACATGTACTAGTAGTAGCCAATCATTAAACAAGTCCTGTCAATGTCAGAGTGAGAAAATCTTCAGCTCGAACGAAGATCGACACACTCACTCTCTGCAAACGGTGGTCAACGACTTCGATCAGCATGGCTCGAGCCCGAAAGAAGATCAACACACTCACAAACTGCAAATGGCGGGCAATGATTTGAATCAGCATGACTCGAGCTCGAAGGAAGATCGACACTCACAGGCTGTCACTACTGTGCACCTTTGCGAAATCGGACGACAAGGTGCTTCATTTGTGGGACTTGAAGACAGGTGTTGTGTTGAAGAAGACCTTGAATAATTTGGTTTAAATAGAAAGAACAAGATTGGGATAAATAAAAATCATTGCGCACCTCAATATGAAAATTCAAATAAGAAACAGGCAGCTGTCTCAGGCAGAGAAGTTAGAACATTGAAGTTAGGAAAATTTTTGAACGTACGTGAGCGCACCCATCACGTGAACAAACATATACAAATGTTGGACTTTGGAAGTTTTCGAACCCGCTGGGTGACAAGGCCCATGTACCTCTCTATTGGCGACATTGCAAAAGAAAAACAGCAGGAAACATCAGCATGAGCGCAGTCGTCTCATATCTGTTTCCCACCCTTCAAGTTCCATACCTGCAGCGAGCCGTCCCATGAACAAGTCATTATCTGTTCTCCGCCTGGCAGATGTATAGCTTCCTCGACCGAATGGGTGTCCCTCAAATCTCTGGCGGGGTGTGATTGTCGGTCCCTCCTTCCTTCTAACGATGAGTAAAGACATCTAGGTGCGGTTCCATCTCAGGTTTCATCCAACAAATCACAGTTCTTCACTTACAATGATACATTTAGATACCATGCAGCGCTTAGTCGAGGCATTCTACAAAAACATGTGCGGGGATGGCACAATGAATTCCAAGCGAGCTGCCCGGGCGCTGCACTGAGCGGTCCAGTTGTTGGCCTCCGACAAGGACTTACCCTTGGACCAGCACATAGTGTTCGTGCATATTGGCATATGATCTATTTCGTGTGTCCTCTCCCTTTTTTTCAAGTGTTCTTGAGACCATCTAACCACTTCGCGTGTAGTATCCAGCCATGGCTATGTTGCCAATAACTCCAAATTCGATATTTCAGTGAGACTGTACACCTTCACGATATGTACACCTAAATCCAATGTCAAATTCAATTTGTATTTTCCAGTTTGTTGCCTCTGAGCGAAAGGTGGCCGCTCCTAAGGTTTGTGTGAGGGTCATGTTCAACATTGTACCTTCGGTTTGAACGTGGTCTGGCATATCATCTCATAACGGCAAGACACTTTTGACACTCTTTCCACGTCTCCGGCTGAATGCCATTGTCCAAGACATTCTGCATGTCTGCTATTAATTAGTTTTGTTACTACCCAGCTACTATCGACTACGAACTATTGCAACTCCTGGTTACTACCAGCGCCCGCCGTAGCCTCCTGTAGCCCACTGTAGCTCTATATAGTCTGAGTGACAGCTACGTGAACTACATAGACCTATGGTGACTATATAGTACTATATAGGCATCACCAGGACTCCTACGATTTTTGTTTTTTCCTGATGTGTGCGAACATATATATGCTGTGAGCGGTTATATGCGCCGTTTTGAACACAATAAAACATGTTCAATCTCACTTTATTGTTTGAAAAGCTTCCACCATGATGTGAAAGCCCATTCCAACCTTGAGCTTGCGAAGGTACGAGAGAGGGAGGTTGCACATTAGTGTGGCCCAGGAGCTGGTATTTATCGTCATATGATAGTTGATTGATACGGCTGAAATCTTGAGCCGGAGCCTGAAGCTGGTAGCAAACTTGGGGTTCATGCATCCCAGTGAAAATCGACCAGAATCAGGCCGATACGTGAAGATAGACGTCTAAGCACAAATTGAGGTAGATACAGATCTAAGAAATTCGAGACAGCAAAACACAAAGAATCCCTTCGCAAAGGAAAAAAATGCAAACATTGTCAGACTTCGATCGCGTAGTCTGCAACTGCGCAACGAACTTTGGGCAAACTTTGCATATACACGTGTTCAATGCAGCATGCATGTGTGTATTTGTGCGTGTAACTTAGCCATGTATTTTATTACGAGTCAGTACACTGGTTGAACCACGGGCATCTTCTCATCCGCTGTTCACCCTGTCATTCATCCCCACCGCGATGCCGGCTCGATACCATCATCTCATTGTGTTTCAAGTTAGCCCATGACTGTGTCACCCACAGATTACTAGTACACGACAACCACTGCGAGCTACCACTGCGAGCTCAGAGCGGCGAGCAGTTGATTTGCTCACTGTAACCGTCATCAATGCACCGAAGCCGGGCCTGAATAGGCCAAGCCAGCTATTCAAGTTGTTCCTCCCGTTCTATCTTTCGCACTTGGCTCCCCCGGCTTTCTCACCAATTTCGACTTCGCTGACTATCAAGCGGTTGTAGACTCAGCCATCTACACAGGTATTTGTGTCAACCTACACATGCGATTTACTCCTACAGTCTACCATGCAGTTGATCTGACAGATTTACCACCTCGGAGGGCGGCAAGTGTTCGAAGGACAAGGAGATCATGTGTTTCGCAACAAGACCAGTCGAGATGTTTGAGGTTATCAATGATCTTGTGGTGGACCAGGGACCCAGTCCCCATATCAGCTTGCTTGAATCATTTGGTGCGTTAACTCTTCTGATATTTGGGATACAGACTTAGCCTACGTATGATACGCACCGCTGGTGCTATCTACTTTACCTTCTCGAAAATAGACGGCAATCAATTGATTACGACCGTTGTATCACAATTTGCTGCAGGCATCAACAATTATCTTCTTCATCATCACAGAATGCTCGCTCGAAGCCCTGGTGTCTCCACTCCCTATACATTAAGCCGAGCATCGACGACTCCGTGATCTGCCTCCGGTTTCATGGCACAAGTCCCAAGCTACAAATATAAAGATCAGATAACCTCCTGCCCCTGCTAGCAGTACAAGCAGGCGGCACTGCTACTAGCACTAGTACTGCTGCTCCTTTCCTCAACTGATCGTTGATAGCCGACTATCAACACTCGTATGACTTATCTAGCATTCTTATATCTGCTCTGCGCCGTGCTGCACGTGAAGGCGCCCGAGTTGACCTCTTCGAGTCCACCTTCGTTCCTTCGACATCGAGTCTTCACAACCCTCTATCAATGCTCATCCGGATGCCATCACACCTGGCAACAATACGAAATTTGGTTAGCTTCTACTTTCTATGAGACAGTCACTTCGCTCAGTCAAAAGCCCTTGTTTGCTCACTATTAGATTTTAGGGTTCGGTTCGCGTTCGAACGCAAAAAAAAACTGAACCTGACCACTCGGTAAGCACCGTACTTCTTCGTACTACCTCATTGACAATGAGTCACTAGCGAGGCGTGCCATGTACTGACAAAGGAAAGGCCAGGGAAACGGCCAATATAGAGGTGAGTGAAACGTGCACCACCTACTGCATTGATTGGATACTCACTTCAACTACACGCGCCAGATAAAAAATCCACTGTGAGTTTTAGTTGTCAGTTACTGATCTTCGTATTGATATATTAATCTAGGGATAACCTCGTCTTGAAACCTCGACCCCGACCTATCCCGAAAGTGGCCCCGACCCTATCACCACTCGGTATGTTGTCCAGACTCAGGTTAGTAACTCGTACTGATCGAGTCTTCCTGTCTAGCAACATCTGTGCGCATTCGCCCTCTATTGGAACAACCTGTCAGCTAGCATCAAAGAGGTCAGTACTTTACATTTACACTAGTCCCTGGCGACACATGACTGATACTACAGTACACTAGGAATATAAGACGAAGGCCGCGACACGGGTGAGTATGGTCATACTTGTTCTGTGACTTCTACTCACTAGGGTCTTTTTAGCTTTGTTCCTCTTCGATGGTGCAAGCCAGCGATAGTGCCAACGTTACCAACTAAGA